TCGTTGTTGGGATCTTATTGGTTGCGGTTCTGTTATTTTGTTTCAGTGGCAAGAATCAGAGCACGAAACTGGAACTGGAACGACCGACACAGATCTCTAACACTGCCAAGCCAGCAGTAGAGATTCAGAACGGGACTCAATTGATATGGACGATACCAAATTCACCCAAAGCAGTTCTGTTTATTGCTCATGGTTGCCATAGGAAAGCTTCTGACTTTTGGGACAAATCTTCAGATTGTCCTGAATGTACTGGTCTACCAGAGGAGAGGATTCTTATCCGATTTGCTCTAGCTCGAAAGTTCGCTGTTTTAACTGTATCTAGTGCTGGAACATGCTGGACATTCGGGAAGGAAAAATCGATCGTTGGAAAGATGATAAAGTCGTGGGTCGAGAAGCATAACCTCGAAAGGCTTCCGCTTGTTGGGTTAGGGGCTTCATCTGGTGGCTACTTTGTCTCTGCTCTTGCAACAGATATGCAGTTTAGTAGCATTGTGCTTATGATTGCTGAAGGAGTCTTTGATAAAATTAGTATCAGTAAACAGTATCCGCCGACTCTTTTCGTGCACATGCCTAAAGATGTTTATAGACAACAAAAGATTAGAGAGTTTTTAGAAGGTCTCAGAATGGAAGGCATTGATGCTGCCGAAATTGAATGCTTGGATTTACCGATTTCCCCAGAGTTCTTGGCAGATAGGATTCCAGGTCTTCGCCCGGATGTCTCGACCAAGCTGTTCAAGTTATTTCAAGACAAAGGATTTGTTGATGAGAAGGGATACATGAAACGTGATGGAAGGAGAACACCGTGGAAACAAGCTCTCAGTGGCTACAAAATATCACTAGAAGAAAGTTTGATTACTCCTGTTGAGGAAGAACTTAATCTTGCATATGCATATCATGAAATGACGAGCTTGCAGTCTGATCAAATCTTTAGCTGGTTTGAATCGCATATGAGCTAATTGGCTGTCAGATTTTCATGTAACAATATCATTCTTTGAAAGCTGTAAGATGCATTGCACAGGATAATCTATTTGATTCCAATGGAACATGCCTAAACAGTCAGTTTACGATTTGAGTCTGGATCATGGTCACTCTGGTGGCTGTGATTTAGAGTTAAGAAGACAATTTTTGATTCATTGGTTTGTAGTTAACTAAGACCACTAAGTCTGTTGTGGTTTTGTAATCTGTAAGAAGGTTGGATGCTATTCCAAGCTCTTGTAAGTTGCTGTCCATATTGAAGGATATTGTGGGATAGTGACCTACTCTAAAGCTAGAAATCTTCTCCTTGAGATCATCTTATGGATATAATATCTTTGTTTCTACTTTCTTCATTCATTCTGTAGGTAGCAAACGGATTTCGTACTTAATAAATGGTTGTTCAACAAAAAATCAGCACCAAAGTATGTCTAATATTCCTTTCTTTGTTATTTAAATTTCTGATACCACATTGTCTATGTGCTGCCTTGATAGACTACAGGTTTTACTTCACTCATTTGACAATCAAATTTTTTTATTTTTTTTTAGAAACTTGTATAATATCTGATTTTTTTATTTCATTTAACAAGTTGGTTTTGTGGACTCGGCTAACGACCAAATGACTAGATCATAAGGCAGGATCCAAAATCCGGTTAGTTTTCACATTATTGTGTAAATTTTATATTTTAAATTTCAAAAACTTTAAATTGTAAGAAAAAACCTCAAAATTTTAAAACTTTTTTATTAAAAAATAGAAACTTTAAATAATAAATCTACAAAACAATGCGAAAAACAAGTTGGATTTGTGGAATCGGCTAACGACCAAATGACTAGGTCATAAGGCAGGATCCAAAATCCGGTTAGTTTTCTCATTATTTTGTAAATTTAATATTTCAAATTTCAAAAACTTTAAAACCGTAAAAATGAACCTCAAAATTGAAAACTTTTTTTTTAAAAACAACTTAGAAACTTAAATATTAAATCTACAAAACGATGCGAAAAATAAGTTGGATTTGTGGAATCGGCTAACGACCAAATGATTAGGTCATAAGGCATGATCCAAATCCGGTTAGTTTTCACATTATTTTGTAAATTTAATATTTCAAATTTCAAAAACTTTAAAACCGTAAAAAAGAACCTCAAAATTTTAAAAGAAACTTTAAATACTAAATCTACAAAACGATGCGAAAAACAAGTTGGATTTGTGAAATCGGCTAACGACCAAATGACTAGGTCATAAGGCAAGATCCAAAATCCGGTTAGTTTTCATATTATTTTGTAAATTTAATATTTTAAATTTCAAAAACTTTAAAACCGTAAAAAAAAACCTCAAAATTTTAAAAGAAACTTTAAATATTAAACCTACAAAAAGATGCGAAAAACAAGTTGGATTTGTGGAATCGGCTAATGACCAAATGACTAGGTCATAAGGTAGGATCCAAAATCCGGCTAGTTTAAAACCGTAAGAAAAAAGCTTCGAAATTTTAAAACTTTTTTAAAAAAAATTAGAAACTTTAAATATTAAATCTACAAAACAATGCGAAAAACAAGTTGAATTTGTGGAATAACGACCAAGTGACTAATTCATAAGGTAGGATCCAAAATCCGATTAGTTTTCACATTATTTTATAAATTTAATATCTAAATTTCTTTTCAAAAAAAAGAAAAAAATCAAATCCGTTTTTCTAGTCTATTAATATCTAATTAAAAAAAAAGAGAGACTAAAAAAGAGTAGAAATTGACCTGATTAATGGAAAGCCCTTTTTCATGGGCTTGTTAGTTTCTTATGGGCTGAAAAATTTGTTCTTTTTATTGGTTTTTTCCTGATTGGTTTTTTCCTCCACCATCGTCGCCGGAAACTAGATCCTCTGACTTCTCCTCAGCCGTCTCTCTCTCGCCATGTAAAGGTAAACGAAGTAGAAATTGAAAAAGAGAATCGTAAAAGCAAAACGTGAATTGTTTTTCTTTTTTGCTTAGAATCTGCTTCACTGATCCTCGTTTCGATTTGCCACTCTCTTTTTTTTCCCTGAAACTTGTCCAAGAGATTTTAATTAAAAGTGTAATATAGTCATAAAATTTACAAAATAAAGAAAGGTTTGATATAGTCAATAGAGTGTCCAGATGGATTGCCAACGTAATATATAATATATAGTTTTGAGAAAGAGTGACTAGATGGGAGGCATGGATCATGACTTTCTCTATTTCTTTTTGTTCCCTCTCAATTTTCCAATATTGCGTATGACTTTTGGTTTTGGGATTTTATATATAAAAGGTTGCCTAGAATGGTATGATTACACCCAAATTACATCTCGATCTCTCTCTTACAACAAAGGTATCTTACATGTTCGTCTTTCTTCACCTTGTCCTGATTTTGCGTCCTTATATCTCTCTTTTGATGCGTTTTTGATTGCAAGGAGTTGTTCTGTTCTCTTTTCTTTTTTCAGAGGGAAGACCATATTCATGAGCATGAACACATGGTTCAGATTTGTGGAGAAGTTTCATCAGGAGAAACAAGCTTGGTGGGCATCAAGAAGACATGTGGAGAAGCGCCTTGCGGATTCTCAGATGCCAAGACCAGTTCAATAGAAGCTCAAGAACGTGCAGCATCAATGAGAAAGCTATTAATAGCTGTTGTTCTCTGTGCCATTTTCATAGTTGTAGAAGTCGTTGGAGGAATCAAGGCCAATAGTCTCGCCATTCTCACTGATGCAGCTCATCTGTTATCTGATGTTGCAGCCTTTGCCATATCTTTGTTCTCGCTCTGGGCTTCGGGATGGAAGGCAAACCCGCAGCAATCTTATGGGTTTTTCAGAATAGAGATTCTTGGTGCTCTTGTCTCCATTCAAATGATTTGGCTTCTTGCTGGTATCTTGGTTTATGAAGCCATTGTTAGACTTAACAACGGTAGTGGCGAAGTTGAGGGATCTCTTATGTTTGCTGTCTCTGCAGTTGGCTTACTTGTGAACATTGCAATGGCTATTCTGTTAGGTCATGACCATGGTCATGGTGGTCATAGTCATAGTCATGACCATGGTCACGGTCATAGTCATGATCATGACCATGGAATTGCCGCAACCGAGCATCATCATGGCCAGAGGCATGATGAATCACATCTATCCGAGGTCTTAATCGAGCAAAAGAAGCAGCGGAATGTAAATATTCAAGGGGCTTATCTTCACGTGCTGGGAGATTCGATACAGAGCGTAGGAGTGATGATAGGAGGAGCAATCATATGGTATAAACCGGAGTGGAAGATCCTTGATTTGATATGCACATTGGTTTTCTCTGTGATTGTGTTGGGGACGACAATTGAGATGCTCAGGAACATTCTAGAGGTTTTAATGGAGTCAACACCACGAGAGATCGACGCGACAATGCTTGAAAAGGGAGTGTGTGAGATAGAAGAAGTGGTGGCTGTTCATGAGCTTCACATTTGGGCAATTACCGTTGGCAAACTTTTGTTGGCATGTCATGTTAAAATCAGACCTGAGGCAGAGGCAGATATGGTTTTGGACAAGATTATTGATTACATCAAGAGGGAACACAACATAAGTCATGTGACTATTCAGATCGAGCGCCAATGAAGCGACGTGACAAAGTGTTTTTTGCATTATCATCTACTTTGTTTGACCATTTTGTTAATATGGTTCAATGTTTGTCTTGTGTACAAAAGTGTTTTTTCCCCAACGTATGTATCATATCCTATATAAATTTGTTGTTGTTTGTATCTGCCATTTCCAATTCTTTAATACCCAAACTATTTAAGGGTCTACATGCTTCTCTTCAATTTTAATTTTAAACACGTTACGTTCAAGAAGAAGAACAATGCCCTGTTTTGTTTGATTCTCAGTTTCTCACGTACATCACCAATTTGCCCACAGGGCTTCTACTTGGGCCTGACTTGTTCTTGCATACGTTATCAGCCCAAAGTTAAGCAATCCTGGTTTGTTTACCGAATTAAACCAATGATATTTAGAAAACCGGATAAAATAGAACCAACACTAGCACTGGTTGGTCTAATGCTTTTTAGTTTTTACGGCTTCTCTTCTCCTCTCCGATGCCTTTGTCGAATTAGAAGTCTGGGACTTTCCCCTCTCTGCCTTTCTCTGGGTATTTTGCATCTCTTCATTTCTTCGCTTGTAATGCCATAGAAATCAGCTACTAAGTACTCCCATCTCCCAACTCTCACTCTCTCTCTTCTCACTGGACGCATTCACTGAAATCTCTTAATTTTGGGGTAGGTGCTGATTTCTACTGCTTCTAATAATTATTATTCTCCTTTGTGGGTTCTTAGCTTCATTTGTGGATTCCAATTTGCGTAGTTACAAATTCATGTTTGAATTATCCTATTTAGATTCCCGATGGCATCCAGTTACTCCATTTTTACCTTACTGTCAAAATTTCCTCTGTTTATAGATCCTGCCCAGTGGGAACTGTTTGCTATTTATGTATCCATGATGTTTTAATAGAAAGCTTTGAGATTTGTCTACTTAATAATATATTACCTCTTCTTTCGTGCAGAGGAGATGGATCGTGTTAGCAGTCTACCAAACGAGCTTCTTTGTCATATATTGTCCTTCCTTACCACAAAGGAGGCTGCTTTGACTTCTCTTCTCTCCAAGAGGTGGCGCAATCTCCTTGCATTTGTCCCTTATCTCTACATTGATGACTCTGTCTTTCTCCATCCTGAAGAGGGTAAGCGGGATAGGCCCGAAATTATACAGAGCTTCATGGATTTTGTGGATAGAATTTTGGCTTTGCAGGGTGATTCTCCCATTAAGAAATGCTCCATCAAGTGTTTAACTGAGGTTGTTTCAGTTCGTGTAGATGGTTGGATAAGTAATGTGTTGGCGCGTGGTGTTTTGGACCTTGATCTATTAATCATTTTGGATTCAGAGGGAGATGATCATTATCTGCTGCCTCCAAAATGTTTCCAGAGCAGCACATTAGTTAGCCTGAAGTTAGACGGTGGAATTGATATTGGTTGGGTGGCTGGAAGCATTTTCTTACCGATGCTTAAAACTCTCACTATTAACTCAGCTCGGATTGATAACTTTGAGATTCTTCTTCATGCTTTGCCTGCGCTTGAGGAATTATCCCTGTTTGATGTAATCTCGAATGATCAGGGTGTGAACATATCAAGTGCAAGCCTCAAGACCCTCACAATATATGACATTTATTGTTCTAGCACTTTATCATTTGATACACCGAGTCTCATTTACTTTAAGTACACTGGTTTTGTTGCGAAGGACTACCCAGTAGTTAATATGAAAAACTTATTTGATGCTCGAATCATCTTGTTACTACATATCCAGCGAGCTAGAGAACCAGATGAATATCATTGGTTCGACCAAGACGTTGCTCTCAGATATAGCAATGTGTGGAAACTCTTTCTTGGCTTACAAAATGTTACAAATCTTTACTTGTCTCCTGGTACTCTCGAGGTTAGTTTTCTATTTTTTTTACTCTCTCTTGGAATATTTTTATTCAACTAGTATCGAGGAAATAAAAGAAGGTAAACATGACTTCGTCTCAACTTCTGGAGCACAACTGGTCTAGTTTTGAAACATGTAATTGCAAATTATTTAGTTGCTTTCAGGTGCTTTCGCGATGTTGTGAATCGATGCCGGTGTTCAAAAACCTCAAATCATTAGCTATTAAGAGTAACAAGGAACGAGGTTGGCAGGCAATGCCGGTTCTTCTAAGGAACTGTCCACATTTAGAAACTCTAGTCATTAAGGTATATAAACAACTCATTTTCCAAACTTTGTACAAAGATAGAGTTCATACTTTGAATCTCTTATTGTCTTCTTTATGCTTTCAGGGTCTCTTGCACCATGTCACAGATAAATGCGGGGATGCTTGTGACTGCATTTCTAGGGAGGACAAAGGTCGTTCGCTGACATCTTGTCCAGTAAAAATGTTAGAGATTCGAGGGTTTAGAGGAACAATGAAAGAGATGACAATGATAAAGCATTTCTTGGTCTATTTTCCGTGTCTGAAGGAGATGAACATCTATGTTGAAGAGAATGATCCTACAGAGCTCAGAGTCCCTGAAGTGTCTAAATGTATCATGCAGATGATGGAAGAATACAACAAGTTATCGAGTTGCAACGTCGAACTCCTTTGAGCAAAACTTTAAGGAAGTGGCCAGGGCCGTGCCAAGAGTTTTGGTGGCCTAAGGCAAAAAAAAAAACGTTTAATACATTTTTGTATTAAAATGTGTTATAATTTATAACTAAATTTAAACATTTTATTTTTTAATAAAATAGATATAATTAAAAATATTTTTTTAATCTATGAATATAACATTTTGTACCATTTACTATGAGTGTATAATTTTACACTATTTTCATAATCTATTTTTTAATTAATATGATTTTTATAGATAAAAATAATAAAATTCAAAATATTATATTCTTATTAATAAAGAGGAATATCAATGTTTTTAATATATTAAACAAAAATTCAAAATTTTTAAGAAAAATAGCATTAAAAATATATATTCTATTAACGTATCAATTATTATTTAAAATTTGGGGGCCCCAAAATTTTACTTAATATTGAGGGGCCTAAAACATTTGCCTTTTTTTCTCCTCATAGACACGGCCCTGGAAGTGGACTGCAAAAAACAAAACTTGCTCAAAGTTTTGCAAAAAGGTCCCATGGAAATTCATTCCGGTTTATTTGTTTAATTGGCTTGAAAACCGTTTCAGCCCAAACCAAACCAATTGCAAAACTATTGAACTTTCTTCTTTTTTTTTTTCCGAATTTTTCTAGTAATCTACTATCGATGGCTTACATCATTTGATACTTTCGCCACGATTTGCTGAGTTGTTCTTTGTTGACGTCTTTACTTCTTGACGTGGCTAATAAGCTAATATACCTAATCATCTTAAGGTCAATATAGAAAGACTTAACAGATTTTTTTTTTTTTTTTGTCGTCTAGATTTATTATTAATTGCAAATTATGAGAACTGTTACATAGACGATTCTACAACTGACAATTCCTTCCGACCCTTACTAGATTCACGACAGACTACACTTCCTTCTTCGTAATCTTGATGAATACCTTCAATGATCCACGACCTGGCGACACTTCCTTCTCTGCGTAGAATCCTGGCGAACGGCTATAATTGTACATCGCTGGAGATCTCTTGCACACTTGCCTCCATTAATCTGCAAATTTGTTAATAAATCGCAATACCTGGGACTCGAACCCCAGACCTTTTGGTGTAGAAGCATTAATCAACCCTTGGTCAACCAATGGGCCAAGGGGGCTTCCACAAGACTTAACAGATTTAATAGCAAAAAAAAATATAATATATATATATATATATATATATTATGTAACTTTTTTCCGAAACATCACATTTATGTTTGTTTCCATACCTCTAATTCTATGGCTCTATGCGTAAATGTGCTTTTAATTTGAAGACCCCTGATGTGAAGATCTTGCGGGTACAAAAATACAAGTACGATATCAAAAATGGCATTTCTCATCTTGATGCATTTGGCCAAAACCCAAAGTCAAAATTTCCATTACACAAAAAAAAAACAAGAAACAAAGTTGTTGATTTAGCAAACTGAGAATCGTTCTTACAAATCTGATGGAACTTTAACAAACTGTGTTACATCTGATACCAAACTATGATCCACAGGCTTCAAACCTTTTCTCAACCAACGTTTCAACAAGGCCAACTCTAATCTCCTCACCTGCAAATAAGTGAAATAACTCAATTCAGCTAATACTATACAACGTTTTTCGTTTTTGAAAAGCTAAAAGTGAGATGCAGAAAACCAAAGTGTACTATAAAGGAAGAGGAGAAAAAACCAACCTGTCTAACAATGAAAGGCTCCTCAGCTCGACTCAAAGGCTCGGTTAATACTGTTAGAAATCCGTTTCTGTTCCCGTAAACGATATCTGTGAAAGGTCGATCACCCACCTGCCCCACAAACACTTAAACACATAAACATCTTATCGACCAAAAATCAAGTTACCAGTTTCATCCCCAACATTCATCATAAAATTACCATGATAAGCTCCGAAGACGCGCAGCCAAAGTGTTTCTCGACCTCTTCAGCAGTTCCTGCAGGCTTCTTCACTCCTAAAATCATGAATCAAAAACAGTCCTTATCAGTTATCAGTTACAATGCTAAAAAACTAAGAGAAGAATCACAGTAGATCAAGTCACTTACTATGCCTCAACACTCTAATTCCTATCTCAGCCTCCAATGCTTTAGCTTTCGAATCATCATGATCATATTCCGTAAGCCCTGATATTTCACCAGACCCGAAAGTAAAAAAAAAAAAAGTCAGCATCTTCATCACCCAGAAACTACAACCACAAGGTCCACAACCAAACAAACAAAAAACCCCAAACTTTATCCAAATTTTACCAGCGGAATTGCTAAACACGGCGATGTCATGGCCAAACACGGCTTTACACCGCTCAATAGAAGGCCGGAGTGGTGGCCAAATCGCTAGAGAATAAGGAGCCGTAAGAGTATTATCTTTGTCAAACACTACACCTTTGAAACCCTTTCTCTTCAGCTCTCCCCAATCAATGTATCTTAAATCTTTCACAGAAACATGCGGAAGAACCAATTGACGATCTTTAACAACAACAGAGACCGAAGAAACGATACCCTCAACATTGATTCGTTGCCCAAGAGCCGCTTTCAGATCTGCCCACCACATGTTCGACGAAATCGCCAACCCCTTGTTGTTGTCTTCTACTCTCGGCAACACCAATTCGCGTGGCTCTCCGTCGAATTGTTCAGGGATCCGGTTAGAAAATCCTGGGTCTTCGGTCGGAGAGCTGAATTGGTAAAGAAGAAACGAATCTTCAAACGTGGGTAGACGCAGATTCTGCTTTTGGCTTCGATGGGTTGTTGTCGTTTGCAGAGAAGACGAAGGAGGAGGAGAGCAAATGGGTTTGGTGGAGCAGGAGATGAGATTAGGGTTTCGTTTGTGACGGGGAGGGGAAAGAAGGAAACTTTTGGGGATTGGGTAGTAGAAGCTAGTGGAGGCAGCCATCGATGTGGTCTGCGTCTCAGCCTTCTTTATAATACTATTGTTATTTTACTTTTATTTGACCCTTAAAATTAGTTGTAAGTTGTGTTTATCGAGAATTTCCAGATTTCTTGGAGTTGTTTTAGAAAACGAAAGAGATGACTCTTTTTCTTCCACACGCTTTGATTTCCAAAAATATAAACGGACAGTAGTCAATGCTAATTAACCTTAACAAGACACAACTATTCTACACTCCTTGTCCAAATGAACAAAACTTGTCCAAATGAATTTCAAGATTGAGAAGTCAAATTGTATGTTTTGCTCATGTGTTCCTCTTGTCTTAAACAGACCCTTGATATGCTCTTCAAAGAAGCATTTTTAAAACAGTTTCTAATGTAAAGTTAGTACTCATGGACTTGCGATAAATAACCACACTGGCCAAGCAAATCTATTAGAAACATGTTTCTCTTCTAAATCCAGTAAATAGAAGACAAGCATTTGTGGCATAATATAAGCTCAAGTTTATATCTGTTCCCATCAACAAAACCATGATAGCCAAACAACCAACAAACATAACAAACTCAAATCCAAACCCAAAGAAATTTGTGGCAAACCTGTATAAATCCATTCCTGAAATCAATCTTAAGACAAAGTAGAAGTGATGAAGAACAGTTACCAAATGTGTGGCATAATAAAAGCTGATGTCATCAACAAAAACATGATAGCCAACAACCAACAAACATCACAAACTCAAATCCAAACCGACAACCTATATAATTCCATTGCAGAAACCAATCTTGGTCATCAGTTATTCTTTCACTACATATTCATCAAAATCACCTTAGCTTAGAATAGCAGACGAACAAGGTCGCTGCAACCAAACCAGCAGCTCCAACTGATCCAGCAGCAACCACTGGCCACTGAAACTCTGCTTCCATGGAACCTTTTTGGTCACTACCATTTGTGTCTCTGACTCCATTACTAGGCTTCATGGTTCTCTCATTCAACCCAAAAACAGTCTTATTACCTTCCTCAACCTTCTTCAGCAAATCTTCCTTCTCTAACTCCATCTCCTTCTCTCTTTTTTGAGTTACACTCAAAGCTTCCTCCGTCAGCTTCTTCTCAGACTTCCGTTTCGCCAATTCCTCTACATTCTTCACCAATTCCAGATTCAAAGCACCGACTGTCTTCTGCAATTCGTCAATCTCTCTCTGTTTCTCATCCGCTAGCTCCCTCATCTCCTCTTCTAATCTAAGTTTCTTACTCTTCTCCTCCATTTCCCTCACTTCCAAAACCCCAATCTTCCTTTCCAAATCTCTAACCCTCTTCTCAACCTCAGCTCTATCTTTCCTTAAACCCTCAGCTTCCTTCTCATACCCCTCCAGCTTCTCTCCTTTCTCCGCCAAGGCTTTCTTCAGCTCCGCCACTTCTTCCGCCGTCTTATCCACGCCGTTCAAAGAAGTGATCAGATCGTCCTGAAGATTCGACACCTCAGTTTCAAGCTCCACAGCTCTCGTAGAAACAGATTCCAAAGCCTTCTTCTCTTCCTCATATTCCTCGATCTCTTTCTCCATTTCTCCGAATCTCTGATTCATCTCCGCTTCTACACCTTTCATCTCTTCAATTTCTCCCGTAAGCCTCTCTAACCTCTCCTTCAATTCACGATTCTCCTTCGTAAGCTCCTGACTCTTGTTCTCCATCTCAGCAATCTTCCTTTCCAGTTCCGTCGTCTTTCCACCGCCTTGATCGTAGTCAGAGATCCCCTTTGCCGCACGATTTTCAACATCGCCGTGGATTACCACCTCATCCGCCATTTACGCTGCTGCTAGAGAAAATTCAACACAGAATTAAGACGCAGTAATATGAATAACTCAACAAAATGTAAAAAATTCAATATCCCGTAAAGTTTGATGCTTTAGTGCAGAATCAGTCACTCTGACTTTTTCCCAGCGACCAAACATGACATTTCCTTTATCGGAACAAACCTGGTATAACGAATAAAAAAGATATGAAGAGAATTCTCTTGAGGTTTACCTTCTGATTTTCCGGTGGAGGGATCGGCTAATCGGTTAAAGATTCGATTTTTAGGGTTTATAGGGAGTGACAACATATGGCGTTGAGAAATTGGGCGGTCCTGAATACCCACGTGGTTTTAAAGCAAATCCACTTGGCGAGCATCATTTTCAGTGATCTCTGCTATATGGGCCTTAAGGGCTATTGGAAGCTCCATCAGGCCCAACTCTGCCACAGTCGTTTGCAGAGTTATTAACTTATTATTATATATTCGTTTATTCTTTGTTTGATGAGTTCTATTTTTGGCTTCCTTGTTTCACGATTTTATATGTTTTTTTCTTTTTTGACAATCTTATTGGTAACTATAAATCTTATAAGATAAAGAAATAATTAATTATTTTCATTTTATCGAGATGTACTTTATCAATCTAATGGCTAGAGCACGGAAAGTTATATAATTTGAAATATCAAAGGAAAACATTGTGGAGATCTTTTTCATTTTCTCGTAATATTTTGGAATAAAAACACATTAAGATAAAGAAAGAAAAAAAAACTAAATCATAAACCCGAACTAAGCCACAATAAAAAGAAATAATATAAGGTGAAAATAAATGAAAAAACAGAGAGAATTCCAAATTGTTTTTTTTTTTCTTTTTTTTTCTGATTTTCAGAATTCAAATTGTTTGTTCAATCTTCAACCTCCAAACTTCATATCTTCTTTGTCACCACGCTCAAGGAATGCAGTAAGAAGTTTAATGGCATTGATCTGACATTGCAGAGCCAAAATGTAACTAGCTGTCTCTTCAAACAGTGCGTCGACACCAAGTGCTGTTCCTCCGGGAACTATTGTCTGAAGTGCCTCGATCTTCTCATCCACTCCTTCTTCTTCATCGTCTTCATCTTCTACGTCAGTCTCACTTACACTCGCCGTTGTATCGGACAGTCTCTGTCTGGTTCTGCGGTTGAAACCGGTGGAGGTTGTGTTCACGGCGGTAGATGGAGACGGAGAAGAGCGTTTGGTATGGGAAGTGGCTAGGGTTTTCTCCATTGACGGAGGGAGAGAGGATGTGTTGGAAGAAAAGGAGTAAAGAGATCTGTGTGTATTTATATGAGTGATGGGAATTACTAGTAGATTGAAGTAGGACCGGTTAAAACCATTCCGGTTCGTTTTACTTTGGTTTACTCTTGTTTTCCCCTAATCGATTGATTATGAGCTGAGTCTTAGTGTGTTTGGTTTATTATACTTTAGTTTAGTACTATGTTTTAGTTGTGGATTTTGGTTTTGTTTGATTCAGATTTAGGTCTGAGGTTTGGCTATAATTTTGGGAATTGGGTAATGCCGGTATGCCATCAAAGCTGGGTCCAGTTGTGATTTTTTATTTTTTATTTTGTTCTTGTGTGTTTCGAATTATGTGTTGGATTGTTTGTTTTGTTGGTTATTATTAGAGAGACTTTGGATCGTGATAGTCACGCGCTATGTTGTGTGGTCTAGTGGAGACGTCACTATACTCAAGTGGATCTCCCTGAGGTCCTGACAGATAGATAGATTGGATCTTTATTTGTCTTTAAAAAAATAAATCCATCAGAAAAGTTTAATACAGATTGAAAATGCGTGCCATTAACAAATTTGTAACATGCTTAGTTTAGTAATAATAGAATTGTCGACATGTGTTTTAACTTAATCCAGACTTTGACTTGTGGGTCTTTGTTTTTTGTATTCTTTTTGGATACAGTGATGATGGGTTTGAATCAATATTTCATCACCTTATAACTTATAGATAAACTACTTATTTTTTTATATCTTATAGTAACTTAATTATGCATATATACGACGAATGTAATACATGCTCTTTATCCAGATTTCAAACTAAAAATGAATGAAGATGTATGAGAGTTAGCTTGACCATTCTTATATAATCCATTGTATATATTTGCATCAAACGAATTTTAAAATTGTATATGAAGATATAAGATGATGTATGTACCTTAGAATGTGAGATTAAAAAAACAATCAATCATATTTTTCCCTTACTGATTTGATGATGTGTACTCTAATTAATACTATATCCGTTATCTTATTAGGTTACATACTTACATGACATTCCAAGTTTCAAACTTGAGCACAGCTTGACTTAATCCAGTTACTAATGAGTCAAAGTAAAGAGCTAATCCCACACGCTCATCAATCTCTCGCACGTGATAAGAAAGAAGGAGAGGAATCACCTGCGACAGGTGCATGGGAGACGAGGAGATGGGAGCCACAAAAGCTCCGCAAAAAAGGAAAAGAGAAAAGGAAAGCACATGTGCTCACATGAGTTTCTCCATCTATCTAAATTAGCTCCCATGTGCCTCTCTTTCTTACTTCCACACACACACACAATCTCTCTCTGTATAATAGGGAGAGAATGAATTAATAGAGAGAGAGAGAGATACAGTTGTAGCCTTGTAGTTGTAGGTAGTGAAGTGGTGGTGGTGGTACTATGATGATCTACTTAAACTAGTTGCAGTCGTTGCACAGAAGAAGATCCACATGATTTTCCATCTCGCATGGGAGCCACGTGACATCTTTTATGGAACCTACCTTTTCTTTTCCCAACTATTCTATCCCTAAATCTTTTGTCAACTCCCTTATTTTTCACTGTTTCCAAGAATTTCCAAGAAAGTAATCTTTCTGTTCCATAAAAATTGATGTTGTGGATTTTTTTCTTTTTTCACAAAAATTAATGTTTTATGTTAATATTATTATTATTATTATTATTTGTAACCAATAGAGAGAAGAAAGAAATACAATTAATATTATTAAACAAATAAAATAATAATAAAAAATAGAAAAGCTAATTTTTCTTAATTTATATGCAAAACTCACAACATCAAATTTCATTAAACAGAAAAGAGTATTTATTATAGAGAAATAATACAAAAAAAAGAAAGAGAAAGAGAAAAGTCGTCCTCATGTCGGCATTAATCTTTACACAATTCACTCGGGTTCATCATCCTCTCTTTTTTCAACACAAGACTATATTTTAACTAGGGCTGGGCATTCAGGTATGCGGGTCGGGTTCGGGTAAAACCCGATCGGGTACGGGTCTTTCGGATAGAGGAGTTTAGGACCCAATAGGGTAAATCTAAAATATCGGTTCGGTTTCGGTTCGGATCTAATCGGGTTCGGGTCGGTTCGGGTTTAGATTTTTAGAACCGCTAAATACCCAAAAAAATCGGGTACCCATCGGGTTCGGGTATTTTATACCCAAATACCCAAAATTTTACCAAATACCCGAATTTTATCTGAAATTTTATCCTAATATCCGAATTTTATCCGCATTTTTACTATAATATCCAAGTTTCACCCAAAAATTTATCCGAATAACCGGAATTTTGTCCAAATATTTAAAAAATTTACAAGCATCTCGCGTATAAATATATTTTATCTTAAATATTTAAATATAAGTGCATTTAATTTTTGGTAATTATTCTCGGATATTTAGATATAAATGTATTTAGCTCAAATATTACATATATAAAAAGTTTTATATGTATAAGTATATGTAATTTCGGGTAATCGGGTACCCGTTCGGGTATCGGGTTTGGATCGGGTTTTACCCTATACCCACGGGTACGACAATACAAGATCCAATAGGGTAAATAGCTAATACCCGTACCCGCCCCGAACCGGTTTTTTCGGGTCGGTTTCGGTTCGGGTACTCGGGTACGGTTTTTTTGCCCAGGCCTAATTTTAACTACTTATTTTGTTGTTGTTCTTGTTCTATGGATATACTTAGTAATACCACTTCGTATTTACTAACTAATTATACTAGTTACTTAAGAAGTTCCTTCCCACATCATCATAAATCTAAAGAATTATAATTATATTACTCCCTCTGTTCCTAGATATTTGATGTTCTAAAGATTTAATTTGTTTCACAAAGTTTAATTTTTGAGGTTTGTTTAATTTTTTATTAAATAAAATTAACATATCGTAAACTTCAAGACGTAATGATTAACTGTTTTCTAATTCTATTGGTTCAAAGTTATTAAAACATATTTAGTAGTACTAAAAAAACAATTGACAAATAATTAAATAATGATTGTTTCTTAATATACTCCTTATGTTCCTAGAAGTTTGATGTTTTAGTGTTTTGGGTTTGTTCCACAAAGATTGATTTTTTAGGTTTTTTCTTTATTTTTAGTTAATTGATATTAATAAATCGTATATTTCAAGACGTAATGATTAACTGTTTCAGATTACTATTGGTTCATAGTTTATTTAAAAATGTTTAATAAAAAAAGGGGCTTTTACAAAAATGCTCCTTTTTCAATGCCACTTTTCAAAAATGCTCCTTCTTTAAAACCTTATAAAAAATGCTCTTAAAAATATAAGATTTACCCAAATATGTATGTAACATTATTAAAATATACACAAACTACATTTCTATGTATCTAAAATCTTATAAATACTTTATAAATACCTTATAAATGCATTTTAAATACCTTTAAAAACCTTTAAAATATCTTGTAAAACCTTTGAAAAACCTTAAAAATCCTTTAAAATAACTTGTAAAACCTTTAAAAACACCTTATAAAACTTTATAAATACTTGGATCGAGTCTTCAAGTAGTAGTTACAATCCATAAGTACCTTATAAACATAATAAAACTTTATAAAAATTTTAGATTTAAAAAGGCATATTTTTGAAAATGAACATCTAAAAGGGACATTTGAAAAGAGGCACACCAAAAGAGGTATTTTTAACAATTTCCCTAAAAATAAATAATTAAGCAATAGTTATTTTTAAAAATATGTGAAATCTCTAGAAAATCAATTTTTTAGAAAAAAAGAAATATGTGAAAACTTTAGAACATTTATATTCTAGGAAATAATAAATTAGTAACAATTACTAATCATACTAGTATAAGAGAGAAAAATAGAGGGTAGGTGATGTTTCCAAGGAGGGAACGGAGAGGGGGTTGGTTTATTGGGATTGAGATTATCAGTATTGGTTTCTATCACCATCGACCAACCTGACACTTACGCCAATTCTAATATTTATATATTGGTGGTGGGTTAATATTATATAAATATATAAATATACTATACACAATTACACAAACTTGCAAAGTTGCAATAATAATCGACCCCAAAAAGATCTTATATAGCCAGCCTTCTTCTTCTATTCGCATTGGTTAATCATTATTCAACCGCAACCTTATTTATGTTTTCCATAAATATTTTTTGGTCATCTAAATTAATAGTCACATCAAAGGGGTTAGTTAATGTGCGTTGTTAAAAGTTAAAACAAGAAATGGTGTTGAGAGATGAGGTAATTGGTCATTTTTGAGGGAAATAAAGAAAAGGAAAAAAAGAAAAAAAGAAAAAAAGATGAAGAGGACAAAGACTAGTGATATGTTATGGTTTTATTAGTTGCAGATTATTTGTCTTCTCATTTTGTGGTTGAGGAAATATGGGCCAACCAAGTAGACCCAATATGACGGTTGATCTTTTGGGACAATGGTTACATGGGTGTGGGTCCCTTCTGCATCATACTTTTGTCTGTAATCGAATTTTTTCACTTAAAAAAAAAAAAAAATCACTTTTTTTTCTTCGAACATGAATCGTATATCATCTTATAAGCTCCAATGCAAAACTGGTGTAATATTTTGTTTGTAGTTTCTTACTGTATCTTTTGTCAATTGTTTATCATCAATAACATTTATTTTGATCTTATCATCAATATTCTCTCTGTTCTTAGATATTTGATGTTTTGGGTTTATTTTTTGTTTCACAAAGATTGATGTTTTGTAATATCATCATTACTATTTTTATTTGTGACCAATAGAGAAAGGAGAGAAGTGAGATTAATATTATTAAACTAATAATAAAACAATAAAAAAATTATAAAAAATGATTTTTTCTTAATTAGTTGTAAACCTCAAAATATCATTTTTCTAAGAACAGAAAGAGTATTTCTTTCATAAAATTACATTTTGAACTCTTAGCTTGCGCCTTTCGGTAAAGAAAATCAAAGATCTTGGTACAAAACGCTCAAATGATCTGGTTATAGGATTTGAAGTGTCCTAATGGAACTTGAGTAATGACATTATTTCAGAAAATAATTTGTTTTTTAATAACGGAAAAGTTGAGGACCAGGTTTTGTTAGACACTTCAAAGACGCAAATCACTAATTCCCAAAAGAGAACGTGTTCGGATGTATTCGTTCTTCAGATGTTAATTGTTGCTGTATTAGCTCACATAAACAAAACAAAACAAAAGCAAATTCTACGAAAGGTCTACACACATTACATTATGCGTATATAAGAACATTAAATATGCTTTTCTTTGATGTAGAATAGATTTAAGTGTATAGTCCAGATTTTGTTTTTAATTGAATCAGGAAGAAGAAAACAAAGTGATGCTCGTGACATGGGCTTCCACTGCCACAGCCCACATGCGTCGGATCTGCCATGAGAATATCATTAACATCATAAGTGATTTCATCATAAAGATCATCATCATGTGCATGTGCAATGATCGCATATTCTCATCCTATCTGTCACCAGGTAAGTATGGCTACAAAGTTGTTTGTCCATCGCAGAAACAAAACAATCTTTTTTTAAACACAACAGTTTCTGTCGGCGATATTTTGTACTAACAGAGGTTGAAGATGCGATATGTATTTGTTCCGAGCGATAAAACCCAAATTTGGTATCAGTACATTTTTTGACATACTAGAAAACCTAGCTTTTAATATTCTGATTCATGCTCAAACACTAGAAAACAGAGATATTATAACCAAACCGAGTCATATCCAAAGAGAGTTCAATGATTCAACTAGGAGAGAACAAACAAATGTTTGTTTTTGAAGCATTACTTAAGTTTCCTCATAACACTTGATCTGTATCTTGCACTTGGAAGATATAGGAGCCCTTAGCAGGTATCTGGTGAATCGAGACTTTTCTTTCTCGGTTATTGCATACGCACCAACTTTGACAAGTTCAAGACACGACAGTTTCTCTAGGAAATGTCTCATTTGCTTTAACTCTCCGATTGTTCCTCGATACTCTGCTATCTTCAAGACTTTGACAGAACATGACGATAGACAAGAGTCTCCCAACAAACACCCGCAAACAAATTCAAATTCATTAAAGTGAAATGGACCCTGAAACAAGAGGGAAAAAGATTAGAGATTTGAGTTTGGCCGATAAATAAGCTTCAGGGGTTTCGGCTATACCTTGATGACGAGTGTCTCTAGTTTTGGAGATTTTTCAAGAAGAGATGGAAGAAATTTCAAACCGGATCGTGAAGCAGTTGTAATAGATAAACTTAACAGGTTTATGAACACTGGGATTGCTTCATCGGAATACCTGAACACCTGAAACAAAATAAAAATCAACTAGTCAATATATAGTCATCAACACTCTGCAATCTATGGATCCAAAAACCTCAAGAAACATCTTTATATGTATCAAGATTTCGATTCTTATCCTCGGGAAGCGAAACAAGGCTCCCTAAATTTTCTCTTCATATCTCTTTTATGTACTCGTAACTTGCATGAGAAAGATAAAAAGAAGAGATCATTCTTTACCTTGAAAATACGAGTAGATGATAACTCCAAGATCTCAACATTACTTAACCCCTTAATTAGATTCAATGGATTGCTATAACCAGAAGGTGAACCAAGATCAATCTTAGCTTCAACAAGGGATTCAAGATTCATAATTGGATACTCTCGTGGAACTAAATCAGAGTATTCTAAGTAGGCTAGATTCGGAGTATCAAAAGTCAAGTCCCAAGATGCAATACGACCAGTACACTTAATAGTAAGTCTCTTAAGGGTCAAAGAGGACACGGTGAAACAGCATTGTCGATTTTGCCAGTTTGGACCAAGAATGGTTAATTCCTCAAGCACAGGGCAAGCAGAGAGTAGCTTTCCCAAAGCACAATCATCATGACCACTATACAACCAAATCGAATCAAGAGAAAGAGTCTTAAGTGATGGAAGAAAAGCATCATCAGGAATGTTAGCCTCAAATCCACTTGCAAGTTTCAGTTCAACGATTGTCTTGCAAGCGAACACCTCGCGAGGCATTAAAATCCCAGAGATTATGTCTATATCAAGATCCAAGACATCATGTTTCAGTACATTATTCATCCAACGGATGACATGAGCCGAGTCGATACTCTTTGGACACTTTATTGAGATTTTCCTTCGGGGAAAATTGCCTGACACATCCAGTACTCTATCCACAAAATCGACGAAACTTTGTCCGGTACCCACTCCATGGTAATCTAAATGAAGATTCGGGCTCAAGGCAAATAGATTACGCCATCTCTTCGAGAGAACAGATGTTAGAGCAGCCTCTTTAATCGGAAGGCAAGATAGAATGCAGCAAACAATCTCATCTGGTAGACCGTTGATCCTATCCATCTTTTTTTGCTAAAACCTAAACCTAGAACCCTAAAACCCTAGAAAAACTTTCAAGGCGTGGTTAATCCGAATATAGTTTTCAGCGGCTAGATCTCCAGCATTATCAACCACAAAAGTAGATAATCACCGAATACATATAAGGTCTCGTTGAAAACTAAACCAGGAAATGAAACCCCTAAAAAAAGAGACGATTTGAGGAGAAAAAGTAAATTACTTGCTTCAGACGTCAAGGAAGAGGAATGAATATGCAAGCAAAAGGAGTTGTGAAGAGTTTTGTTAGAACATCCAAATTCCAAATTACAGCTGAAGGAGGCCGCCAAACGGGGTTTTTCATGTAACTGTTTCGACGAGGCAAGCAAAGAAATTTTTAGGGTTTTCTGCTCTAGTCTGGTTTGGGTTTGGAAACCTATTCAAACCCAGTAGATCAAACCGAACCAAAATCAACTAAAAAAGCACTAAGAGCAACATTATTGGTAGTCTCTTAATATTGGCTCTTAGCATTAGATGATGGACATTTAGCTAAGAAACACTTTTTAACCCACCAAATGTCTCTTAGCTAAGAGACATTCTTAACAATTTTAAGATATTTGCTTTATTTTTATTTATTTTAAGCTAAGATTTTTTTCTAGGATCTTCCTAAGAGACTACCATTAATGATGGTCTAATAAATGTAGTCTTAACTCGATGACTTTTTTCTTTTGTATTTGCCTTTTTCAGCGTTATGCTAAATCATAAAAAAAAAGGGCGTTTGTTATACTACTAGGATATGACCCGCGGGTTAAATAAATTTTTGTTTGTATTTTTTTTAATAATTTGATTATTTGTGTTATATTTATTTGATTAAAAAAAATTTTGGTTTATCTAAATCTTTTTTTGTTTTTGTCTTTTTTTTATAATCTTATGATTGATCGTATTTGGTTTGTAATAAAACTAGATTTTACCCCGCCGCGGATTGATATTTTTGTAACTAAAAAGTTTAAATTTTAAATTGTAGTTGTTTTGTTGATATTATTTGTTTTGTATAGTATTTATGATTGTATACTTGTATTTTAGTTGTTAATTCTAGCATTTCACCTATGGTATACCCTCCCGTATTAATATCGACCCTAACCCGTCCCGTGAAATTAAATCTTTTTTTTTTTCCGAAAAATACTTTGTTTAAAGGACATATGGTTCCCATATGATTTATGTTTTGTTATTCAATTTAAAGTTTGCTTATAAATGGTTTCCATAATATTTATATTTTTAATTTTATAGAGTTTAAATATTATTAATTTTATAAATTCTTTTTATGGAATTTAAATATTATAAATACTTTAAAATTTTTATAAAATTTAAATATTTCTAATTTTGTTAGTATATGATGTATGTGGGATCTGTTTATAATAGAAGAACACTATTCTAATGCTAATAACATAAATTTTTTATGTTAATTAGAAAATTTGCTATAAATAAAAATGAAAGTAAATAAAAATAATTAAATAATATATAAATAAAAATAAATAAATAAAAATGAAAGTAAATATGGAATTAGTTACATGAAAATAATATATCGTCAAAATTCTATAATACACGTTCAAGAATTATTTTAAACATTAATGATGATTTTTGTTGATTGTCTCATTAATTGTTTTGTAATCCGACCGGAGGATATGATGAATCGAACTGAACCGAGGGGATAACCAAACTCGACTTAGAAAGCTTCTGATCGGTCCAACTCTCTTAACTGAAACCAAACCGGAAACCTTTTATCTCTCGGTTTGGTTCGGTTCAGATTATTACTGCAGGCCTAGAAAGAAATGTTGAATGCCCGTACCAACCGCTTGGTTTAGTGATCATGTGAAAATGAGTAAACCAAATTGAAATCCCTAGATTTGCGAGAGTGGATCGGTCATAGAGCTCAGTTTACGGTGGTGAATCCAGTGAGCCATGAGCCATGAGACCACAATTGGAGAAGATGTGAAGCAAAAGCAGATCGAGAACCATGTAGGCTTGAAACTCTCTTCTTCTTCTTCTTCTCCTTCAATCTCTCTCTTACCAAAACTAATCTCGTTTGCTATTGCTCTATCTCTTACATCCTCTTCCCCTGCCTTAGCCATTCCTTCTTTCTCCTCTTCTCAGCCACTCACCACTCCTTTCAGTACCCAATCCAAGTTTGTGCAGATTGGTCTTCTCAATGGGTTTGTTCCTCTTCTCAGTCTAATTCTTGATCTCCAAAACAAATCTAATCTTGATTACTTTTCCTTTTTTATCATTTGTGTAGCAAAATTAGACCTTGCCCTTCCACGAACCCAGGTTGTGTATCGACGAATCCGACCTCATCTTCCTTCTCATTTCCATTGACGATCCGTGAAACCGATGCACAGGATCCCATTTAGGTCTTTGATTGTTGCTATTAAGCACATTTAAAAAAAACGTTATGCTTTTTTATTGTTGCTATAAGGTGAGAGGGTCTTTCCAAGATATTAGATGTTAAAACTCTATCTTTACTTACGCAGGAACTTTTGACAATCTAATTATTATGTATTAAGACTTGTGCTAACCCCGTAAAAGGATGCTTCTTCTTTTATTTTTGTTTTAGGTTCTAAGTCAATGGTTCTAATCTTTGAAAAAATAATCAGTTAGATCTTTGTTTGAAGAATCTGTCTTCTTGCATTCGAAAATTTTATATATCATATAATTTTCGTTGATATTTGCTCAGAGACTAAAATCTTCATTGGTAACATGTTTAAAGAGAGATTGCTCTGGTTGTTCACGTTGTGACATTTGTTGAATTTGGCAGGTTCATGGATCTCAAATGCAAAGCAACATGGACACGCTTATTCAACATAGTCAAGGACCAAAGTAAACAATGAGATTCCTTATGGGATCTTAAAGAACATTTTCATACAACATAGTACAACAGGTCGGTCGTTTTCAAAGTCTCTTTCCATTTTTCCATGTCTTTTTATGTTTTAAGCTAATCATTTGATTGCCTCAAAAGGTATTTCAAGAATACATGATAGTTTCTTGTCATCTTAATTCTTCATTTCCTACACAGAAAATCTTGTAGAAAACAATTTATAAACATAGATTAGATCAAATCCAAATCCAACTAATACTAAAACAAAGTATTCAGAAGAAACACAAAATGATATATATTTTTATGAACATAATGTATACAATATTGTAATGTAGTATCAAAAAGAAGTTAAAGGCTTTATGGATCTGCAAAATCTGTGTTGTTCAAATCAAATCTGCAGAACATTTCTCTTGCATTTTCTTGTTAACCACAAATCTGCAGAAAAAACAAAACAAAAAAAAATGAATTTGGAAACTGAAAATAATATTTGAGTTCAGAATCTCACCACTCACCAGTTTGGTTGTGTATTGCCATGATGCAGGATCTTAACTTAGATTCGTCATGCGATTTTGTAAACCCGTCTCTTAGATAGGCGAATGAAACAACCATGGAGATATTGAAAAGGTTTCATCCTCGATGTAAAAGGTATAATGTTTCTTGATGTGCTGTTTTTTTCTTTTGCATGTGTTGACATGTTATATATAGAGGTTGTAGATGTTTAGGGTTAGGTTTGATTGTAAAGCGGAAAAATTTTGGTGATCAAGTTCAAAATCTTGAAAATCTCGCAATTTGAAATTAATCCTAACTATATTAGGTATATTCTCTATATATGGTACAAAAGAGATATATATATTACAATCGTCGAGATTTATGTATATTGTTAGCATTCCATGTTTAGTTGTTAGAACCGTGTAATTAATGAGATAATTATTGTCGTTTCTTTTTGTAGAAAACATCTTACCAAAAGAGATATACATAATAATAGGCGAAATTTGTGGAAGATCCGAACTAAAGATTTGTTGGTTACCAAACAAATCATTTTAATTCGTTAGAATTTTTTTTGGAAAGTATCATTTAATGTGAATCCGAAATACTTTTTTCGGGTCAAATTCCGGGACAAAATTAAACAAATTTTTGGGTCAAAGATTTGGTGAATAAATTTCGGGTTGAAAATCACAAAGAAGGTAAGATCCGATTGTCTCCAAGTCGGGTCGAAATAAATTAATTCCGGGTCAAAATTTCGATCCGATTGGGGATCCCAAAAACTGTTGCAAAAATGTATAGTAGATTACATAAATAGTTGAATCTTCAGGACAATCTTGGCCTCAATCTTGGCCTGTTTGCGTAAAAGATCATATGTTCAGTTAAGACTAATTAAGACAATCAACTAAGACCACCTCAAAGCAAAATACAATTAAGAAACCAAATCACAAGTCGCAAAGAAGAAGAAGATAAGAAACGCTTGTCTCTTTGGAATTGATGATAACTCTTGACTGGTGAACTTTTGGACCATGAATCGTTTGTCAATGAACTTTTCTTTTGTATTAGATTAATCGAATGCAAAGAGTACAATGAGTTATATATCAGCTTGCAAACTCTCTAGTGTAGTATCAACCTAGAAATGCTTTACACTATGTCTACGAGTATTGTAGCAAACTGAGAAAGTAGTTATTTGCTGAGTCTATGGCATCATCTAAGCATCACTTGGCATGATCAAGCGTGATTTCTCTGCGGTCTAATTCGTGCCACAATTGTCCTTTTCATCTGTTTGTGCAATGCCTTCAAATTAACAAGGGGAACTGTCGTTGGTCGTCCATGAGCACACTGTCTTAACGGGTGAATTTGATTGAAGATGAATCTTTATGGTAAGAGTTGATGTTTCTTACTTACCTGGAAACAAATTGAGAATTCATAAAGATGACCAGGATTGGAGGATTGAAGTCTATTACCATCATATACAGAAACTACCTAATCAACGGTTCATGCTCTGTTTACTCTAACGAAAAATCAAAGAAATTACCTTGATAGATTGTTACGCAGTAAGAAAGATATTATTTTGTTGTAACGGTAATGTAACGTAACATTTTCTTACCGTGATCAATTTCCTTTTCTTCGTAAAACATAAAAAAAAAAAAAGGAAATAACAAAAACCTAGTCGGAAAAGGAAATAACAAGAGCAAAATTTCCTTTTTTCAATGGAACGTTTGCTTATAAATAGTTTCCCTCATATCTTCTTCTTCGTTGAGAAACCAAAAACCAAAAAAACATCTTTCATCTTCTTCTTCTTCTTTCTTTTTATACCTAAAGAAAATTTCTCTTGTCGATCAAAGCTCTGCGACTGATCACTGATGAGCTTTCGATCTCTCGTGAAAACATCTTCAATCAATCGAGTTCAGTTTTTAGTTCGTGTCTCCCTAATTTCACACGATCTAAGATCTCGCCACCGAAACGCTTTCACCGAAGGAGATGGTTTCACGACGGAGAAGGATACGAGGAAGACGGTGGCGAAGAGAGGGATAGTGAAATTGACGACCAGTTAGCAGGTTCGGTGTTTCGATGGCTTTAGACTACGAGTCGCCTCCGGAGAAAGAAGACCAATTTGTGGTTTCATCGATCATCATCACCAAAATCCCAAGTGAGAGGATCAACAAGTATAGAAAAGAAATGGGCTCAAATCTGACTTTGGAATGGGCTTTTTTTGTATGAGGCCTTCTATGCTACTAAATCCAACAAGGTACTATTTTTTGTTTGTTTCCTTTTATTTTCTTAAGATTAGTTTAAGTATTAAATTAGTTTTAAAAGATTAACTGTTAATTAAAACAATATAATTAAACTTATGGTTTCAAAAAAATAACTATTTAAAATTTTAAATAAAAACTAAAACTTTAACAAAACAATTAACCAAAACAATGTTAATTTTACTATTACTTTTTAAAAATTAGTTTAAGTGTTAAATTATAAAAACGTCGAAAACTAACCGCGCCTAGGCATCCTGTCCTTAGTTGGTCCGTAAGCTTTGGTGTTCGAAGTTCAGCATGTTTTCACGTAATATAGATTTAACACTTAAACTCATTTTTAAAAAACTAATAATGATTTTTACTAAAATTTAAAACAAATTTTAATACTTAAACTTTAAGAAAATAATGCTTTTAACCAAAACAATGTTAATTTCACTATTTTTTTTTTAAAATTAGTTTAAGTGTTAAATTTTAAAAACGTCGAAAATAACCGCGCCTAGGCATCATGTCCTTAGTTGGTCCGTAAGCTTTGGTGTTCGAAGTTCGGCATGTTTTCACGTAATATAAATTTAACACTTAAACTCATTTTTAAAAAATTAATAATGATTTTCACTAATATTTAAAACAAATTTAATACTTAAACTTTACGAAAATAATGCTTTTAACCAAAACAATGTTAATTTCACTATTACTTTTTAAAAAATTAATTTAAGTGTTAAAATTTAAAAACGTTGAAAATAACCGCGTCTATGCATCCTGTCCTTAGTTGGTCCGTAAACTTTGGTGTTCGAAGTTCGGCATGTTTTCACATAATATAGATTTAACACTTAAACTCATTTTAAAAAAATTAATAATGATTTTTATGAGTTTAAAATAAATTTAACACTTAAAAATTTAAGAAAATAATGGTTTTAATCAAAACAATGCATATCCTTGTTTAACAATAAAGTCAAGTTTCACGCTTCACCACCTCACATAGACAACGGTTGACATGAGCATAATGAGCTGGGTCAAGCTCGTTATAGGTGATTAAACTATACTGTGAACAATTTTTGTTAGTTTGAGTAAGATTAAATTGGGTTTTGATCGGTTATAAAACTCAACTAGGTAGCCATCAAAGCAAAACTAAATTGTTTGAAAATCATATTAAAATTTAAAACAAACCCTTCAAAACAGAGGAATAGAGGATGATAAAAACACTAGAAAACAGAGCAAACTGTAACCAAAAAGCAGTTAACACAAACTGATTCATGAGTCGAAACTTTCTTGTCATTTTTTACCGAAGCAAGAACCTTCACCAATTCTCAAGACATGGAAATGTCTCTAGTAAACGTAGAACAGTCCTCTATTAAAAAGCTAAAGATTGTGAACACGTAAATATTTGAAATTGTAGAGAAGCAGGAATGGTTCTGTCTAGTACATGAATCAAATCGTACTTAAGCAAAATAAAAGCTAAAAAGAGAAACAAAACGAAAGCAAGTTTTCATCCGCCAAGACTTCACTTTCGAGTCCACCTCCAGTACAAGGGAGCCAGCACCCTGAAATTAACTGTGCAACTCGACATATCGTTGTATTGCATCAGCGTATCCTCCACAAGTTCAAACCATTTGGTCCTTTTCTTCGACAAATATCTCCATCTCCTTCAAACCTGGACAATATTCCAAGAAGTGCTTTATCACGTGCACCTCTCTGATTGTTCCTCTAAATCCTTGAATCTGTATCTTATTCACAGGGCAAGCCATGAGCGAACGACCTTTCTTCTTCCTAGGAATGCAGTCACAAACATCCCCGCATTTTTCTGTTACAGTGTGTAAGAGTCCCTGAAAAGGCATAAAGGAGACAATAAGCGGATTTCAAAAGTTGAAAGTGGGGAAACTATGGTTTGGTGTTTAATACCCCAAGGATTAGAGTTTCCAAATTTGGACAGTTCCTTAGAAGAAGTGGCATTGCTTGCCATCCTTGCAGCATCACACTCCTAATATTTAACATGGTAAGGTTTTTGAAAACCGGCATCGCTTCACAGCAAAGAGAAAGCACCTGAATCAAGAGACATTGTTATATTCCACGAACTGAGACGAAGATCTTCGCCTTTCCTTCTTATAAAGACCAGCTGAAATAAGTGTTACAAAATAGGAGACTGACCTCGAAAGTAACAGGAGATATGTGAAATATCTGAGCATTTCGAATTCCATGAATAAGCTTCCACACATTATCTCTTGCTCGATGGATTCGATCATAAGTAAGAGCAAGGTTCATCCCAACCTCAACTAAGTTTGTCAAGTTTACTTTTGGATAATCCTCTGCAACGGAATCATAGTAGTCTAAGAAAACAAGATTCGGTGTATCGAATGAAAAAGTGCCTAAACAGCCATCTTCAGAGGTAATCTCAAGCTTCTTGAGGCTTGAACTTGACAAGATCACATTCCTATCTTTCCACTCCATATCAAGAAGCATTAATTCTTCAAGGACAGGGCAAGCAGGAAGAAGTGTCTGAAACTGACCCCTACCAAACCCAACTGATTGAAGAACAAGAGTCTTAAGCATCGGTAGGAACATGTCATCGTCCCACGAATAAAGATCAACTCCGTACCCTGTTTTCAGCTCAACTAATGTCTTACTGACAGATATCTGGTAAGGCAGCGAATAATCTTCATCAAAGTCCATGAATAGATCAAGGTGAGAGACACCGCGTTACAACACATTACATATCCAACGATCCACACGATCAGGATCAACACCAGTTTTAACATTTAGGGAGAACTTCTTAATGGGAGAATCACCCTGCAATGCCAAAACCCTATCCACGAAATCCATGAAACTCTGAAGAATACCGTCCTTTTCCCGTTTACCCTCTTCGGGATGCAGAAAATCAGAGTCATCGAAATCGATACTAGGGACAAACGCAAACAGATAGCGCCACTTCTTTGCAAGAACCGATGTTGAAGCAGCCTCCTTCGTTGGAAGGGATGACAAGATATGAGAAATAACCTCGTCCGGTAACTTGCTGAAGAGATCCATCTCCTCCGAGTCCATTGTCTACACAAAACTCCTAAGCAATAGAAAAATCAAGCATACATCATTACCAAACAGTACTATTCTAGGATCCACAAACTGAGAAAGGAACAGAACGATTTGATTCAAACAAGAAGCAAATTTAAAACCCTAAATCAAAGCATAAATCACATATACGCAATTGCTAAATCAATGACGATTGATTTGATTTGGGGATAACTAAATCTCCCAATAAATGGCCATAATGGAAGCAGAAGATTTAAGTTGATATGGAGTCCTTACCACGGTACGAAGAACAAGTTCAAAACTTTCAGATTTGAGGGACAAGCAAACGCATATTTTTGCACCCAAAATTAGGGTAAAATTGGTGGGCAAGTAAAAAAAAAAGAAGATATATATATATATATATATATACACACACACATACATTATAGGGTTTAGGAAAAGGATAAGAGTGATGATAGTGGGGGGATTCTATGGCGGGAATGTAAACTTTTCATCTATTGATTGCATCGAAACGGTGCGTCTCTCCATGGTAATACATTTTCAAAAACTCTCCATGGTAATACATTTTCAAAAACTCTTTACATGTTATGTATCCAACAAAAAATAATATTACATGAGTTAAATTTTAAAATTTTTGTTTGATAAACGAACTAATATGTATTTATAACCTCTGATTTCATTAGTCGTTGTTCTTGGTGTCCCAAAAAGTTAACTAAGTTGGTATCTGTTTTGTTGTATAGTGACTTAGTGAGTCAGGTTGTAGGTAATTTTAATCTTGCTAACCTTAGTCAATTCGTGTTAAAGATCTGTTAAGGACACCAACAAAGAATAACTCAAACCAAACTAATGATGACAAATCATAATTCATATCATCCATATGACAGAACTAGAAACAAGACTTTCAGAGTGCTCACAGAACAGATTTATGTTATAACAGAGCAACTAACTAGGAGGCAATGAACTGGAACTGGATCTTGCACTTGGACGGTCCGCGAAGCCTTAGCAGGTCGTTGGTGAGTTTCAACTTTTTCTCGTCGTCTGTTTCACAAGCACAAACTTTGACTAGCTCAAGACATAGTAATTTCTCCAGGAAATTTTTCATATGCTCCAAGTTATCTTTAGTTCCTTTGTACTCGGTTATCTCTAGGACCTCCACAGGACATGACTCTAATCCGGAAAAGCACATGCAAACAGGTTCACGTGCTGGCCAACGACGATCACAGTGCAAGGGTCCCTGAAATAAGAGAGATGATTAGCGATTGACAAATGGGTTTAATCTATAAGATTTTGAAATTTTTGATTCGTTCAATAATATTTTCAGGATTATTTGGCATATACCTTTAAGAGGAGAGTCCGTAGATTTGGAGAGTTCTTAAGCAATAATGGCAGACATCGGCAGCAATCTCTTGAATCAGTAGTAACAGATAAATGCAATAGGTTCTTGAACACTGGGATTGATTTCCGGAAGGAATAAAATGTCTGAAACCAAAAATAAAATCAATTAGTCACTAACCAACATAAATCTTTGGTTTTCTTATATCAAGATTTTTATTCTTGTAATCCAAGGAAGCGAGTAAAACGTACCTCTGAGGTTTGAAAAGACGATAACTCGAGGATCTCTACATTTCTTAACCCCTTAATCAGATTCTCTGGACTGCCTTTTTGAGGATGTTTCCTTGAAGCAAGAGTAAGCTTAGCTTCGACAAGGGAGTCAAAATTAACAATTGGATAACCATCCGTAACAGTCTTTCTCCGAGAAAGATCGAAAGTCGTACTGCCATAACAGTTAATGATAAGTCTCTGGAGAGTCGGACATGAAACGGTGCGACATTGTTCCCAGTAATCCCAATCAAAAACATACATTGTTAATTCCTCAAGCACATGGCAAGCAGAAAGAAGAGCTACAAAATTACTAGAGAAGTCAATATAATCAAGAAATAGAGTCCTAAGGGCCGGAAGAGAAGCGTTCTCAGGAACCATACCAATATCAAAATTCATTCCTAATTTCAAGTTAACAATTGTCTTGCAAGAAAAGATCTCTAAAGGCAGTGAATACATATAGTTACCATCTAAATAAAGATTAAGATCCAAAACACCACGACTCAGTACATTGCATATCCAACTGTTGACACGAGCTGCGTCATTACTCTGTGGATGTTTCAGAGCAAATTTCTTTAGTGGAGAATTGCCTGACACAGTTAACACTCTATCCACAAAATCTCTGAAACTCGTATAATTATTGGGATTATTTCGATAGTTAAAGTAATCTAGATGAAGATTCGGTATGAAGACAAACAGATTCCGCCATCTCTTTGAGAGGAGAGATGTTAAAGCAGCTTCTTTTATTGGAAAGAAAGATAGAATATGGCAAAGGATATCATCTGGTAGACTGCCGATTATATCCATCTCTTTTCCCAAACCCTATACCTTCTGCTAGAGACGTCAAGGCTCAGCAAAAATTGCTATACAGTATATGCAAAAGAAAACGTAGTAAAACTAGGGTTTAATTTAATAAAATATATAGGGTTTTAGGTCTTGGTTGGATAATTTGGGTTATATTTGTTGAATCTATATCTATCTATATCTATATATAACAATATTTGAGAAGTGTTTTTGCTGATGTGTCGGACTCTCGGCTCTTGTTGAGTCCTTGATTTTACGTAATTACTTAAATACCTTCTATTAAATCAAGTCAAATATCAACTAATGTTCAATTACATAAATAACCCTAATAAGTGAATATTTAATATAATTTACATTTTATAAAATTAATAAAATTCGTAAACACGAAAAAATAAGAAAACCTAAAAAAAAATGGATCGATTGTAACATTTTTTAAAATTAATAATATTCGTAAACACGAAAAAATAAGAAAACCTAAAAAAAAATGGATCGATTGTAATTTACGTACCAATTTAGAAGATGTTCATCGTACCTCATCATCATGTTCTTCGTCGCATGTAAACTTTTTAATATACATACCAGACTTGAAAACCTAAAATATAGCATATAACCAGAGAGAATCGACAATTTAGTGATAGAACATCATCTTTTGATCGAATCTGACATGATGGAAAGACGACTCTTAATTAATATCTTGTCTATGCCAAGTCTTCAAACCATCATATTGAATTATTGATGCTATCCTGCACCATAGAGTTCAAGCTAATAAAAGAGGGTGTTCTTTAAAATTACCTTGAATTATCTAGATTGGATCATGCACGAATAATGAATATAGACTCGATGAAAGTGTATTAACCTCCATTGATCGTAATGAAAAACGTGGGATTTCGTAGAAGGAGACGGAAAATGGTCGTGTGTCTTCCTTTTTTTTTCTTTTTTTTTCGTTTTGTTTTCCGTTTTTTTTTTGTTTTTTTCTTTCTTTCCCAACCAATCGTTTGTGATAATTATGAGTTAAAAATTAAATTTTCCTTTTTTGATAAGTAGATATTGGCAAAAAATATCAAAACAATCCTACGTATATTCTTTAAATCTGATTCATATCTCTAATAAAATTTTATTTTTTTAATATTTTATGTCGATAATGACGGAAAATCTAAACAAATGTAAGATATAGTAGTAAATCTAAATCGTTATGTTATTATTCCATCTTTATCTTAAAATAAAATGAAACGTTACTTAAAATTAATATGTATAATATTGAATAAGACAATTTTAAATTATTAATTTTTATGATATAGATTCGCTTCTTAAAAAATATATAAATCTTCCTTTTTTTGTTGTAGATATTACACCGCCTCTTAATTTTATATAAATACCTGGATTGGTAGTCACCTTTAGATCACAACTAACCCCTGTTTTTTTTTCTTCTGTAATTTATTTATGACTCGATTTTTATAAAAATATTAATGTTGTTTACATTACGTATGATTGCATGATGAATTTGCATACACAAGTAGGTTTGTAGAGAGAAAGACGTGAAATATTACGGCTCACAATCGGTCTGATTTCAAAGTAGACCACTCAGGTACGGTGGCACCGGCGATGATGGTTTGCGGTCGGATTCATTACTTGGATGGACCGCCCCAAAAAACGTGACCAACATCAACGGTAACGGATGGACCGCCCCAGAAAACGTGACCAGCATCAACGGTAACGTTAATGGCACTCTTTGTCTTCTTTAAGATTAGTGTATGATTAGGGTTTATGTGTGAATTGAAAGTTTTTGTTTTTTTAATGTGGCGTTTGTAGCTTGGATGTAGCGGTTAGGGTTGCAAAACGGTGGTGGAAGTGAATCGTATCCCGAACGACCGATTGTATATATATTACTTAAGAACGGTGTCTGCGGGTACGGGTCGAGACCCACAAAACTCGAGTTGGTAATCAACCCTCTCTTTCTCTCTGGCTTTGATAAAGTGTCTGTCTTTCTTTTTTTCTTCTTCCTATGTGTTTTTATTTTATTTTGATGGAGTATTTTTGTTAATAGGTGAAAAGTAGTTTATTAGATATCGCTGAAACAGAATCTATGATTTCATTTGTTCGGAAGCTCTCACTGATGTTTTTTTTTTCTCTGCTTTAGAACGTCTAAAAAGCAATCGTTTTGGAATTGGTTTCACTTTGGTGATTTGAGGAGTGTTTGAGTAAGAAGATTGATTCTTAATATTATGTTTTTCCATGGCAATAGGTATATGCCAATGATGGAGCTTGGTGTGTCGAGTAACATGTTTGATATCAAGAAGAACGCTTTGAAGAAGCTGTCTAAGCAACAGGTGAAAAGTTGCATTTCAATACTCTCTTCGTCTTTCGTTTCATTCTCATGCGTTCAATCTCTTTCGTTTTAACTCACAAACTAAGTCTTCCTATGTTCAGAGTGCTTATCGAATCAAGCTTTTATCGTCGTACAAGGAAATGGTGAGTGTGACAATGCTAAATCTTGTAAATTTGGGAAATTTATTCTCTTGTTATTTGGAATCTATAAAGAAAACTTTAGAAAAATGCAGGTAGCCGTTGTTGTTGAGATGGTAAATGCAAGCAGATCTCTGAGATGTTATACCAAGCTAGGTACCGAGTCACTTGTATAGTTCTCTTGCTCTAAGGAAGATTCAAGTGATGCTGGAGTTTGTGGTGGCATCCCTGTATTTAATTTTTGGAATGTCTCTACATTTGGTAAGACCCAAAAACAAAAGTTCAATAGTTGATTCTCATGTGTGGTCTCTAAGGTTTGGTACTTGCCATATTGATATGATCACAAAGAAGATGGCTGAGGAGTTTGTGGAGATGTTCATACGCGAAGTAATGATAAAGGTACTGTCTATTCCTAAGTCATGCATATATCTTGGACTCTAGATCAACTTTTGATCATTTTCTGAAAATTAACAGGGATTGCTCATAATGGAACTTATCTCTTTAAGCACTGAAGTTCCTCAACCCATCTCATAATGAGATAGGAGGAGATTCTATTACTCCTATCTCATTAAGTTATTCCATTATTCCCGTTTTGCTTAATATCTCTTTGGTCTCGGTTTTTATCATTTTATTGTTGGTTCATGTCTAGGCTCTTTTTTTTGGTTTTCTATGTTTAATATAGTTAATTTGAAATTGGCCTTCGTTTTTGCAGATTTGGGCAGAATTTGAAGCGGAGGAAACTGATCGCAACTTTAGCGGCAAAATAGGTTACGTGAGCATGTTTCTAAAATATATATTTTGGTCTTTAACTACTCCAGGTTGGATCCTGGATTGGAGAAGGCGGCCTCTTTGCTGTTGTAAATACTCTTGTCTGCGACAAACTTGAATAAATCAAGTTTCTTAGCTGGACCCGAGAGAGATTTAAAGGTATGTTTCTATTTCCTTCTTTAGATGGAATTTACTCATATACTTGGATTCACTTTCGACATATCTGATATCTGGATTTCCTTTGTTTTTGGTTGTGATTGTTGATGGTATATTGACTAAGAACTAACATTCATATGTGCATGATTAAAAAAAAAAGAAAGAAGATCATGAACTACACTTGGAGAACATTGAAGCTCTTCGAGAAATGCATGGCTAAGATAGAACAGTAATTGTTTGGTACTGTACCAACTAGCGGAAGATGTGGCAGTGAGACAGGACTGCAAGAAGTGCTTGAATCAGGAGGAAGGTAAGGTAATGAAGATGGTTAACATAAGAAGTTTGAGACATTGAGATATTGGCTTGGGCTTCAAGATGAAGAAGAGAGCGATCGTGAGATGGTTTGGTGAAGGAAGACGAGAAGCATGTTTCAAAGCGGATGTTCTTAACCGTCATTGAGATAGAGAGTGGTGGGTAATATTGGACTTCTTATAAAAACAATTTTAAGAAATGTTGGCAAAAGTGTGTCAAAGTGTCCATCTCCCATAGACAAAATGGTTTGTGTAAAGGTGGAGAACTTGGTTTGTTCCTGGAGGAGACAGTGATGACTTGATATGTTAAGAGTTGATATCGGCGAACCAGAACATAGCTTTCACGATGGTGTAGGTGGAGCACGTTGGTGTACTGTAAAGAGACGAGCACGTTTCGTTGTGTATTATTTGTCAACGATTTTTATCTACCCGTGTAATACGAATGGGAAAGCAAGTACCAACCGACTAATCGACACCAACTAAATTTATATATCTAAAGGTGAAATTTCTATTAACTTATACTATAGAATATCCAAATTCATACGAATATGTTCTTTCAGTTCAATTCAGTCATAGATTATTATTTTGATTCCTTGATTATCAAGAAACAAATGACTGAAGGCGTCTGGTGCTGACAAGTTTATTTTTACATATTTATTTTAATATCCAGTTTATATATTATGGACCTTTGTTGCAACGTAATGATTAGGTTTTTGTTTGTGGATTATTGTTTGATCCATTAAAGTACAGGTTTGATTATTAGTTTAGCTCACTAATCATTATTGTGAACAATAAGGTCGGATTGTTTTATGGTTCTTGAATTAGTTTACATTTTTGACGTAACATTCTCTCTATTTCCAAATTCAAAATGAAAGAATAAGAGTGTTTCTTTGAATTTGAAAAAATGTTATTCATTTTTTCATATTTGAAAGTGCACTTTTTAAAATTATAATGATATTTTGACTTTTACTATTTTGAAAAGCATTCAAAATACACCCTAATTCGTTTTCAGCTTATTGTTTGAAAAACTTAACAACATATATTTTTAATACATATTGTTTGTTTTTAGTATTATAATGAAAAGTAAACCGTATGTGTGCTGAAAGTTGCAGGAATGCGGAGTCGTTTTGTGTTAAGGATCACAAAAATTTATAGTTATTAAGCACATTTTGCACTTTTGCAACGGAGTCTCGGAATCTCAAGTGCAAAATGTGTGATCCTTGCCAGCAAAAAAATACCACATCCTCCAAAACTCTAGACATGTAGGGTTGAACAGAACCTGCTTGCATATACGTGCAGTAGTTCTCCTTAAGACACCTAATCAAACCAAAATAACATATTTAAAACAAACATTTGAAAATTACACAACATATACACAATTACATATTAATATATGTAGGTCAACACCTTGAGAATACTCTAATTTTGCGAATCAAATCACACAGACGATGATATGACCACTACATTTTTCTAACGATAAGCCAAAATTTATAGAAGACGAATTAATTTTTAATGATTAATGACAAAACTACCTCGAAACAAAAGAACACGTCTGGTTTATTATCCTGCTTCCTGAAAGAATTTCAAAATTCAATTATAACAGTTTATATTCTTTAAACTAATATTTTTCATAGATAAAGCATAGATAAAACCAAATTCCACACATGGGGAGAGCTTACAGAGAAGCAGGAGGTGATCCCGAGACTCCGTTGCAAAAATGCAAAGAAAACACTCATCAGATTGAATTTATTCCCAAGAAGCCTGTCTTTGATGAATGGACAATTATTTAAGTGTCTCAAGAGAGGAAGAACGTCAGGTCCAAGAAAGTAGCTTAGCCCAAGAGCAAAACAACTTTTGTCGAGAATAAAGCCTAGAAAAAAACAAATTTCACACCTCGGAAGCGCTCACAGAGGAACATGAGATGATTTCGAGACTCCATTGCAAAAGTGCATAGACAACATTCATCAGATTGAATTTATCCCCACGAAACCAGTTTTTAACGAGTGGTCTATTTTTTAAGTGACTAACCCACATATTAAAAACATGCTTAAACACATCACCTTTGAACCAAACTAAGGCAATGTGGAGAAAAAATCATGACACACAACATCAACCAAAATCCAGGTTTTTATTGCATTTTTTTATGCAACTATCATTATTTTAATAATATATCTATTGTTTAAATATATCATTTTTCTCATTTATGTTTCTATTATATATATTATGATTAAACACTATTAATTGTTCATTACTAATAATGGTATTAAAATCCCTACAACCCCGCGCCGGGCGCGGGGACCGCTCCTAGTAAAACCAAATAAACCAAACTGAACCAAATTCAAATTATCCATAAAATAGTATCACTAAAGATGCTTAATTAATTAGCTTTTTTTTTTGGGCAAACTATCGTTAATATTAAAACGAAACAGAGAGTAGAGTATATAAGGTTTCAAGAGTGGATAAGTCTAGGATCCCAAAGTAAATTGTAGACAAAAGAGTATAAATCAACAAATTCAGGTTAAAGAAACTTAAGCAACTAGAGAGGGACCAAAATTCACTACATGCATAACTTAATTTAGCAGGAAAAAAACTTGAGCTAGCTGGATCTTGCAAGGTCTTAGAAGCATTAGCAGATCTATAGCGAGTTTCAACTTTGCTTCTTCGTCTGTTGCATAAGCAAGAACTTTGACAAGCTCAAGACATGGCAATTTCTCCAGGAGATGTTTCATTTGCTCCAACTCTCCTTTAGTTCCTAGGAATTTGGTTATCTCTAGGACTTTCACAGGACACGACAATAAAAAAAATAATATCCAGACAAGCACTGGCAAACAGACTCTATTCCTTGTCCACGTCCTTTGTAGTGCAAGGGTCCCTGAAACAAGATGAAAGATTAGAGAGATTGAAAAATTAGGTGTGTATCCTTTAGGATATTTTTTGAAAATTAATATGAGATTTTTTTCCAAAAAAAAAGTTTGTGGTTATCGTCATACTTTGATGACTAGAGTCTCTAGATTTGGAGATCTTTTAAGCAGTAATGGCACAAGTTTCCAGCATGATCCCAACTTAGTTGCAATAGATAGACGAGACAGGTTCTCAAACACGGGGATTGCTTCACGGAAGGAATACAAAATCTGAAACAAAATCAAAATCAACTAGTCATCAACCAATTTCAATCTTTGCATGCATCAAGATTTTTTTTCATACTTCTAACAAAAGTTTAATTCTTATAACCCATGAAGCAAAACAAAGATGCATCATCTATAATACATTACAGAGAGACGAAAGAAAAAAAAGTACCTTCAAGGTTTCATGAGAAGACAAGTCCATGATCTCAACATTTCTTAACCCTTTGATAAGATTCGTTGGGTTGCCATTGTGTGGAATTTTTCTCAAAGCAAGAGTGAGCTTAACTTCGAAAAGGGCGTCAAGGTTAACAAATGGATGCTTATCCGAAACAAAACCAGAGTACTTTAAGTAGACAAGACTCGGAGTATCAAAAGTAATGCTCCTGAAATCAGACCTAATAGAATCATTAGAGACTTCACAGTCAATGGTAAGTCTCTGAAGGGTAGGGGATGTCACGGTGCGACACCATTTCCAATGTTCCCAATGCTCACCAACTATTGATATTTCCTCAAGAACATGGCAAGCAGAAACAAGTGCTTCAAACGAACAACCATGCTGATGATCATAGAATCGAACACAATCAAGAAAAAGAGTCTTAAGAGCTGGAAGAGAAGCATTCTCAGGAACCATAGCAATAACAAACCCTATTCCTAGTTTCAGTTTAACAAGTGTCTTGCAAGAGAAGACCTCTAAAGGCAGTGAAAACTCACTTTTAGTGATTATGTCAATATGAAGAAGATCCAAGACACCACGACTTAGCACATTACGTATCCAAGGGTTGATAAGAGCTGAGTCAACAACATTCTGTCGATATTTCAGAGAGAATTTCTTTAGTGGGGAGTTGCCTGACACAGCCAATACTCTTTCCAAGAAATCTATGAAACTCCATGGAATACCAAAATCAGAATCTCGATAGTCAAAATCTTTTTCTTCAAATCGAAGATTTGGTAACAAGGCAAACAGATTTCGCCATCTCTTTGATAGAACAGATGTTAAAGCAGCTTCCTTTGTCGAGTGAAAGGACAAGATGTGGTAAATGATGTCATCAGGTAGACTACTGATCCAATCCATTTTCTTTTTTGGTAAACCCTAACTAAGAAGAAGAGATAAAAGGGAAGGAAGCAAAGCGTCAAATAATAGAAGAAGAAACTTCTCATTGATTTTGGTATTAGAGAACGGATTGGTTTGGTTCGTTTTTTAAACAGAACCAAAATCTAACCGAGGATACTATGATCGGTTAAAATTAATTACGTCTTATAAGATATTGATTCAAACATTAACTTAACACGACAACGAGAAAATTAAAGGAGAGAAGAGATATGAGAACATAAGTCAAATAAAGAAGCTATGCAAAGCAAATTGATGCAGAAACTCTGAATCATACTAGTCCAATGGAAAACAAAACTCAGATTCAGAGTTGGAGCCAAATTTAACTTGTTTATAAGGTCATGTATTGAGAATTAGTTGTTTGTAAATAATAGATTTATTGAATTTGGAAGGGTTGTTTAGAGTTTGTCAACTATGTTATTCCTTCATAAATGAATTGTTGCAGACATAGAACATAAGTTTAATTTAGTATTATATTTATGCTTAATGATCTTATTTTTATGCATATAAATTCGATTGAAGATCAGTTAAGACATTAGACACCAACAAAGAACACATTAATGTTGAAACGAGCCTCAGAACAAAATGTAGACAGAGAGAGTAGATTAAGAGATTCAGGTTTGAACAAACTTAAGCAACTAGAGAGGGACCAAAGTTACACTTGATGCATTAGTTAGTTTATCAGGGAAAGAACTCTAGCTGGATCTTGCAAGCTCTGGGAAGCATGGGCAGATCTGTGGCGATTTGCAACTTTAATTCTTGATCGCTTCCCCAAGCAGAGACTTTGAGCAGCTCAAGACATGGGAATTTCTCCAGGAAAAGCTTAACTTGCTTAAACTCTCCAATAGTTCCCCAAAAATTGTGTATCTCTATGACTTTCACAGGACATGACAACAGAAACGAATATCCAGACAAGCACTCCTGACTACCATAGTCATGAAAATAGTGCGCGGAGGGACCCTGAAACAAGATGAATGATTATAGATTGAAGACTGCTTGGAATGTGTATCTATAGGGGTTTTGAAAAATTTGCCTTTTTCCAAAATACTTTCAAGGTTTCAGTCATACCTTGATAACAAGTGTCTGTAGATTCGGAGATTTTTTAAGCAGTAATGGAAGAAACTCCCAATAGTTGTACTCAGTTTTAATAGATAAACGAGACAGGTTTTCCAACACTGGGATTGCTTCACCAAAGGAACTAAAAATCTGGAGACAAAATAAAAAGTCAACTAGTCATCAACCAAAACCTCAAGATTTCAATTCTTATAACCCAGGAAGCGAAACAAGGATGCATCTATAGTTCCTGAATATCCTCATCATGCTATTTTATCTTCTCAAGTTGCAATAATATACTACAGAAGAACAGAAAAGAACAGAGCACACTTACCTCACAGGTTTTCAAAGTCGATAAGTCCAGGATCTCAACATTTCTCAACCCCTTAATCAGATTTGTTGGATTTCTTATGTTGGTAACAATCCTCATACCCATTAGATTAAGCTTAGCTTCCACAAGGGAGTCGAGATTAACAATTGGATACTCATCCGGAAGAAAAGAAGCGTAGTCTAAGTAGGTAAGACTCGGAGTATCGAAAGTAGTGCTCTTGAAATCGGCATCACAAAAACCTCGACAACCAAGACAGCTAATAGTAAGTCTCTTAAGGGTCGCAGATGACACGGTGCGACACCATTCCCAATCTTCAAAATCCATACCACGAATCAATAATTGCTCAAGCACACGGCAAGCAGAAAGAAGGGCTTCAAATGCACAACCATGATTATCGAACCGGATACAATCAAGAAAGAGACTCTTAAGAGCTGGAAGAGAAGCACTCTCAGGAACCATAGAAAATAACAAACCCTCTTCCTAGTTTCAGCTTAACAAGTGTCTTGCAAGTGAAGACAGCTAAAGGCAGTGGAGTCCTACCTCTAGCAATTACATGAAGATGAAGATGATCCAAGACACCACGACTCAGCACATTACTTATCCAGAGGTTGATATGAGCTGATTCAACATCATGATGATAATTCAGAGTGAATTCCTTAACCGGTGAATTGCCTGACACAGCCAATACTCTATCCACAAAATCACAGAAACTCCTCAAAACATCTAAACCAGTATTCCCATTAAAAAGGTCTTCGTCTTCTTCTACAAAACGAAGATTTGGTGTGCAAGTAAACAGATTCCGCCATCTCTTGGAGAGAAGAGAAGTTGAAGCAGCCTCCTTTGTCGATAGGAACGACAATGTGTGGCAAAGAATCTCATCAGGTAGACCACTGATTCTATCCATCACTTACCAAACCCTAGAACACTATTTCGAATGGAGTTTTTAACAACAAGATTCCAACATCAATCACAGACTCCATAAGCTCCCAGCAGTTTCAACGCCTATACAGTCATACCCAATGCAAAATCTACAAACACAGAGAAGATACATAAACTCGATTTAACCATAAGAGATAGAGATGAGATTTGAGAATAGAAGAAACCCAGTTAAACAAGTCAAATGAGAAGCCACACAAAGCAAATTGACGCCGAATCTGAAAAGTTAATGAGAAGTTATGAATTCACTTCGGCGTTTACCTAGGTACATTCGCCAAGTCCAACACTTTCAGCTTCTAGAGACGCAAATGCAACCAAATTAGGGTCGAATTGGGAGGGAAGAAAGCTAAATCGAAGATTTAGGGTTTCTGGAAAACAAAGGCGTTCGCTGAGAAATATTGTTTCTACGGCGGGAATGCCGGGAATGTTATGGTTGGAGTCGGAGCGGAAATGTCACAAGTAAACCATATTACTTGGTTTAAAAACCGGTCCAAACCAAAACCAAAGCAGGCCAGAAATTAGAAGCAAAACCAAACCTAACCAAAGTTTATTCTCAAGTGATGTGAAATTGTCAAGTTGCCTGCCTCCTAGCTGTTTGCAAATTCTTTAGTTGTTGGGCCTATTTGTGCATGTCGTCGTATCTTCTTCGCTTGTACCGGCGATTCAACAACACTCGTGCTCTTTTTTCTCTAGTAAACCCCTAAATCTTCCTGAATTTGAGTATTGGACTTCGCGTATGTGCTGAGGACCAAGGTAGGTGCCGTGATTAGCTCAAATTTATGCTTCTACTGATTGTTTTTTTTTTTTGTTCAAAGTTTCAAAATTGATTTGCCTTGTGTGGTGGTTTCGTATTTTTCTTGTTTACTTTGTCTGTCTGTTTTCGCTCATATTTTTGGTGGCGAGGGTCATGTTTGAATCTGTTTCTATACGAGTGGAACTGTTTGGTAATTGTTGATTTTGGGAATTTTATGTCTGTATTCCTACAGAGTCGATGGATCGGATCAGCAGTTTACCGGACGAGCTCCTTTGTCATATATTGGCCTTCTTTACGACAAAGGAGGCTGCTTTGATTTCGGTTCTCTCTAAGAGGTGGCTCAGTTTGTGGACACTTGTCCCTAATCTTGAAATTGATGACTCTGCCTTCCTTCATCCTGAAGAGGGTAAGCGGGAAAGAGATGGGATTCTTCAGAGCTTTATGGATTTTGTGGATAGAGTATTGGCAGTGCAGGGTGATTCTCCCATCAAGAAATTCTCCCTCAAGTGTCAAACTGGTATTGATACAGGTCGTGTGTTACCTTGGATATGTAATGTGCTGCACCGTGGTGTTTCAGACCTTGAACTTTTCCTCCAGTTTCCTAGGTATGATTACCATTCCTCTTCCGAAGATGAATATTTTCTGCCTAAAGAGATGTTTGTCAGTAGGACACTTGTTGAGCTGAAATTAACAAGTGAGTTTGGTATTGATTGGTGGCGTGGAAGTAGAGGCACTTTCTTACCAATGCTTAAAAGTCTAGACATTTACACGGATAGGATTTCATTAGGTGAGAAGCTTGAGATGTTTCTTCCTTCTTTCCCTGTGCTTGAGGAACTATACATGGCTGATTTTGAGTGGAGTGAGTCGGATGAATCCGTGTCAAGTACAAGTCTCAGGAAGCTAACTATCTCTGGCGGTTTTGAAGACTTTCAGAATCCAAAGAGCATTTCATTTGATACACCAAGTCTGGTTTTCTTGGACTACTTTGATATTGTTGCAGAGGACTATCCAAAAGTTAACTTGGCAAATTTAGTTGAGGCTCGACTCAACCTTATACTAAGTGATGATCAAATCGAGCTAATACGAGCGCCAAATGATGAAGATGAAGTTTTCCTGCGTCTTAGAAATGTGTGGAAGCTCATGAGTGGCATAAGAAATGTTCAGAAACTTTATTTTTCTGCAGATACCCTCGAGGTCGGTTGCTATTTTGTTTTTCTTTTGTAGTATTTTATTCGTTAGTCTCAAGGACATGAAGAAACCGAACAGCCTCATCTAAATTCTGAAGCATGCGATTCAAATTTATGTTAGTCTGAGTGTACATTTTCTTATGCTAAGTCCTTTCACAGATTTCAATGCAGAATCAAAGGTCATCTCGATGTTTTAAGCCTCCTGTTTTCAAATTGGGAATTAATCCTTGAGATTTTGAAACAAAGATTGCAACAATGTAATGTCTGCTTTCTTTTTTTGTCTTGTTTCAGTTGCTTTCTCTATGCTGTGAATCATTTCCGGTGTTCAACAACCTCAAAATTTTACGTATAAAGAGTGCCGAGGATCGAGGATGGCAAGCAATGCCTGTTCTCTTAAGGAACTGTCCACATTTTAGAAACTCTAATCATTGAGGTGTAAACACAACTCATTTTCTTCAAACATTTACAAAGACAGAGTTCATTGTTTGAAGTCCCTTATTGTCTCCTTTCTGCGTTCAGGGTCTATTACACAATGTGACTGATAAATGTGGGGATGCTTGTGACTGCATTTCTCGGGAGGATAAAGGTCGTTCGCTCATATCTTGTCCAGTGAAGAAGTTGCAGATCAAAGGGTTTCGAGGAACAATTAGAGAGAAAGAGATGATAAGGCATTTCTTGGAGTTTTGCCCGTGTTTGGATGAGATGGAGATAGATGCCGAAGAGAATGATTCTACAAACTTTGAAGTGCCTAAAATTTTAAAAATTGTCCCGTATAAGCTCCAAAACGCGGTCTCTACAGAGATAGTTGGACATTGGAAGAGTTCGGCACAATGTGGGGGTTGGTCCCATACCCAGATGGATGAGATGTACTCGGAGGTATATTTGATTACCGTTTTCAATCACAAAAAATTACTACAGCTTTGAATTCACTAATTGTTTTTTTTTTTTTTCTTTCTTTTTCCTACAGTTTGCTCCCCACAATAAAGAGTGTATCTATGATATGGCCTTCTTCATGCATGGAGCTTCTTCCCTGGTACCTCCTCCTCTGCCACAAGAGACGTCTCAGGACTCTCTTCAGATGCAACTAGATGCTGCTAAAGCCAAACATGCGGATCTGATGGAGAGGCAACGAGGCTACGAAGCTATGTTCGACATGATTGTCGACCAGAACCCAATGCTAGCATCAGCGTTGAGGGCTCGAGAGGCAACTGACTCAGAGCGAGCAAAGGCGTCGAGTGGTGAGGAGATGACCGAGAAGAAACGGGACTTTGATGCTCTGTTCGATATCATTGCCGAGCAGAACCCAATGCTAGTGTCAGCATTAAGGGCTCGGCGTGCAACAGACTCAGAGCGAGCTGAGACATCCAGGGATCAGGAGATGACCGAGCTCAACCAAGCTACGGCAGCAGATTTTCTTCCTCGAGACGGAGAATAAATTTATGATTGTCAAAACATTTTTTTTTTTTTTTTTTGTTTGTTTGTATTACTACGGTAACAGTTTTATTTTAAAATTTTAGACCTTTTGATAGTTTACTAATATTTGGTTCGGTTTGTGTTTATTTAGATTGAATTCCGGTACAGAGTTTCTTCCTCTAAAATATGGATCTTTCATATCTTGGCTTCTCTCTCGAAATCCAAACTATCTACCCTCGATTTCGGTCGTAAGCTAACTATTCGCTTCTGTTTCTACTGATGTTATACTCCTTTGAAGGTATCTTAGATCATTTTGCGTTTTGGTGGATTCCTATTCACATTGTTAAATTTCGATCAATCGTTTCTCTGTTTATGTATGGTTGATGTTCCAATAGCTTTGTGTAGTTCAGAGAATGGATCTCTTCAGCAGTCTACCAGATGATCTCCTTTGTCATATATTGTCCTTCCTATCCACAAAGGAGGCTGCTTTGACATCGGTTCTCTCCAAGAGGTGGCGCTATCTCATTGCTTTTGTCCCTTATCTCGAGTTTGATGACTCTGTCTTTCTTCAATCAGGAGAGGGTAAGCGGGAAAAGGAAGGAATTTTGCAGAGCTTCATGGATTTTGTGGATAGGGTATTGGCTTTGCAGGGTGATTCTCCCATAGTGAAATTCTCACTCAAGTGTAAAACTGGTGTTGACTCAGATCATGTGGATCGTTGGATATGTAATGTGTTGGCTCGTGGTGTTTCGGACCTTGATCTTTTCATTGATTTCAGAGATTTATATTGTCTGCCTCACGAGGTTGGTGTCAGTAGGACACTTATTGAGCTGAGAGTAGGAAGTGACTCTGATCTTTATTGGTGGCAGAAGGATTTATGCTTACCGATGCTTAAAACTCTCGTTCTTGACTCCTGCGGGTTATGTACTGGTCAGTTTCAAATTCTTCTTCTTGCTTGCCCTGCGCTTGAGGAGTTAGACATGACTAATACACGGTGGAGGGATTCCAATGTGACTGTGTCTAGCCCCATCCTCAAGGAGCTGACTATTGATCTCCATGGTTGTCATAGACTAGTAAATCTGAAGAGTCTTTCATTTGATGCTCCAAGTCTTGTTTACTTTTATTACTGTGATTCTCTTGCGGAGGACTATCCACAAGTTAACTTGAAAAACTTAGTCGAGGCTCAAATCCACCTTTTACTAACTCAAGGTCAAATCGAGCAAGCAAGAGCACTAAATAATGAAATGTTGGTGGATGATGTTTTCCCTGGTCTTGGCAATGCGTGGAAGCTCATTACTGGCCTAAAAAATGTTCAACAACTTTACTTGTCCCCTGATACTCTTGAGGTCAGTTTTCTCTCTTGTAGTGTATATCTGGCTGGTTGGGAGGATATAAAGACATCAATTATTCTAATCGCGTGATTTCTAGTGTCGTTTTGTCTCGTTTGCAGGTGCTTTCTAGGTGCTGTGAAGCGATGCCGGTGTTCAACAACCTCAAATTGTTAAGTATTTGGAGTGACATGAATAGGGGATGGCAAGCAATGCCAGTTCTTCTAAGGAACTGTCCACATTTAGAAACTCTAATCATTGAGGTAGACCTCCTATAATCCATGAAACTTTGTTTGTGGACAAAACATCCGCTAAAGATGCAGTTCATACTCGCAATAACTTTATTGTCTCCTTTTTGTGCTTTCAGGGACTATTACACTATGTGACTGATAAATGCGGGGATGTTTGTGACTGCATTTCTCGGGGTCACAAAGTCCATCCGCTCACATCTTGTCCAGTGAAGAAGTTACAGATTTATGAGTTTCGCGGAACAATTAGAGAGTTAGAGATGATCAAGCATTTCTTGGAGGTTTTTCCGTGTTTGAAGGAGATGGAGATATATGCTCACGAGAATTTTCCTACACTATTTAAAGACCCTAAAATGGTTGAACGTGTCGGGAAGATGATGAACTTCTACAATAAGTTATCGAGTTGCAGTGTTCAATTACTAGTGCGCGGTCCCTTGTAAGGAAAGTGGACTGCACTGAAGAATTTGTGGGAATAAACACAGCTCATAGTTTTGGTCAAAGTCTACTTAGTCTCATTGGTATTCTGTTACGTTTTTGCTATTTTTCAAAATGTTACATTGTCACGAGGCTTAACTTCCTTCGGTAATCTTTTGCATTGTCATAATGATGGGGGATAACTGAAAGTCTGAAACCATTCAAAATAGAAACATTCATAAGGCAAAAGAAGAAGAAGAAGAAGAAAATTCGTTTGGAATTTCAAACCAGTTAACAAAACTGAACAATTTCTGAAGGGACTTTGGCAAAACTACGAGCAAGTTATGTTCTTCGTAGAATTTGTGCAGTTAACTTGTTATACAGAGACTCACAGACCATGATTTCGACATTGCAAGTCAATGACTTCTTGTAGAGTTTCATCATCTGTACTTGAAGATCAATAACTTCAGGGACATCGGGCTGTGTAAGACCATACCCTTGATCACTGATTTCTATCTCCTTCAAACACGGAAAATAGTCCAAGAAGTGCTTGATGATCTTTATCTCTCTCATTGTTCCTCTAAACCCTTCAATCTCTAATCTCTTCACTGGACAAGTTGAACGCGGACAAACTTTGTCCTCCTGAGAAATGCAGTCACAAACATCCTCGAATGTATCTGGCACACAATGCGAAAGATCCTGAAAGCATAAAGGAGGGATAAGGGATTCAAATTATGAACTCTATTTTTCTACAAGTTTGACAGATAAGTTGTGTTTAATACCACAATGCTTAGAGTGTCTAGATGTGGACAGTTCTTTAGGAGAACTGGCACTGCTTGCCATCGACTCTCACCCCTCCTAAGTCGTAACAATTTGAGGTTGTTGAACACCGGCATCGACTCACAGCATAGAGAAAGCACCTGAAACAAGACGAAACCCAACTAAACATTTTGCAATCACATGTTTCAAAACTAGACCTTCTCTTGTATGTCAAAAAATGGGAACAAATTCTGGTTTTCTTACTTTTATATCCCAGTGATTAAAGATATTACCAGAGAAAACAACATAGCATACTGACCTCAAGAGTACTAGAGGTCAAGCAAAGTTTCTGAACGTTTCGTATGCCATACATGAGCTTTGCCACATTACCAAGTCGAAGAGCAACATCATCCTCATCATCTTCTAACCAATCATTATTTGGGGCTCTTGCTCGTTCGATTTGATCCTTAGTTACTACAAGGTTGATTCGAGCCTCAAAAAGATTTTGTAAATTAGCTAAGTGATAGTCTTCTGCAACAGAATCAGAGTAGCCTAAGTAAACAAGACTTGGTGTATCAAATGAAAAAGTGCCTGAACCAACGCTGGATTTAATTTTTAGGGTCTTGAGGCTTGCACTTGACACGGTCTCATCCGAATCTAATCCCTTTATATTAGCCATGTCTAATTCTTCAAGGGCAGGACAAGCAGGAAGGAGTATTGCAAACTTATCGACACAAAATTCAACTGAATCAAGAACAAGAGTTTTAAGCATCGGTAAGAAAATGCTCTCAGTCCACCAACCAAGATCAATTCCACTTCCAATCTTCAGCTTAACTAGTTTGTTGCTCTCGAAACCACTTGAAGACAGCCAATATCTATCTCCAAAAACGATGCATAGATCAAGGTCCGAAACACCACGCGCCAACACATTTTGTATCCAAAAATCCAGATTATCTGAATCAACACCAGTTTGACACTTGAGGGAGACTTTATTAATGGGAGAATTACCCTGCAAAGATATAATTCTATCCACAAAATCCATGAAGCTCTGTATAATTTCGGGCCGATCCCGTTTACCCTCTTCTGGATGAAGAAAGACAGAGTCATCAATGTCAAGATCAGGGACAAGTGTCCACAAATTGAGCCACCTCTTGGAGAGAACAGATGTCAAAGCAGTCTCCTTTGTGGTAAGGAAGGACAATATATGACAAAGAACTTCGTCTGGTAGCCTGCTAACAAGATCCATCTTCTCTGCAGTCTGCACACAAAAAAAAAAAAGGAAGAGGTACATTAAGTCATATAACTGTACAAATCACAAAGCTTTTTATTAGAAGATCAGCGATACATAATTGAACAACGAGTTCCACTGTGCAGGATCTACAAAGTACAAAAAGAGGAAAATGTTTGATAGTGAAGCAAAAAGTTGGAATTGATAAGCTAAAATGGTAAAACAAACAAGAAATTTAAGAACTTCTACCCAAAACAAGAGACGGGAGCTAAAACCCAATTAAATAACACCAAAGCAGAAGATAATGAGTAAAATTTTGGAATATACCTCGTTACAAAGACCAAGTCCAAGACCTAAAATTTAAGGATTTCAGTGAAGGCGTTGGCGATTTCTACCTGTTTTGCTAAAGAAGACTCCAAATCTAAAGACACTCGTCATCGAGGTATGACCATAATCTTGCAAGTTTATTGACTAACCGCAATTTCCAAAAGTCCTTGCATTCTCCTAAATATTTAATTTCTACTAATCGTCCCGCTTGAGTCAGGGTCCATTGCACTATGATGATGATGAAGAAGAAGAAGAACCTGAATACTATTGCGAGTGTTCATCGGGATGTAATTGTCTATTGTCATGTCCTGTAGAAGTCCTGGAGATCTCCAAGTACAGTGGAACTACCAAAGATCTGGAGAGAGTGAAGTATTTCTTAGGGAAGCTGTCATGTCTTGAGCATGTGAAACTTGGTGTTCTGGCAAGAGGCGGCGACAAGGAAAAATTGAGAATCACCACTGATCTGCTAATGCTTCCTAGAGCTTCGGTCAATTGCAAGATTCAGATCAAGTTTTCTAAAAACTACTACTAACTCATCCACGAGGAACAAACTTTGGTCCTCCTAGTTGCATAAGTCTGCCTGTAAACACTCTTGCTGGTTTATTACTTTGTTGGAGTTTACTTGTTATCTTAGTCTGATCTTCTTTCTAAGACTTGTTTTGATTTTGCTTTAATGGGTTTTCTTATGATCTTACTCCAAAATGACAATTTATCACCCATGAACAAATCTAAAATTACAGCAGAAGTGTACTTAAGCTAAGGTTTGTTTGTTGTGCAAGACTTCTCTATGAAGGCCAATTCCTAGACAAGAAATCACTTTACTCAGAACTCAGAAGTCAACATCACAGCATAATTTTTTTGCTAGATAACTTAACCTCAGAATGTATAGATAACTAATTTGACAAACTTGGTTACTTTTTTGACAATGTAGGGACTACTTTTTGCTACCAGCGAGCTCTTTCGCTTAAGAGTCTGAGAAGATCTGTGAGAACTGAGAAGTTCAACGCAAGTAAAAAGGTAACCAATTATAGCCGTAAGGATTTTCTTTTACAAAACTATAAAAACTGTGTCCAAATGCATTTCAAAATTTTAACCAAATAAACTACTCTGTTTTGGGTCAACTATCGAAACATCCATTCGACACCTTTTAGTTTCCAGAAAAAAATCAAATGAAACATGGCTTTAGCAAAATCATGAAAACGTTTCATACTCGTAGACTTCACTGTGCAGTCCATTTCCTACGCATGTAACCCCACACCAGGAAGTAAACATCACAACTCGATAACTCATTGTAGAGCTTCAATATCTTCTCAACATACTCAAACGCTCCAGGATTTTCAAAGTTTGTAGGACCATTTTCTTCAGCAAATATCCCCATCTCCTTTAAACATTTAAAAGACCTCAAGAAGTGCTCAATCATATTTATCTCTCTCATCGTTCCTCTAAACCCTTGAATCTCTAACTTCTTCACGGGACAAGAAGTGAGTGAACGACCTTTGTCTTCCCGAGAAATGCAGTCACAAGCATCCCCGCATTTATCTGTCACATAGTGTAAGAGACCCTGAAAGCATAAAGAAGACAATATGATCATTGAGTCTGAACAACATAATTAACAAAATGTGTTGTCCGAGTAGTTTCATGGTTTATAATTGACCTCAATGATTAGAAATTCTAGATGCGGACAGTTTCTCAGAAGAGCTGGTACTGCTTGCCAACCGCGACCCTCGTCACTCTTAATACCTAAGGTTTTGAGGTTGTTAAACACCGGCATTGATTCACAGCATAGAGAAAATACCTGAAAACAAGAAAAAAAAATCCAACTGGATACTTCGCAATTAATCTTTCACAAATAGACCAGAGAGAGCAAAATAGAAAACTGACCTCCAGAGTATCAGCAGTTAAGTAAAGTGTCTGAATGTTTTGTATGCCATTCATGAGCTTCACGACATTGCCAAATTGGAGAACAACATCACCCTCTAACAAATCATTATTTGGCTCTCTTACCCGCTTGATCTGATCATCTTTTACTATAAGGTTGATTCGAGCCTCACATAACTTTCCCATTTTGACTAATGGATAATCCTCGGCAACTAAATCAGAGCAGTTTAAGTAAAGCAGACTTGGAGTGTCAAAAGAAATGCTCTTTGGATTCACATAGTCTTCACAACCGGTGCCAAGGATACTTAGCTTCCTGAGGCTTGCACTTGACACGGTTTCGTCAGAAGCCGTCCACTCCATATTAGCCATTCGTAATTCCTCAAGCACAGGGAAAGAATGAAGAAACCTCTTCATCTTACCCCAAAGAATCAAGTCCGAGTCAATATAAAGGCTTTTAAGCATTGGTAAGAAAGTACCTCCCTTTCCACACCACCAATCAACACAACGATCACTTCTTATTTTCAGCTTAACCAATGTCCTGCTGACGAACATCTCTTGAGGTAGCATATCCTCATCCTCTTCGATATCCTCCAAGGAATAATCAATGAAAAGATCAAGATCCGAAACACCACGCTGCAGCACATTACATATCCAACGATTCACATGATCTGGAAGAACACCAGTTATACATTTGAGAGAGAATTTATCAATGGGAGAATCACCCTGCAAAGCCAGTACATTGTCCACGAAATCAACGAAGCTCTGTCGAATTTCATGCCTTTCCGCTTTACCCTCTTCCGGATGAAGAAATTCAGAGTCATCAATGTCAAGATTAGGGACAAGTTTCCAGAGATTGAGCCAGCTCTTTGAGAGAACCGAAGTCAAAGCAATGTGCTTGGCGGGAAGGAAGGACAAGATATGACCACGAACCTCGTCTGGTAGATTGCTGACACGATCCATCTCCTGTACATGAGATTAAAAGTACATTATTACATATCTACAACTAGAGGAAGCTCTAACAGTAAGGTAAAACATGAAATTTGACAGCTTTTCCCCCAAAAGATGAGAGAGGAGAAATGGGAACAGAGAAAAACCTAATTCACAAATCACAACGCAAGTAAGAATCCACCCAAAGAAAACTTTAAATGAAGAAACAGAAAATTAGTAGAAACAGAGTGAAAACTTGAGCATTTACCTCGCTACGAATGGCTTAATCGAAGATCCAAATTATGGTGATTTCAGTGAAAGCTTCCAGTTATAAGAGAGAGAGTTGGGAGTGCTTAGTCACTAGTTTCTATGGCAGAGGGGAAAGTCACAGACTTTCAGTTCGACAATACATGCAAATGCATCGGAGAAGCCGAAACATCCAACTTTAAGAAGAAGAAGACAACAGACAAACGAGGGTTTTTAAAATTAAAACTACGGTTGAATGTTGGTCCTACTTAAATCACCGGTTTAATTGGGTAAACAAACCGGAACTGATTTTACTTTGGGCTGCGGGATTATGGTAGAACAAACGTGAATTCGTGATGATGCTATTTAATTTTTGATGTCTCATCAGCTTCTCAAAAACATTTGCATATGTTCTCCAACTGAAAGTTTGAGAATTTTATTTTCTTTAGGTTATGGTTATCATATTCTGGCCTGAACTGGTTTGGTTTTGTTGCGAACATAATTACTTGTTAAGTTAGTTAATTTTATTACTTGTAAACACAGATCGAGAAGGAGTATAAGATCAGCAGCAGAAACAGAAGAGAACAGTTAGCTTCCGCACCTACCGTGTACAGATGCAAAGTCGAGAGAGTAGCCAAGATATGAAGGTCCAAGTTTAGAGGAAGAGTTTACAAGCCGCTTCGTTTCAGGATGTTGAACCGAAATTCGAACTAAATAAACACAAACAGAACCAAATTGGAAAAAAAAAACAATCGCAAATCTATTCTCCATCTCGTGGCAGAAAATCTGCTGCCCTAGCTTGGCCGAGCTTGGTCATCTCCTGATCCCTGGATGTCTCAGCTCGCTCTGTGTCGGTTGCACGCAGAGCCCTTAGTGCCGATGCTAGCATTGGGTTCTGCTCAGCAATGATATCGAACAGAGCATCATAGTCCCGCTTCTTCTCGGTCATCTCCTGACCACTCGACCCCTTTGCTCGCTCTGAGTCAGTTGCCTCTCTAGCCCTCAACGCTGATGCTATCATTGGGTTCTGGTCGACAATCATATCGAACATAGCCCGTTGCCTCTCCTTAAGATCCGCAAGCTGAGCTTCTTGGTCCCGTAGCCTCTCCTTAAGATCCGCAGCTTCAAGTTGCATCTGAAGGTAGTCCTGAGACATCTCTTGTGGCAGAGGAGGAGGAACTGGGGAAGAAGCTCTACGCATCATGAAGACCATATCATAAATACGCTCTTTATTGCGGGGAGCGAACTGTAAAAGAAAAGAAAAGACAGTTAGTTTATTCAAAGCTGTCATGATTTTATGTGATTGAAAACGGTAATCAAATAGTATACCTCAGAGTACATCTCATCCATCTGGGTCTGGGACCAACCCCCAGATTGTGCCGAACTCTTCCAATGTCCAACTATCTCTGTCGAGACCACGTCGTAGAGCTTATAGGCAACAATTTTTAAAATTCTAGGCACTTCAAAGTTTGTAGAATCATCCTCTTCGGCATCTATCTCCATCTCATCCACACACGGGAAATACTCCAAGAAATGCCTTATCATCTCTTTCTCTCTAATTGTTCCTCGAAACCCACTAACCTGCAACTTCTTCACTGGACAAGATATGAGCGAACGACCTTTGTCTTCCCGAGAAATGCAGACACAAGCATCCCCACATTTTTCTGTCACATAGTGTAAGAGACCCTGAACGCAAAAAGAAGACAATATGATTATTGAGTCTGACCAACATCTTTAACAAATGTGTTGTCAAGTAGTTTCATGGTCTATTAATTGACCTCAATGATTAGAAATTCTAGATGTGGACAGTTTCTCAGAATAGATGGCACTGCTTGCCAACCCCGACCCTCGTCACTCTTAAGACCTAAGATTTTGAGGTTGTTGAAAACAGGCATCGATTCACAGCACTTAGTAAGAACCTGAAAACAAGTAAAAAAAACCAACTAGATACTTTGCAATTATTCTTTCACAACTAGACCAGATATAACAAAATAGAAAACTGACCTCGAGAGTATCAGCAGTTAAGTAAAGTTTCTGAATATTTTGTATGCCGTTCATGAGCTTCACCACATTGCCAAATTGAAGAACAACATCACCCTCATCATCCTCCAACAAATCATTATTTGGCTCTCTTATCCGCTTGATCTGATCTTCATTTTTTACTATAAGATTGATTCGAGCCTGAAATAACTTCCCCATTTTAACTAATGGATAATCCTCCGCAACTAAATCAGAGTAGTTCAAGTAAAGCAGACTTGGAGTATCAAAAGAAATACTCTTTGGATTTTCAAACTCTTCAACACCGGTGCCGTGGATACTTAGCTTCCTGAGGCTTGCACTTGACATGGTTTCACTTTCATCTGATTCCCGCCACTCCATATTAGCCATGTGTATTTCCTCAAGCACAGGGAAAGAATGAAGAAAGTCCTCCATCGCACCACAAAAAATCAAGTCCGAGTCAATATTAAGACTTTTAAGCATTGGTAAGGAAGCGCCCATCTCCCAATGCCACCACCAATTAACACAGTGTTCACTTCTTAATTTCAGCTTAACCAGTGTCTTACTGACGAACAACTGTAGAGGTAGCCTATAATCATCCTCTTCGGTATCCTCGTCGGAAAAATCAGTGAAAAGATAAAGATCCGAAACACCACGCTGCAGCACATTACATATCCAACGATTCACATGATCTGGATGAACACCAGTTATACACTTGAGGGAGAACTTCTCAATAGGAGAATCAGCCTGCAAAGCCAATATTCCGTCCACAAATTCCACGAAACTCTGTCGAATTTCATCTCTTTCCCCTTTACCCTCTTCCGGATGAAGAAAATCAGAGTCATCAATGACAAGATTAGTTTCAAATTTCCACAGATTGAGCCAGCTCTTGGAGAGAACCGAAGTCAAAACAGCGTGCTTGGTGGGAAGGAAGGACAATATATGGCACCGAACCTCCTCTGGTAGATTGCTGACACGATCCATCTCCTGTACACGAGAATAAAAGTACATTACTACATCTAAAACTAGAGGCAGCTTTAACAGTAAGGTAACATTAACCAATTGGGAAATTTTAAACAACTTTTCCCCAAAAGAGGAGAAGTGGGAACAGAGAATAATCCAGTTCACAACGCAAATAAGAATCCACCCAAATAGAATTTTGAACCCAAAAGAGAATATAAGCAGTAGAAACAGAGGAGATTAGTAAACTTCAGCATTTACCTCGTTACGAACAGTAAATCCAAGATCCAAACTTTGGGAATTTCAGTGAATGCGTCCAGTGAGAAGATAGCTTAATCGCTAGTTCCTATACCCGTAGACGCGAAGATGTGAAGAAAACGCGAATACCCAGCGGAAGGTAGAGGGGAAAGTCCCAAACTTTCAGTTCGACAAGACATGCAAATGCATCGGAGAAGCCGAAACCAAATTTGAGGCTTTTGCATTGAAAGCGGACACCACTACACCAGTAAGGTGGTGACCCAGTCGAGTTTTGGCTCCGTTTCCGGTTTAATTGGGTAAACGGGTAAACCAACCGGGACTGCTTGAATTTGGGCTGTGGAAGTATGGACTATGGTGGAACAAGTCAGGCCCAAGTAGAAGCCCAGTGTCAAACAAAGAATCTTTTATTCTTCTTCTTAAACGTTGGGTGTAATGTTGCAGAGAAGCCTATATATAGAGCCATAGAGAGAAAAGAAAACAAACGTGTCGAAAGAAAAGCAGAAGATGTCCAAGATATATCAAATATCTAAATGAAATGGTGTCGTTTTAATTTAGCTTTTAAACAAGAATCCAAAGGAGACTTTGACCAAACTATGAGCTAAGTTTTTTCCCGAGAAGACTTCAATCATTGTGCAGTCCACTTCTTATCCAAGGAACTACGCACCAAGAACTGAACATCACAACTATAAAACTCGTTGTAGAGTCTGAGCATCTGCGCAATAAGTTCACGCACCCCAGGGACTTCGAGGTCTGTGCGACCCTTCTCTTCAGCATAAATCTCTACCTTCTCCAAACACCTAAAAGATTCCAAGAAATGCTTTATCATCTCTAACTCTCTAATTGTTCCTCGAAACCCTTTGATCTGTAACTTCTTCACTGGACAAGATGCGAGCGAACGGCCTTTGTCTTCCCTAGAAACGCAGTCACAAGCATCCCCACATTTATCTGTCACAAAATGTCTTAGACCCTGAAAGCAGAGAAGCATAGAGTAAGGGACTTCAAAGAATGGTCTCTGTCACTGTTAATGTTTGACAAATGAGCTGTGTTAATACCTCAAAGACCAATGTTTCTAAATGTGGGCAGTTCCTTAAGAGAGCCGGCATTCCCTGCCATCCTTCATTCGCGGCAGTCTTAACATGTAACAATTTGAGGTTGTTGAACACCGGAATCGATTTACAGCATAGATAAAGTACCTGAAACAAGGCAAAGCCAAACTCAACATTACAGCTGCAATATCTTTTAAAATATCTCCAGGATTGATTCGATATGTAAAAGCAGGAGCCTTAGAACAACAATGGAGTGTGCATTAGAACCTATGAAAGTACTTAGCATAAGAATTTTATGCTCGGAATAACATAAATTTGAATCTCATACTTCCACAATTTAGATGGGTTTCCTTGAGTCCAGTGAAAAAAAATACTATCAAAACAAAATAAAAACTGACCTCGAGAGTATCTAAAGATATGTAAAGTTTCTGAACATTTCTTATGCCACTCATGAGCTTCCACCCATTTCTAAGACGCAGAAGAACATCATCCTCATCGCTATTTGGCGCTCTTCTTCGCTTGATTTGATCTTCAGTTAATAAAAGGCTGATTCGAGCCTCAACCAAGTTTGTCAAGTTAACTTTTGGATAATCCTCCGCAACAATATCACAATAGGCAAAGTAAACCAGACTTGGAATATCAAAAGAGATGCTCTTTGGATTTGAAAAGTCTTCACAACCGGTGGTCCAGATACTTAGCTTCCTGAGGCTTGCACTTGACACGGTTTCATCCCACTCATTAAAAGACATGGATAATTCCTCAAGCACAGGGAAAGTATGAAGAAACATCTCAATCGTATCACAACGAATCCAAGCTGAGTCAAAAATGAGAGTTTTGAGCATTGGTAAGACAGTGCCTAGTCTAGCCCACGCTACCCACCAATTAACACCTAATGAACATCTTAGTTTCAGCTCTACTAGCGTCTCACTGAAGAACAGTTTTCGAGGCATAAAATATTCTTCGTCGAAATCGATGAAAAGATCCATGTCCAAAACACCACGCTGCAGCACATTACATATCCAACCATCAACTCGACGTGGATGAACACCAGTTTTACACTTGAGGGAAAACTTCTTAATGGGAGAATCACCCTGCAATGCCAATACATTATCCACAAAATCCATGAAGCTCTGCAGAATTTCTTCTCTTTCCCGCTTACCCTCTTCCGGGTACAGAAAGACAGAGTCATCAATGTCAAGATTAGGGACAAGTGCAAACTGACTGCGCCACCTCTTGGACACAACCGATGCCAAAGCAGCCTCTTTTGTGGTAAGGAAGGACAAAATATGACAGAGAATCTCTTCTGGTAGACTGCTGAAGAGATCCATCTTCTCTGCAGAATTACAAAGGTAGAATTCAAACATCAACAGTTACCAAATAAGAAAACCACCCAAAGCAAATAGATTTTGAGACTGTGAACGAAAAAGACGCCCAAATGAGAATACAGCTAGTAGAAGAAGAAGATATGTGTTAACTTCAGCAGCTACCTTGGTACGGAGACGAAACTCTTAGCCTTAGGAAAAAGGAAAAAAAAGTAAATTTTGATGCAGTAACACTTGAAATTAGGTCAATTCCTCGATAAAGGCGTCCAGTGACAGTGAGAGAAGAGAGGCGAAGAGCTGAAACATTGGTTTCTATGACCCTACAGACAAACAAAGGTCTCATGACAAATCTCTGAAAAGAAACATACTTTCAAAATGGAGAGAAAAATTCGACACCTACCTTGGGAGGAACAAACGCTAAATCAAAGTACCTAGGCTTGGGTTTCAATGAATATGTCTGTCTAGTGAGAATAGAGAGCCCGTGTGCTGAATCGCTGGTTGTGAATAGTCGTCATGACTCATGAAAATGCGTCGGAGAAGAAGCTGAAACTTCTCAATTTCCTGGTTAGGTTCCGCGATTGGTTTGGTTATGGTTTTAATTTTAACCGAAGATGCTCGGTTTACTAAGCAAAACGGAGCGTTTTGTGAGAAAAGAAGAACTCAAAAAAGGTGCATAATCTTCATACATTCACATCTTTAATAGTCTTATCATGATGATGATTGATGATACCCTGTTAAGACAAATGTTGATAACCTTTTGTATGGGATCATGAGCTTCAACATAACATTCAATTTTAGCATATATACTGAATTACTGATATAGGGTATGGAATCAAAGTATAAACTTTTGTGGCTTAAGTTGGGTTCTGTTGTAGTTGAAATTGAATATCTTGTTAACCTTCGTTACTTTGAGTAAAAACGTCTGAAAAACAAGTCAAAGCAAAATAACTGACGAAAACAATCCTATCAATAGAATCCATCTGACAGAAAACCAAATTAAAAAAAAAAAAAACAGAGTTATGCTCAAAGAAAGCTACGAGGAGGAATAAACTCGAACTCGATCTTGCACTTAGACGATCTAGGAATATTCAGCAGATTGGTTCTGAGTTGAATCTGTTCCTCGTCGTCTGTTTCATTAGAACAAACTTTGACAAGCTCAAGACATGACAATTTCTCCAGGAAATGTTTCATGTGTTCCAACTCTTTTTTAGTTCCGCTGTACTCGGTTATCTCTACGGTCTTCACAAGACATGACTCTAGAAAAGAATACTCTGACAAGCACTCACAAATAGATTCATCATCGTCAGACTCCGACTCATCCTCATAATAGTTCACCTCATCAGACTCATATTCATCGCCCAACTGATAATTATAGTGCAAGGGACCCTGTAACAAGATGGAGAATTAGAGATCGGAGACTTCATTAGGTGTGGTATAACTGAAATGTTTTGGATCCATACCTCAATGACGAGAGTCTCTAGGTTTGGAGACTTCTTCAGCAGATATGGCAGAGCTCTCCAACAGAATTTACGTTCAGTTGCAATAGACAAATGATGCAAGTTTTCAAACACTGGGATTGCTTCATGGGAGAAATAAAACGCCTGAACAAAACAAAATCAAAACAATCAAAAGCTCATTGGTTTCTAAATACCTAGTAGAGAAGAAAAGAATTAGAGCACACTTACATCCACAGTATCGGTACATGTTAAGTTCAAGGTCTCAACATTTCTTAACCCCTTGATCAGATTAGTTACGCTTGGAATAGTATCACCATGACGTGCATATTCTCTCGTCCAGGCGTGATGTAGTGGCAACTTAAGACCGACAGTAGCTTCGACAAGGGAGTCGAGATTAACCATCGGATAGGATTGCGGAGCAAAATCATAGTACTTCAAGTTGGTAAGACTCGGAGTATCAAAAGTAATGCCCTCCATATCATAATAAATATTACCAATATAAGCAAAGTAATATCTGTGGTTGATAGTAAGTCTCTCCAGGGTCGGACTAGACACTCTGCAAGACCATTCCCACTGCTCCCACTCCACATTAAGAATCCCTAACTCCACAAGCACAGGGCAAGAAGAAATAAGCTTTTGGAACGCACAACCAGATTGATCAGAGAATCGAACTGAATCAATAGTGAGAGTCTTAAGCGCTGGAAGAAGAGCATTCTCAGGGACAAGATCAATTTGCAAAATAGACCCTAGTTCAAGCTCAACAAGAGTCTTGCAAGTGAAGATTTCAACAGGTAGTGAATATCCTCCGTTGAGGGTAACCCATATATCAAGTTTAAGCTTCAAGACACCACGCTTCAGCACATTACAGAGAAAACGGTTGAGATCAGCATGACGATTTGGTCCATCACGCCCGCGACATTTTATAGAGACGTTCTTTATGCGGGAACTGGCCGGAAGAGCCAGCAATCCATTCAAGAAATCCTTCAAACTACCTTGATTCTCAAGTGTGTTATCAAACTCAAGGTTTGGTATGATGGTATAGAGATTTTGCCATCTCTTTGAGAGAACCGATGCGACAGTCGCCTCCTTTGCCGAAAGAAAGGATACAATGTGACATATGATTTCATTCGATAGATTGCTGATCCTATCCATCTCTTTGCTCAACTAATTGGAAGAGAGTTCTCGATCTACAAACATAGAAACGTCACTATACGATTCTGTGGAAACAAAAATAGTTTGAAAGTGGAGATATATACCGAAGATATGAGGAGAAAAAGCAGTACCAATTATGTGAAACTAAGAAACCACGATTAGAAATTTTCACAAATACCTTACTACGGGAGAGGCGAGAAGGCAGAAGAGAAGTCCCAAACTTTGACTTTGAGAGGACTACGTACAAACGCAGCCGGAACGACTTTATATTAGGGGTTTAGGGTAACTTGGGAAAAAACCAAAAACGAGAATTTAGGGTTTTGGAAAGTAAATCTCTGTTCGGTTTACTTTATTAGGGTAACTTGGGGGAAAAACAATAACAAAAATTTAGGGCTTTAGAAAGTAAAGGTGCTCTGTTTACTTTATAACTGGTTTCATTTGACCAGTTTTAAGAACCAAAAATAAAATAAGCCACACCGAACCAAATCAAATCATCCCATAGACTTAAATTCCACAATCGAAGGCAGTTGATGATGAACTCGGTACCAAGGTAGAGCATGAATGTTTTGTTTGAGGAACAGAGCAAAATCGTTTGACCAATGGTACAGTCTAGTGTGAATGTTGGTCTATTTCTTCTGATTCTTTAACGTTACCAATTTAATTCGGTAAACCAGGACAACTTGAGTTTACGACAGTATAAGGCAAAACCCCCACCAACCTTTAGAAGCAGATAGGGAGAGAGATAAAAGAGAGCTTTGAGAAGAAAGCAAGCTAGTTTGAAGAGTTCAAATATCTGCAACATTTCAATGACTTCGAGGTAGAGGACCATTGTCTTCAACATATATACTCTATATCATTTCCATCTACCTGTGTTCCTCAGGAACACTTGAATCTCTAACGTCTTCACTGGACAAGATATGAGTGAAACAACTATGTCCAGTAACATATGTATAAACTATTAACCATGTGGGCAATGGTTTTTTTAATACACAAGTGACACAAGGTTTGTAATAGAGAGAAGGAGACTACGAGCCTAGCAGCTTCTTCCACCTGGCGTAACCAAGGGTGACCATGAAAAGCACAATGCAAAGTGCAGTAACACTCCACACAAAGTAACCAAAGATGCCGTGTGTGTTATACAATGGACATGGTATGTTCATTCCGAACAAGCTGGCCAACAAAGTCTCTGCGGCTATTGCAAACGATGCTATGGTCAGCGTCAGCTGCAGCTGGATCAGTTCGTTTCGTTGATTGTCCAGTTGTATGTTCACGTAGTCTTCTGTGTCGTCAATGTACTCCCTCACTGTAAGAATCTTGTTCCGCATCCCCTCCAGTTGCATGAAGTATGCCTCCAGCAACATCTCCAGATCTTCCACGTCATCTTCCTCTGTACTGCTCGTCACCATACTCGCGCTTCTGTTTGATGTGAGCCGGTGAAGATTTGATGTATTATGTGCTGGGGCGACAATGCTGTTTGATGCTGTCCCCGCAAGTATTGCCTCGGTTTGCTGGTTCTGGATCCATTTCCTTGTTAAGTATAAGTCTGCCATGTCTTCGTTGTCATCTAACAAATGTTCGAGTTCATCTCTCACCTGAATAACGTACAACGGATTTATATTTCCATTCATCACACAACATCATAGTATCATGGGAAAACGTAATTTAGTCAGCATCTACCTTCTGCACACGGGCTAACAAGCGGGTGAGATTACTTTTCAAACTTCGTACATATTCAAGATTCTCAGTGCTGACATTCTTGGTTAGTTCATCAAGGACAGGCCAAGCTTCTGTCTCAAGAGCAGCCACACTTTTATCAACAAATGAGCAGACGACCTCAAGTGCAATCTCCAGGACCTGAAATTCAAAAGGAAGTTCACTCTGCAAACCCTCTGCAGCTTCTGGATCAAGAGGAGATTGTAAATTTGCAGAAGCTTGCAGTGCAGTTTCAGTCCCATTCCTCTGAGGAAACTGTTGCTTTAGTCGTTCAACGAAAGGAAGAACTTCAGGACGGAGAGGATCCAAAAGCAGCACTTCTTCTGCAGTAACTATTGCCTTTATGACCTCTAAATTCACAACAATAGCCTTCTCTCTGGCTGCAGAGCAAAATATTGATTGATTATTAACTTTTCCTCAAGTACTCAGCAAAAAACAAGCTCAGAACTTCAGAAACACAATGTCCAAGCTAATTTGCAGCAATTATGATCTGATGACCTAATCCAAGAATTAGCAGATCGAAATTTTTACCGAGAATGTTAGAAGAGTGAGAGAAGACAGGGCCAAGAATCCTCAAATCCCTAGCGGGAACAGAAGCGCGTTTGATGATTGTACTCTTATCACACTCCACCACTTCCATCGCACCAGTCCGATCAAACCTCATCCACCACCGAGCTCCACCGGTTTTCTTCTTCGCCTTCCCCGCCCCTCCCACAATCGGTCCGCCAGCATTAATCGGTAGGGGAGGCGGTGGAGATGAAGGCGCCGATGTCTGTGCGGAGTCATCCTTCACGGCAGAACCTTTTTTCCGGTGACGGATGCTCGTAAGACGGCGAAAGGATAAGGGGCCCTTCCCCATCGATTCCAGCCACGAAAACGATAATTGTTCCAAGCAATTTCTTCTTCGCAGGTCAGAGATCTAGTGGTGGCTGAAGGAGAAAGCGCCGACCTCTGCCGCTTCTTCTTCGCTTTCTCCAATTCCGCTGAATCCTTCCTCTGCCATAAACGTCAGTGAGCAATAGGGTTCGATTTTGTAATTGAACTTTTTTACGGCGAAATTGCTAAAGTGATGTATTCTTTTTTTTTTTTGAGCTTTTTTTTTTTCTTTTCTCATAAGTATTTCACTTTATTAACCCACCAAAGGGGAAACAAGGCCTTAAAGCCTACAACGATTTGTGCAGAAATAAAAGTGAGGCCCAACATAGCCTACTAGATTAACATCTACGGCATAAAGATGTTTGACATTGGACTCTATCCAATACAGGTGTCGACATGAGATTACAACTGCAACACATGATGAAGAGTCATCGGAAGTGTACCGACATCAACCTTCGCCGCCGAAGAATACCAAATCCGGTGAGGAAAACATCGCCAAAACATGGCACGAAGTATCCTTGTTACCACCGAAATAAATCTGAACGGTGCTCCAATTAAAAGACACGGCATAAGGGAATCGTAATAAGCATCGGAATATTCTTCAATCTTTCAACCCCAAGACATAATCTCTTAAAAGATTTTCTGCAAATCGAAGTTTCTAAAAACACAGGACAGAAATTAATTTTAAGCAACCAGCACCTAAAACTAATTACCATCTCAAATCTATTGAAATTTATTGAAAACTAAAAAAAACAAAGCAATCAGTATAAAACTGATCGACTACGAGCAAGGATACAAGCGGCCAAAACCTCTCATGGGAGCTGGATTTGCCGAACAGGAACCGGTCATCTCCACTAAAGGAGCTGGAAGATACCGGGCAAAAGAAAAAAAGAAAAGAATATCGATGTATTGAAACGGTGTCGTTTGGTTTCTAAATATGTTTGGTTCGGACCCACCGATCACAGAGATTATGGACATATGATTTACACATTCTTATTTCTTAAGACAAATGTCCGTCCATCACACATTATACATTCAACTAACAGTGGACATTTGAGCTTGAGCTTCAACACAACCCTTAATTTAAATCACATTTACGGCGAGATTGCGCAAGTCAGATACCGATGCATTGAAACTGCGTCGTTTAGGTTCTGAATCAGTTTGGTTTTGATCTCCTGGCCTGAATCGGTTTAAGTTCAACCCATCGATCAGATGATGTACATATGATTACACTATTAAGACAAACGTTTCATCACATTGTACATGTTGTTCAACGAACAGCGAACGTTTGGGCTTGAGCTTAAACACAAAGTTCAATTTTGAAGCACATTAAAATTACTCATAGCGGTATGGAAATCAAACTTTAATGTGATGTTTCTGAAAAAGTTGTCTTTTGCAAATTAAACTTATAAAGTGTACCTACATTAAGCTTAAACCATGGTAAATGACCCGAAACATTTGCATAAAAAGAAGATAATGTTAGGAAACAAAATGTCTAGTAAATCAGTTAAACATAAGAGAAGAAGAAACTAAGGTTTTGGGATTAGTTTGGTTTGGTTTGAAACGGTTTTCACGCCAGCTAATAAACAAGAACGGAAGTCAAATTTCAAAGGGACTTTGGCAAAACTATGAGCAAGTTTTGTCCTTCAGAGAATTCTTCCTTTTGCGGTCCACTTCTTACACAAGTAATCACTCACAAGGAGCTGGACATTGCAACTCGATAACTTGTTGAATTCTTCCATCATCTGCTTGATAACTTTAGACACTTCAGGGAATCTAAGCTCTGTAGGATCATTCTCTTCAACATAAATCTCCATCTCCTTCAAACACGGAAAATGGTCCAAGAAATGCTTTATCATTGTCATCTCTTTCATTGTTCCTCTAAACCCTTGAATCTCTAACTTCTTTACTGGACAAGATGTGAGCGAATGACCTTTTTCCTCCCGAGAAATGCAATCACAAGCATCCCCACATTTATCTGTGACATGGTGAAAGAGACCCTGAAAGCATAAACAAAAACAGTAAGAGATTCAAATTATAAACTCAATCTTTGTACATGTTTGGAATATGAGTTGTTTTTATACATCAATGACTAGAGTTTCTAAATGTGGACAATTCTTGAGTAGAACTGGCATTGCTTGCCATCCTCTATTCATGTTACTCTTAATAGCTAACGATTTGAGGATTTTGAACACTGCATCGATTCACAGCATAGAGCAAGCACCTGAAAATATGACAAAACACAATTAGATATTTTGCAATTACATGCTTCAAAACTAGACCTTCACATGAATGCTATGCTCCAGGAATTCGTATAGAAATCTTGTTTTCCTGTTATCATTTCCTCGAAAACAGTTGAAGATAGGTATTCCAAGAGAGAGAAAAAAATAGAAAACTGACCTCGAGAGTATTCGGAAACAAGTCCAGATACTGAACATTTTGTATGCCATGAAAGAGTTTCCACACATTACTATAACCGAGAGCAATGTCTTGGTCGAACCAATGACCATCATCATCTGGTTCTCTAGCTCGCTGGAGTTGCTCTTCAGTTAATAAGAAGTTAATTTGAGCATCACATAAGTTTTTCATATTAACTACTGGATAATCCGTTGCAACAAAAGTAGTGTACTTAAAGTAAACGAGACTCGGTGTATCAAATGATAAAATGCCTAAACAATCGCTGTCCTTTATTGTTAGGGTCTTGAGGCTTGCACTTGATACGTTCACATCTTTCCAGATTACGTCAACCAGGACTAATTCCTCAAGTGCAGGCAAAGCATCTAGAAGAATCTCAAACTTATTAACCCGAGCTGAATCAATAACGAGAGTTTTAAGCATAGGTAAGAAAATGCTCCCAGCCAACCAATCAATCTCAATTCCACAGCCTATTTTCAGCTTAACTAGTGTACTGCTCTCGAAATATTTTGGAGACAGCCGATATTTATCATCTCCATCCATATCCAAAATGATTAATAGATCAAGGTCGGAAACACCACGCGCCAGCACATTACTTATCCAACCATCTACACGAACTGAATCAACCTCACTTAAACACTTGAGGGAGCATTTCTTAATGGGAGAATCACCCTGCAAAGCCAAAATTCTATCCACAAAATCCATGAAGCTCTGTATAATTTCGGGCCTATCCCGCTTACCCTCTTCAGGATGGAGAAAGACAGAGTCATCAATGTAGAGATAAGGGACAAATGCAAGGAGATTGCGCCACCTCTTGGAGAGAATCGAAGTCAAAGCAGCCTCCTTTGTGGTAAGGAAGGACAATATATGACAAAGAAGCTCGTTTGGTAGGCTGCTAACACGATCCATCTTCTCTGCACGAAAGAAGAGGTAATAAATTCAAATAAAAATCAGCAAGTGGCGTATGCATCTCGATATAAGCTAAACTGGTATTACAATTGATTCAAAAACACCAATTATTGATTAGAAATCAGTAGAAGCAGAGGAGATGGGTAACTTGAGCATTTACCTAGTTACATACGCCAATCTCAACACCCAAATTTAGTGAATGTGTCTAGTCAGAAGAGATTGCTGAACATATATATATGGAAAAAAGACATGAAAATGCATTGGAGAAGCTCAAATATCCAATTGGAGAGGAAGGCAGCAGTAGAAAAAGCGCCCAGCAAGTAACCAACTTGCAAAATCTCGCTGAGGCGACGGAAGATGGTGGCGGAGGAGTAAATTGAGGGTTTAGAATGGAAGGCGGTGAAGGCGGAGACTCGGATTCTTGTGTGAAAGTTAAAGAATGTTGTTTCTATTTTATCGGCCGGTTTTTTACAGTTCTCCGGTTTAATTCGGTAAACCAACCACAACCAGGACTGATTTGCCTATGGCCTATGGGCTATGAAAGTATAGCGAACAATTCAGGCCCAAGTATAAGCCCAGTGGTAAACTGATAATTACCATTTTGGGTTTGAAGGAGTGTTGTTACTATGAGCTAAGTTTTGTTTTTCCTTGAAGACTGATCATTGTGTACGCTCGCGTCTGTTTTTATTGATTGAATTTGTTAGCTTTACTCATTCAGGTAAAACATTAATAAGAGAACAACTCAAAGCAAATTTCTAACGAAGAATAAATTCAAAACAATATTTATTGAGAGTAACCTACAAGCAACACTGCACAGTGCACACAAAACAGATTTATTAACAAACAGAGCAAGGAGGAACAAACTGGAACTGGATCTTGCACTTGAGTGATCTGGGAAGCTTTAGGAGATTGTTTCTGAGACAATGATTTTCTATGGGCTCTGTTGCATAAGCACGAACTTTGACAAGCTCAAGACATGACAATTTCTCCAGGAAATGTTCCATTTGCTCCAAGTCTCCTTTAGTTCCCCGGTGATCTCTAGCACTTTCACAGGACACGACAATAGGAAATCATATCCGGAGAAGCACTCACAAACACGTTCATATTTATATCCTCATCATCATCTTCCCACATATCCGGACAAGCACTCACAAACAGTGTCATGGATCTTAAACTGCGCTTAAAGGGTAACAATGGATATACTCTATAGTGGTATGGAATCAAACTTTAATGTGATGTTTCTGAAATAGTTATCTTTTGCAAATTCAACTTATTATATCAAGCTTTAACCATAGTAAATGACAGGAAACATTGCATAAAAAGAAGAGACTGGAAGGAAACAAAACGTGAGTAGTTCAGTACTTCAGTTAAACATAAGAGAAGAGGAAACTAAGGTTTTGGGATTAGTTTGGTTTGGTTTGAAAACCAACTAAAGAAAGAACTGAAGTCAAATTCCAAGGGGACTTTGGCAAAACTTTGAGCAGGTTATGTTTTTTCAGAGGATTCTTCCTTTTGCAGTCCACTTCTCAGACAAGTAATCAGTCACAAGGAGCTGAACATTGCAACTTGAAAACTTGTTGTATTCTTCCATTATCTGATTGATAACTTTAGACACTTCAGGGAATCTGAGCTCTGTAGGATCATTCTCTTCAACATAGATGTTCATGTCCTTAAGACACGGAAAATAGACCAAGAAATGCTTTATCATTGTCATCTCTTTTATTGTTCCTCTAAATCCTCGAATCTCTAACTTCTTCACTGGACAAGATGTAAGCGAACGACCTTTGTCTTCTCGAAAAATGCAGTCACAAGCATCCCCACATTTATCCGTCACATAGTGTAAGAGACCCTGAACGCATAAAGGAGACAATAAGATTATTGAGTAAGAACAACATCTTTTAACACATGTTTGTCCAAGTAGTTTCATGGTTTATAACTGAACCTCAACGAGAAGAAATTCTATATATGGACATTTCCTTAGAATAACTGGCATCGCTTGCCATCCTCGATCCTCCTCACTCGTAATACCTAATGTTTTGAGGTTGTTAAACAGCGGCACCGATTCACAGCACAGAGAAAGCACCTGAAAGCAAGAAAAAAAACCAACTAGACATTTTGCAATTAATGTTTCACAACTAGACAAAAGAGAACAAAAATAGAAAACTGACCTCGAGAGTATCAGCAGTTAAGTAAAGTTTCTGAACACTTTGTATGCCATTCATGAGCTTCACCACATTGCCGAATCGGAGAATAACATCACCCTCATCATCTTCTAACGAATCATCGTTTGGCGCTCTTACTCGCTTGATCTGATTTTCAGTTACTATAAAGTTGATTCGAGCCTCAAATAATGCCTTCATATTAACTAATGGATAGTCCTCCGCAACTAAATCAGAATAGTTAAAGGAAAGCAGACTTGGAGTATCAAAAGAAATGCTCTTTGGATTTCGAAAGCCTTCACAACCGGTGCCATGAATACTTAGCTTCTTGAGGCTTGCACTTGACACGGTTTCATCCGACTCTGTCCACTCCATATCAGCCATTCGTAATTTCTCAAGGACAGGGAAAGAAGGTAGAAACCTCTCCATCTCACCACAATAAATAAATTCTGAGTCAATGTCAAGAGTCTTAAGCATTGGTAAGACAGAGCCTCTATCTCTACCGCCTACATCTCTACGCCACCAATCAACATAACGTTCACTTCTTATTTTCAACTCAACTAGTGTCCTACTGACGAACATCTCATTAGGAAGATTATAACCGTCTTCGATATCCTCAAAAGAAAAGTCAATGAAAAGAGCAAGATCCGAAACACCACGCTGCAACACAGTAGATATCCAACGATTCACATGATCTGGATGAACACAAGTTATAGACTTGAGGGAGAATTTCTTAATGGGAGAATCGCGCTGCAAAGCCAAAACTCTGTCCACGAAATCCACAAAGCTCTGACGAATTTCGTCCCTTTCCCCTTTACCTTCTTCCGGATGAAGAAATTCAGAGTCATCAATGTCAAGATTAGGGACAAGTTTCCACAGATTGAGCCAGCTCTTTGAGAGAACCGAACTCAAAGCAGCTTGTTTGGTGGGAAGGAAGGACAGTATATGACAAAGAACCCCGTCTGGTAGAGTGCTGACCCGATCCATCTTCTGTACACGACATTAAAGTACAGTATTACAAATTCATTCCACTGTGCAGGAAATTTGTAGGCACCGTTTGAACTAAGAAACCCCCAAAAGAGAATAAAATCAGTAGAAGCAGAATAAATGAGTAAATTTCAGTATTTACCTCGTTACAAACGACGCTTAATCCCAAAATCTTCCGAGAGTTGAAAGTGCTTTAATCGCTGGTTTCTATGGCCATACAAGCCAAGATATGAAGGAAAGTCCAAGACTTTCAATTTCAGGTTTGACAAGACATGCAAGCAAACATCTCGGAGAAGCCGAAACACCCAATTTCAAGAGCAAACGAAAGTGAGGGTTTAACATTGAAGGCTGTCTCCAAATGATGTCGAATCTAGTGTGAGTGATTGGTTCTATTTTATCCGGTTTAGATACCACTGGTTTAATTCGGTAAACAAATCAGGAATGCCCGACTCTGGGCTACGAAAGTATGGTGAAACAAGATAGGCCCAAAACATTGCCACTGGGCCCAAAACTACGAAAGTATGACGAATCGCCGCCTTTTCTTTGGGTGTGTTTCATCAGCACACACTTTAACAAGCTCGAGACATGACAATCTCTCTAAGAAATGTTCCATTTGCTCCAATTCTCCTTTAGTTCCGCTGCACTTGGTTATCTCTAGTACTTTCACTGACCATGAATATAGGAAAGAATATTCCGACAAGCAATCACAAACAGCTTCATACTGCCACGTATCATAATCATAGTCCACGCCATTATTACAGTGCACGGGACCCTGAAATAAGGAGGAAGATTAGTGATTGAATATTTTTTTACAATAAACTTTTTTGGTTGTTTAGGGTCCATACCTCAATTACAAAAGTCTTTAAATTTGGAGCCTTCTTTATCACATATGGTAGAGCTCGCCAGCATAATACATCCTCAGTTACAATCGATAAAATGATAGGAACCAAAAAGGATAATTTTAGGCTTTTAGAATTATCCACGCCTGATAATTAACATACTGAGTTTCATTATACATTATCCTAAGAATCCATCAAAGCAAATTACAAATGAAAGTCGAATCAAAACAGGCTCCAGAAAGTTAACAAGTTCAAAGTTCAAACTAGGACAACAAAGAGAATCCGACAAAAGATTAACAGAGGATATAAGTGAGTAAGAGTGTTCACTATCCAAAAAGATACAACAGATAGATGCAACTAGGAGGAGCAAAGCTTTTAAGAAAACGTGACCTTGATCTTGCACTTAGAGGAAGCTCTGGGAAGCATTAATAACTTTTTCTTGTCGCCACCATGTCTTTTCGGACAATGAAGTTTCACCAATCTGAGACAGGACAGTTTCTCTAGAAAATGCTTCAGTTGCTCCACTTCTCCAGTAGTTCCACTGTAGTTGGTTATCTGTAGGACCTCTAGAGGACATGACAATAAGAAAGAATATCCCGACAAACAGTCGCAAACAGATTTAGGTCGGTCTTCATCGTAGTGCAATGGGCCCTGAAGCAAGAGAGACTATTAGAAAACTGAAAATCAAGGAGTATCTATCTACAAGGTTTTATTCTGCATTTGTCCAATAAACTTTTGGGGTGGTTTTGATCATACATCGATGACAAGAGCCTCTAGTTTTGGACACTTCTTTAGCAAAAATGGTAGAAATTCCCAGCAGAACCCATTATCATCACATGTGATAGTTAAATGATATAGGTTTTCAAACACCGGGATTGCTTCATGGAAGTAAGAAAATGCCTGAAACAATATAAATCAACTAGTCATTCTCGTATATGTAACCAGACAAATGAAACATCTTATGGAACCTAAGATGCACACCTGAATGTTAAAAAGATTTGGATTCTTCATCTTTTTGTTTTAATCAAACTCAAATTGTAATAAAATGTCACAAAGAAAGAATAAACAATATCACACTAACCTGAAAAGTATTAGGAGATAGTAAATTCATGATTTCAACATTTCTTAACCCCTTGATCAGATTTGTTGGATCGCTAGAGATAGTATCATAGTCACTTACAAATCCTTCATAGATGTGATCTACCGTGAACATAAGATCGAGCTTAGCTTCGACAAGGGAGTCAAGATTAACAATTGGATAGTCATCCGGAACAACATCAGACAACATTAAATAGGTAAGACTTGGAGTATCCAAATTTATTCTCGTAAACTCACACTGATAGAAATCTCCATGATTAATAGTAAGTCTTTGAAGACTTGGACTGGATAGGTTGCCAGACCATTTCCAACGTTCCCATTCCATATTTTCAATGACTAGTTCCTTGAGCACAAGGCAAGCAGAAAGAAGCTTTTCAAACACACAACCGCGGAGATCTTTGAACCGAATATAGGTAAGAACGAGGGTTTCAAGTGCTGGTAGGAAAGCATTCTCAGGGACAACATCAATAACAAAACCACCATAATTACCTCCAAGTTCCAGTTTAACGAGTGTTTTGCAAGTGAAAACCTCAAGAGGTAGTGAATATGGTCTCCCAGCACATATGTCTAGTTCAAGATCCAAGATACCACGGTTTAGCAAAGCACATATACAACAGTTGAGATCATCATAATGAGTCGGGTCAACACCTCTTCGAAACTTTAGAGAGGAACTCCTTATACGAGAACTGGCCGGCAGAGCCAATACTCCATCCGCAAACTCCATCAAATTCCCTTGATTCTTGACTGAGGTATCAAACTCAAGATTTGGTACAATGGTAAAGAGATTCTGCCACCTCTTTGACAGAACCAATGCGAAAGCAGCGTCCTTTGCAGAAAGGAAAGATACAATGTGGCAAATAATCTCATTTGGTAGATTGCTAATCCTATCCATCCTCTTACCAAACCCTAGAAAACCCCTTTTGCTACTCAATTAATTCCAGTGGAGATCTCAAACCACAAATTCAACCCACTGCAAAATTATACAAACAAGAAAAGGAGTTTCAAAGTGGAGATAAACACACTTAACTAAATCAGAAACAGAACTATACAACGACAGATATATGATAAGAAGCAAAATTACAATTGAAAGAGATGAGAAATCTTTCGACACCGACCTTGCTACAGATGCGAAGACAGAAGAAGAAACCTTAAACTTTGAACTCGAGAGGGCTGACAACTTATACAGAGAAGAAAGCGAAGTGTCTAGTAAGAAATTGCACGCCTTTTTACGCATTTGCTTCATATCTGTGTTTCCACGTGGCACACAAAGTCGAACTAAAATTTTGGTTTTATGGATTTGGTTATAATTTATTTCGCTAGTACCGGTTGTCGAACCAAGTTACCCAAACCGGTATAAACCGAAAACCAGAAATTATGGATTCGATTATATTATACTCAAGCAGAGGAAGCAGAAGGAATCATGCCGGCTTTTCTTGCATAAGCGAAGATTCCACCGGCGTCGATCACCGGACCGGCATCACCTAGCGGTTTAAGTTTGTATTCTTTCCTCGTCGTATGATTGATCAGCAAACTACTACCGTCTTCCTTGTGTTCGATGGTCACCACATCCCCTGTTTTGCACTCGTCGCAGATCCTAACCTCCGATTCGAGCGGGAAGATCTCACCTGTAGCTACACAGTTCCTGAAGAAGATCCTAGCGTACGATTCCGCCACCACGGCTTTAGCTCCCGCCGCGCCGAGGCAAACCGGAGCGTGTTCGCGGGAAGATCCGCAACCGAAATTATCGCCGCCGATGATGACGGAGTACTTTGATTTAATCTCTCCTGGAACAACGAAACGTTCATTGTAGAATTTTGGTAAGCCGTTAAGCGCGAACGAGCCAAGCTTTTCGCGATCTTCTGGAATCGAAGGGATGAGAGTGCCGTACTCGGCGGGGATGATTTGATCGGTGTCGATGTTGTCTTTCAAGACAAAGCAGAGGCCGTGGAAAGTTTCTCTGGATTTTGACTCGCCTGAATCGGAGGATGATACGGCGGCGCGTGTGATGATTGTAGCAGAGGAGGAGGAAGTAAGTGGTTTGAAATTGAAAGTTGTGGAGGTGGACTTGAGTCGAAAGAAAGGAGATGGCGAGTTTTTGTTTGTGGAAGCTAAGGATTTGAAGAGTGTAGGGTTTAGAAATTGCTGAGAAATCGCCATGGTTGTGCTACTTCGTAAGTGAAGCAGAAAATGAAACAGAGTAATTTATAGAGGGAATGTGATTATACAATTTTTAATTACGACTATAAACTAGTATTCACGAAAATGCCATTTTAAGTCCTAAACGTGCGTATTGAGACACCAAGGTAGGTCGTTGTGTAATAAAACGTGGACTCTTTCATTGTTATCTGTTTATTACTCCAAGATATGTACAAGATAGCAACTAGAAGATGTCATTATCAAAATATGAATTTAATTTTTTCAGAAAATATGAATGTGAGATTCATGGATTTTATATGAAACGATTGAAAAGCAAGCACTTAGAAGAAAAGAAAAAAAAAACAGAAATTGGAATTGCTAAAATTAACAAAAATACAAAACTTCACGACTTGACTAGTGACTACTACTATATTTGCGACAAATCCACAAATTGGAATTTTGTGATGGTTTTGCTAAATCTGGTTTTAGGATGAAACAAAAATATTTTATGATTTCATACGCATATTAGCCTAACTTAAAGTTTCGTTATGTTTAGCTCATAAATATATTAATCTGGGAGTAAGAATCTATACTAGTATAATCGCAGCACTTTTTGTGATGGGTGGGTAAAAAAGCTTTCGGGTATATCGGATATCCGACTCATTTTAAAAATTCCTTCACAAAAAATTTGTTGGGTCAGGTTATATTTAACCCAACTCATACACCGGATATTCCATATTTAATAATTTAGATTTTTAGAATATTTGATTAAGATTTATAATTATGATTCTCCTATCATCTTTGTTTGATTTGTTTTTAACTGTTTTGAATCATCATATAATACATAAAGTAAAAAAAAAAATCATTTTTTTTTCTGCATATACTGTGATTCGAAATTTTAAAAACGGACATATATTATCCAATTGACGAAAATGTGTGTTCAACGTTCTACATCGATTAAAATATTTAGACAATGATTCAGAATCATATCATAAATAAGAACATTAATAAAATAAATGAGTTTTTTGGCGGGATGGGTTTGGCGGGACGGGTTTTTGAATCGACAATAATAATAAGATTAAAATATCATTAATCCGCCGCTTCAATACGGATTTAATCCTTTTTTTTTAATACAAATCACAGAACGGGTTAAAAAATTACGGAACGGGTTATATTTCGGAAATGATTTATATGGCGGACGAATTTGAATCAATATTTATATACCGCTTTAATATAGGTTAAATCCTCAGTTTATTAATAATTATCTCGTGGACTCGTGGTATACCGTTACTTAATAACAATTGTAAACTATAATATAAATAAATATGTTATAAGGAGATACAATTTACAAAATATTTTTATATTAACTTTAAAATTAAATCATCCCGCGATGTACCGCGGGTTAAAATCTAGTTATAGTATTACAGTATGTCAAATTTTCAATTAAAAACTTTAACATATAATTAATCAACATACGGTGGTATACTATCACATATCTTAATTGCTGGATTAATATCAAAGGGAAAGCCCACGAAGGCTTAAAATAAAGGAAAACAAAAAGCCCACGGCTTCCACTAGTCCAAGCGGTACGTTTTAATCGAATTCCTCAAAAAGTAAAACGCAGCGTTTCTAGAAACCTTGCTGATCTTGAAAGTTCCGATAAATTCAAGAAGAAACTGTTTCATTTCTTCTCTTCTTCACTCTCCGTCTCTGGGTTCTTTTCTTCTAGATTAAGCTCCAAAGATCGTGCTCGTATATTTCAGAATCTTCGCTGAATTTTTGGTTTGATTGGAACGGATTGTTTCGCTAGTGCAAGAAGATGAATAGGATCAGCGATCTACCTGATGAACTAATTAGTCTAATCGTGAGTACTCTTGCTGCAAAGGATGCTGCGTCTTTGCTGGTTACCTCTAGGAGGTTTGGGAGTATCTATAGCATCATACCAGATCTTTATTTCAATGACAAAGTAAAGTTTCAGGGGACTTTCACGAATCTTGTGAGTGAAGCAATGGCTCGGCTTGAAACGACAACGTGCATAAGAAGATTCTCTTTAAAATCTGAAAGGGGTCTTGATCCAAATCGTATCAACCACTGGCTACGTAATGTGTTGAATCTTCGTGGAGTCATGGATCTTGAAATGGGCATATACGGTGATAATGGATATACATTGCCTTTGGAGATCTTCACTTGCAAGACTGTCAAGAAGATGGAACTAGGGAGAGAAATTGTTATCAGTGTGGTGCCTGAGAATGCTTTGCTTCCAGCGCTTGAGACTCTCATTTTTGACAACGTTCGGTTCAGTAATCTTGCTGATTGTGCGTTCAAGGCGTTTCTTTCTGCTTGCCCTGTGCTTAAGGAACTAACCATTGATGGTATGTACTGGGAAACTTGGGATTGGTCAGGCATAGTGTCTAGTCAAAGTCTTCAAAGACTTACTATTGGTCGTGTATTGCCCGACGGTTTTAATGGGCCTGATCATCAGAACATTACTTTTGATACTCCAAATCTTACTTACTTAGAGTACAGTGATTTTGTCCCGGATGGGTATACAATTCATAGTTTTGAGTCCCTTGTAGAAGCTAAGCTCCATCTTCTTGTGATGGTAAATCACGAATGGCATGGACAGTTTGCAGAAGATGGTGATATCTTGTCTAGCAATGCAACAAATCTGATTCAAGGGATAAGAAATGTCCAGATCCTGCAATTATCAGCTCCTTATATGTTTGAGGTGAGTGTGTTACTATTCGTTTATTTTGTAATTGCTATTTACGGCTTGAGATAGTAATAGAACATGAATAGGTGAATCAAGCGTGCAACTTGCAAACGTATTTCCAAATGTTCTGTTCCAAACAAATTGCAGTTTTGATAACCATAGTTGTTTTTGTTTGATTTCAGACACTTTACTTCTTCCGTGATGCAATTCCGGTATTTGAAAAGCTACATCATTTAACTATGACACATGATGATACGGTATTCTGTTGGAGATTTCTTCCCTTTTTGCTAAATAGGACTCCAAATCTGAAGACCCTTGTTTTCGAGGTATGACAGTGTATTTTGGACAGTCCACACTTTCCAAAACCTCCTGGTTATATACTCCTAATTTTCAATCTCAAATCCTTGCTCTTGTTGCAGGGTGGACTGCACTATGCTGAAGAACCTGATGATGTTGAAGAACCTGACGATGTTGAAGAACATGACTATGTTTGCGGGTGTATGTCGGGATATTCTTGTCTATTGACATGTCCTCTAGAGATCTTGGAGTTAGACTTATGGGAGCACGGCACTATTGGTGAATTGGAGCAAATAAAACATTTCTTAGGAAAACTCTCCCGTCTTGAGTTGTTGAAAGTTCATTCTCGGGAAAGATTAAGCAACAAGGAAAAGTTAAGAATCGTCACGGATCTGCTAATACTTCCAAGAGCTTCGCCCAAGTGCAAGATCCAGATCAGTTTTACTTAAAAAAGCGTGAAGAACAGACTCTGGTTATCCTAGTTGCAGTAGTCAGTTTTGTGCACAATCTTTGTCCCATTTATCTCTAGTTACACTCTGTGGTCTTTTATTGGATTCTCCTAGTTATCTTGAGTCTGATTCAATCTACTTTCTATCCATGTTTTGATTTTGTAAATGTTTCAAATTGTACTTTCGAACAAGCCAATATCGATCACTTGGGGCTGTTGGCATAACGCTCTGTTTTGCTGTGTGATATTGAGGAGAATCCTTGAAACGGCTCTGTTTTGCTGTGTGATATTGAGGAGAATCCTTGAAACGACGCTGTTTCGGTATCTCATCAATGAAAACAAACTTTTGATTCTACTAGTTGGTACATAAAACCGATTTATGTTCCTTTAAACCACAAATAAACAGAGCGTTAAGCAATGCAGTGAATAACCGTTTTTAACAGTTAAGTCCAGTATGATAGACAAGATGCCACGCTTGAGCACAGTACATAGAAAACGGTTGATAAGGACTGGATCAACACGCTCTAGAGAATTTCCTTATGCGAGAACAGAGAGGCAGAGCTATTACTCCATCAACAAAATCCATCAAACTCCCCTGAACCGTAGACCAATCCTTGAAATAAAGACTTGGTATGATGGTAAACAGATTCTTCCACCTCTTTGAGAGAACCAGTGTGAAAGCAGCCTCCTTTGCCGAAAGAAAGGACACGATGTGACAAATGAGCTCATCAGGTAGATTGCTGATCCTATCCATCTCCTCCTCCAAACCCTTAATAACTCTTTTACTGCTTGAATCGAAGTTTTTCAGCGACTAAACTCCAACATCAACCGCAAAGTAAATAATCGCTGAACCAGTTTTCTTCCCACAGAACAAACAGAGAAATGCACCTACCATGAATCTCTGAAAGAAAAATCGTTTCAAATTGAAAATAAATACATTGATTTATAGAAATGAGACAGAGCAAAAATACTAGAAATAAGCTTCGGTTTCTGTCGGCAAATTACAAAAGCAGAAAGAAAAAGAAAACTTCAACACCTACCCAATACCTTCTCACTGGAGAGAGCGAAGACAGAGTATAAAGTTTCACACTTTCAAAATGCATTTGAAAAGGCAAAACATCCAGAACTGGATTGGTTCGGTTTGGTTCTAAATTCTTGGCTTGAAATGCTTTTCCGTTTGGACCGATTTTAATACAAAAAATCAAGCAGTGCCGGTTTGTTTACCAAGTTCAACCGGTTGATTTTAAGGCACCCGGTAAAATAGAACCAAAATTGACAATTTCAATTTTAAACGGGAAAAATGTCGTTAAAATCCTCAACTTATTCAAAACGTTGATTTAAATCCTCAACTCATGACGAAACGAAATAAATATCAAACTTATGTTGACTTTCCAAATAAATATTAAACTTATGTTGACTTTCCAAATAAACACCAAACTTTCATTGACTTTCCAAATAAATATCAAACTTCCGTTGACCTGACCATATAGGTACGACGTTAAATGGGTTAATAAATCCTCAACTCATGACAAAACGAAATAAATATCAAACTTATGTTGACTTTCCAAATAAATATCAAATTTATGTTGACTTTCCAAATAAATATCAAACTTCCGTTGACCTGGCCATATTAGGTACGACGTTAAGTGGGTTAATAGATCTCGTTAACGGAGGTAATTTTCTGTTAACATATATGTTAATTGATAACGACATTGTTTCATATAACAACAAAACGACGTCGTTTTGTCGTAACGATTGAATTAAATCCCTAAAGTCAATTTTAGATCCCCAAATCGAGCAAAATCCCTAACCCTAAATAGAGTATGATTTGAAACTCGGGATTTTATTGAACAGTTACGACAACACGAAACAATGTGTACGTACATGTGTTAATCGAAAAAACACAACTTTACGAACAGACACAACTATACGCGTACATTCGTGTCTCTTACGTAAATAACTAACTTATATGAATACGACTTTAGGTTATATGACTTAGATGAGATTTGATTATAGTTCAACAATACTGTCATTTTTAATTAGCGGATCTGTTAACAGAAAATTAATCCCATTAACATTGTCTGTTAACTCACTTAACGTCATGCCTAATATGGTCAAGTCAATGAAAGTTTGGTGTTTATTTGGAAAGTCAACATAAGTTTAATATTTATTTGGAAAGTCAACATTTGTCTGATATTTATTTCGTTTCCTCGTGAGTTGAGGATTTAAATCAACGTTTTGAATAAGTTGGGGATTTTAATGACATTTTTCCCAATTTTAAACCCTCAATTTCGTTTTCTGCCGATCCTCTTAAAAATTGAGACTTTCCCCTTTGCCTTTCGCTGGGCGTCTTCGCGAACCAAATTTTGATTAAGCACCACCAACTCTCACTTTCTCGCTGAAATCACCAAATTTTGGGACTTGGAACGAGGTAGATACCTAATTTTCCTCATCTCTTCTGCTTCTACTGATTCTGTTCCCCTTTTGGTGGATTTCTGTTTGCGTTGTTAATTGGGCTTCCATCTGTTAAATTTCATGTCTGTTTTTTTTAGCAGTTTAGCTTATCGATGCCTACGTATTTCCTTCCACTTGCTCCGTTTGTAGATCATGAGCAGTGGAACTGTTTAGTAATCATGTTACTGCTGATGGTCTAATTAAAAGCTTTGAGATTTGTATACTTAATATACCTCTTCTTTCGTGCAGAGGAGATGGATCGTGTTGGCAGTCTACCAGACGAGCTTCTTTGTCATATACTGTCCTTCCTTACCACAAAGGAGGCTGCTTTGACTTCTCTTCTCTCCAAGAGGTGGCGCAATCTCATTGCTTTTGTTCCTTATCTTGATTTTGATAACTCTGTCTTTCTTCATCCGGAAGAGGGCAAGCGGGAAAGGCATGAAATTAGGCAGAGCTTCATGGATTTTGTAGATAGGGTGTTGGCTCTGCAGGGTGAGTCTCCCATTAAGAAATTCTCCCTCAAGTGTAGAACTGGTGTTGATTCAGATCGTGTGGATGCTTGGATAAGTAATGTTCTACGCCGCGGTGTTTCAGAGCTTTATCTATTAATCATTTTAGGTATGACTATGGAAGATAACTATCGGCTGTCGCCAAAAGGTTTCGAGAGCAGGACACTAGTTAAGCTGAAAATAGACTGTGGAATTGATGTTAGTTGGATGGCTGGGAGCATTTTCTTACCAATGCTTAAAACTCTAGTTCTTGACTCGGTTTCGTTTTATGTTGATAAGTTTGAGACTCTTCTTCATGCTTTGCCTGCGCTTGATGATTTAGTCCTGGTTGATGTTAACTGGTTAGATTCGAATGTCACCATCTCAAATGCAAGCCTCAAGACCCTAACAATAGACTCCGATGGTCATTTAGGCACTTTTTCATTTGATACACCTAGTCTTGTTTATTTCTTTTACTCTGATTATGCTGCGGAAGACTATCCCGTAGTTAAAATGGAAAACTTACGTGAGGCTCGAATCTTCCTTATGGTTAGTGATGAAGAGATTGAGCGAGTGAGAGTGCCAAATAATGATTTGTTCGAGGATGATATGGACAATGTTGTTCTCCGATTTGAACATGTGGGGAAGCTTATGAATGGCATACGAAATGTTGAGTATCTGGACTTGTCTGCTGATACTCTCGAGGTCAGTTTTCTTTCCTTTTTCACTTTTAATTTTTTTTGTCATCTGGTCTCGAGGATATAACAGAAAGTAATTAGGACTTGGTCTCAATTCCTGAAGCACAGTGGTCATATTAGTTTGGTCCCATTTGGAATGAACCTGACTACTTCCTAGGCATCTTTTGATTTGTAACTCAATTCGCTTTGATCGGTTCTTAGTTGATGTTTTAACTGTTCATATGTAATTGCAACATGTTTAGTTGTGTTCTATCCTGTTTCAGGTGCTTTCTCTATGCTGTGAATCGATGCCCGTGTTCAAAAACCTCAAATCGTTAGCTATTAAAAGTAACGAAAGCCGAGGATGGCAAGCAATGCCAGTTCTTCTAAGGAACTGTCCACATTTAGAATCTCTAGTCATTGAGGTATAAAAACAAACCATTTGCCAAACATGTACAGAGATAGAGTTCATACTTTGAATCTCTTATTGTTTTCGTTATGCTTTCAGGGACTCTTGCATCATGTCACAGATAAATGCGGGGATGCTTGTGACTGCGTTTCTCGGGAGGACAAAGGTCGTTCCCTGACATCTTGTCCAGTAAAGATGTTAGAGATTCATGGGTTTGGAGGGACAAAAAAAGAGATGCAAATGATAAAGCATTTCTTGGACTATTTTCCTAGTTTGAAGGAGATGGAGATATATGCTGACGAGGATGGTCCTACAAACCTCGAAGCTCCTGGGATGTTTGAACAAATTGCGCATCTTTTTACACTCTACGACCAGGTTTATACTTGTGATGTCCAGTTTATGGTGTGTGGTTCCTTATATAAGAAGTTGACTGCACAATGATGTGTCTTCAAGGAAGAAAACTTACCTCATAGATTGGTCCAACCTTCGGACTCTTTGTTAGAAGCTTAAATGTATACCAAGTCGTTTCAGTTTTTTATATCTCTTACATTTTCTGCCCCGTTATTCAGAATAGTTTGCTAGATTTTGTCGCTTATCTCTCTTCCTGTTTCTTCTCTCAATTTGTAAACCCTACATTGTCACAATCTTTTCCTTGATCATATGGAGATAAATATTTGATTACAGATACACATAACTGATTGAAGAAGAAGAAGAAGAAGAAGACGAAGAATGCTCTGTTTTGATTCTCCTATTTAAGTCATACCCTGCAGAGCCATACTATTGAACGTACAGAACATTTTGGAGCAAAATACTTGCAGATGACAATGATCCCTAGTACTAATAATCCAACAAACCTGACAAGCGAAACGTGAAAGAGCATACTCTGATTTCCCTTGTTGCTTAAGTAAATAAAACCTGAATCGGTTTTCTTTGTTGTACCATCTGTCAGAGTTTCCTCGTCTAACATATCATTTTCCTTGTTGATTAAGTAACTGAGGTACGAATATAAGGGTTCACTAGGGTTTGAAGGAGGGCTAGGGCTTGAGGGAAAGAATGGATATGATCTGCTGTCTACATCGAAAGATTTAAACATGCATGTAACATTATCAGACTGAATGAGATGATCCAATGAATTTAAAAAGAAACAACAACGTATTATTAGCTACCGAGAGATTCATAGGAACTAATGATTAACAACCGTCAGCTTGCAGTTTGGCGAAGCTCTCGGGGCCATCTCCAGTGCCTCGGAGACTTCAGAAGGACCACAATCCTCCTCTATGAAGGAATCACAGTGTAATACAATGATCACTTGTTCAAGCCGAGGCAACTTCTTGAGGAAATGTTCGACTAATGACATCTCTCCACAGGTTGCACCAAAGTCCAATATCTTCAGGATCTTCACAGGACATGATGATAAACAAGAAGAAGAAGGAGGAGAAGGAGGAGAGATGCAGTCACAAGCATCTCCACATCCATCCGTGACACGGTGGTGGAGACCCTGAAGAAGGAGCATAAATAAACCAAAATAAAAATGTGTAATTGATAACATATAAAAAGTTAAAACAGAGTTTTTGTTTCTGCATGTATACTTACATGGAAGACGAGAGTTTGTAGATTGGGGCAGTTGATGAGCAAGAGAGGCAATGCTTGCCATCCTCGTTCATCGTCACTTTCAATAGATAAATGATTCAGGTTGTGGAATACCGGTACCGTCTTACAAAAGTCTTCAATCACCTGAAAACACATCAGTAAAACTTGTTGGATCATCAAAAGGCTGGTAAGTAACAAGTAACCATAAAATAAGAAAGAAGAAAGAAATAAAACCTCAATTGTAGCAGAAGTTAAGTGAAGGGTTTGAACATTATGTATCCCCATGATAAGATTGGTGGCATCCCAAGGAACTTCATATTCCTCTGAATCTCTTGCATGCATCTGACTTGTATTCGATCCAACATCGAGCCTAGCTTCAACAAGGGAATCCAATTTGACAAGCGGATAGTTCCCCGCAACAAAATCTGAGTAGTTTAAGTAGAGGAGGTTTGGAGTATCAAACGAAACATTGCTAGGACTCGCAGTACCGAAGTCGGAGTCTACGGCCAGAGGCTTATTAGAGTAGAACTTTCCAGATGCCCTGCGCAAGATTAAACAAAACGTGCCATCTTAATATGTTTTTTTTTTTTGTTAATGAACTCTTTGAAAAGTAAAAAAAAAATGACGTTAACTATATTTAGAGTAATTCATTGTCTCTCTCTCTTCTATTTTAGAGGAAACTCTATTTTATAGGAATACATTGGAGCAAAATCTCCTCTAAAATAGAGGAAAATATAGAGGTGGACATTGGAGATGGTCTAAGACGATGGCTTTACTTACATCTTCTCTCGACGGAACTTGAATATGTGACTATCCATGGGTGGGAGGTAATGTTCACCATCAATAGTTAGTCTCTTGAGGGTAAGAGAACACACTGATGCAGAGCGCCAACGGTGCCATTTTATACAATTTACGATCAACTCCTCAAGCATAGGGCATTTAGATAGAAGCCGAGCAAAACTCCTATCTCTTTGACCGAGGTCAATAGAATCAAGATGCAGAGTTCTAAGATTGGTAAAGATAATGTCTCCCCAAAATAGACTGTGGTGGATGATACCGAGTCTCCCACATCCTAGTTTGAGCTTAATCAAGTTATGGCAATAGAAGAAGATACTAGAAGGCAGTGAATATATTCGTGAAGGGAAGAGCACTACTAAGGTAAGATCTGTTGCTCCACGTCTCAGAGCTTTGAGTATCCACGTCTCAGCAAGATCTTGGTCAACACCATTATGGCATATAAGAGAGAATTTGGTAATGGGGGAATTGGATTGAAGAGCAAGAACTCTGTTCACAAACTCTCTGAAAGTAGTCCTTGGGCATTCTTCGGGACTTACACAAGGCATAAAGGTGGAGTCATCAAAATCAAGACTAGGTATCAATGTAAACAAATCCCGCCATCTCTTGGACAGAACAGATGTTAAAGCTGCGTCTTTTGTCGAAAGGAAAGACAAGATGTGACAAAGTACATGCTCTGGTAAGTTGTTGATTGCATCTAATTCTTCCTCACTGTTCTTCCTCTTTTTCGCATTCATCTCTATAAAAATAACTTTATTTAGTGAGCAAGCTTGTTTTTTTTTTTTTTGGTGCTTCCAACTCCCCCTAATTATTCATAAAATTAAAAATAAAGTATTACAAATGAACAAACCGCGAGACTCCTATCCCGTTAATATCATCCAACAATATCGAATGAACACTATCAGGACAAGAATCTCTAGACAAAGAAAACCAAGATCCAACGAGAAAGCTTGTTTATAAACTATGTATATTTCTACATGTTTCCTTATTCAAAGAGGAAAATTTCCTTTTCTAAGATTTCCTTTTGTCCAATTGTTCATGCATTTATTAAGAATATATGTACATTTTATTACAAAGAAATCAATCATAACATGCTCTATTGCTCTTTAACAGAATCATCAAACCTAGAAACTCTTCTGCCGAAAAAACTAATCCTCTCTGAAACTCTTGCATCCCAGCTCAAAATGACTGGAGGTAAAACAGAAAGCTAAAGGAGAGACTCTAAACATAAAAGAGGCTTGGGTATCCGGTTGTAAAAGAACTTGTTAAACATATATGTTGCGCTGGTAAAGAAAAAACATGGGTCTATAACAAAGGAAACGTATAACATGGTCAAAACATATGCAAGACAAATTTAAAACATAATGAAGAAAAACTAAAATAGTTGATATAATAATATAAATAAGTTCGACTTCTTCTCCTTTCTCGTCTGTAGCAAAGTAGTAGTTGTAAAAATAATTATAATCACTGATTGATATCATGTTAGTAATTTTATTAAAGTATAGCATGGTATTTAACAAAATAAACGTACAAAATGTTCAGAAAATAAAAATATTATAGTCTATAGTTAAAGGGATATTCTCAATATCGCCATCATCAATTGCAGGAGAGGATATTATTTTCTTTATCAAAAAAAGAAAAGAGAAACTTTAGGGGTTTGGAAAAATTGACATGGTATTGATATAACATAATCATCATTGGGCTTTTAAAAAAGCCCACTAGTCCAAGCGGCAAAAACGCAGAGTTTCTAAACATATCTAGAAAGTGCCGATCAATCCAAGAAATGAAATTGAAATGAAGCGCTTTCTTCTCCTCACTCTCCGTCTCTGGGTTCGTCTACATCGCTGAGATTAGTTTGAGAAAGTTCTTAGTCACTGGTTCCAAAATCGAATCCATAGTCCTGGTCCAAATGGTGGTTTGAAGATCCCGATAGGTTCGCTAGGGTTTAGTGCAAGAAGATGGATAGGATCAGCGGTCTACCAGATGAACTAATTAGTCTAATCGTGAGTTTTCTTGCTGCAAAGGATGCTGCGTCTTTGTTGGTTACCTCAAGGAGGTTTAGGAATCTCTATAGCATCATACCAGATCTTGAGTTCGATGACAAAGTTAAGTTTCAGGGGACTTTCACGGATCTTGTGAGTGGAGCAATGGCTCGGCTTGAAACGACAACGTGCATAAGAAGATTCTCTTTAAAATCTGAAAGGGGTCTTGATCCAAATCGTATCAACCACTGGCTACGTAATGTGTTGAATCTTCGTGGAGTCATGGATCTTGAAATGGGCATATACGGTGATAATGGATATACATTGCCTTTGGAGATCTTCACTTGCAAGACTGTCAAGAAGATGGAACTAGGGAGAGAAATTGTTATCAGTGTGCTGCCTGAGAATGCCTTGCTACCAGCGCTTGAGACTCTCATTTTTGTCTCCATCCGGTTCTGTAATCTTGCTGATTGTGCGTTCAAGGCGTTTCTTTCGGCTTGCCCTGTGCTTAAGGAACTAACCATTAATGGTATGTACTGGGAAACTTGGGATTGGTCAGGCATAGTGTCTAGTCAAAGCCTTCAAAGACTTACTATTGGTCGTGAACTGTCAGGTTTTCATGGGCCTGATCATCAGAACATTACTTTTGATACTCCAAGCCTTACTTACTTAGAGTACTATGATTTTGTCCCGGATGGGTATACAATTCTTAGTTTTGAGTCCCTTGTAGAAGCCAAGCTCGACCTTCTTGTGATGGTAAATCGCCGATGGCGTGACGTAGTTATAAATGACGGTGATGTCTTATCTAGCAATGCAACAAATCTGATTCAAGGGATAAGCAATGTCGAGATCTTGGAATTATCATCTCCTTATATGTTTGAGGTAAGTGTGTTATTGCTTCTTTTTTTCTATTCTTTTATATGTACTAGGTAATTACAGCTTGTGACAATAATAGAACATGAATAGTTGAACCAAGCGTGCATCTTTAGTGCCATAGGATGTTTGATTCCATATATGGAACAGTGTTTCCTTAGTTGATAACTATACTTGATTTTATTTGATTTCAGACGCTTTACTTATTCCGTGATGCAATTCCGGTATTTGAAAAGCTACATCATTTGACTATGGTATATGATGATCGCTTGGGTTTCTGTTGGAGATTTCTTCCCTTTTTGTTAAATAAGGCTCCAAATCTGAAGACCCTTGTTATCGAGGTAAGAGAATGTATTTCGGACAAAACACAATTTCCAATACCTGGTATATACTCCTATATCGTAAATCTCAAATCCTTCCTCTTGCTGTAGTGTGGAGTGCACTATCTTGAAGAACTTGACTATGTGTGCGGCTGTTTGTCGGGATATTCTTGTCTATTGTCATGTCCTCTAGAAGTCTTGGAGATAACCTTGGAGGACGGAAGAATCGGTGAATTGGAGCAAATAAAACACTTCTTAGGAAAACTGTCCCGTCTTGAGTTGCTGAAAGTTCATTCTCGGGAAAGATTGAGCGACAAGGAAAAGTCAAGAATCATCACTTATCTGCGAATGCTTCCAAGAGCGTCGTCCAAGTGCGAGGTCCAGATCTGTTTTACTTAAAAACTACCAACTCAAGCATGAAGAACAGTTTCTGGTCATCCTAGTTGCATAAGTCTGTTGGAATGTGAATGGGATTGTGCATATTCTTGGTCTCTTTTATCTCTAGTTACTCTCTGTTATCTTTTATGTTGATCTTCCTAGTAACTTTAGCATGTTGTCTACTTTCTAGGCCTGTTTTGATTTGTAATTCAATTTGCTTCCATGGGTTCTTCGTTGATGCCTTAACTGATCATGTGAACTTCACTTGAATCAAAAAGTGGATGCTTCTTTTAGTAATAAGTATCTAATTTTTGTACTTCCTAACAAGCACAAGGGCTCTGTTTTGCCGTTTGTTGTGGGATAGGTAGGAGAAACAAACCTTTGAAACAATGCTGTTTCGGTATCTCGTCAATATATGGAAGGTTTTTGTTTTAACAAAGAGTGTTTTTTTGGTTCTTAAAACAGGTCCAGACAAACCAAAGTAAACCAAACGACTTTGTTTTCCAAAAAACCCTCAGTTTTCGGTTTTGTTTTTGGTTTTTTCCCCAAGTTACCCTAATTTAGGTGATAAGTTCTGGTGTGATCTTCTCGCACGTATTCAAACTAGAGAAAGCTTTCGAGGTTCGAGTTTTCATCCTTCTGGATCGTGACTCTACCAAACTTCTCCGTCGATTTCACGTCTATTCCAGGGTATGTGCCGAAGTTGAACTCGTCTCTTGTGGTTCCTTTGTGCTACTTTTGATTCAAAGTTTCAACATCAGTTTGATTTTGATTGGCTTCCATGCTTCTAATATGCTTTTGTACATCATCTTGAACTCAAAGTTGGGACTTTTCTTCAGTCTGAGCAAGTTAGTTCTGAAACAATTCCTAAACAATTTCACACAATCGGTTTTGATTTTTCTCTTTATATCATCGGTAATACATCTTCACTTTGAAACTACTTTTGTTTCCAGAGAGTGACCTTTCTCTGTTTGTAGATTTTGTAGTGGGTGATACTTTGTGGTCGAAAACTCCGTTTGAATTATCTGAGCAAAGGAATGGATAGAATCAGCAGTTTACATGATGATATCATTTGTTACATACTTACATCGTATCTTTCCTTTCGGCAAAAGAGGCTGCTGTCGCATCAGTTCTCTCAAAGAGGTGGAAAAATCTCTATACCATCATACCAAATCTTGAGTTTAATAACACACTTGAGAATCAAGGTAGTTTCACGGATTTTGTGGATGATGTGTTGGCTCTGCCTCTCAGCTCCCGCGTAAGGAACTTGTCTCTAACATGTTTTCAACCGGGGTTTGATTATGCTCATGTAAACCGTTGTCTCTGTAATGTGCTAAAGCGTGGTATCCTTGATCTTAAACTAGACATATCTATTAAAGATGGATATTCATTGCCTTTTGATGAGGTCTTGACTTGCAAGACGCTTGTTGAGCTTAAACTAGGGACTCTTTTGAATATTGATCTTGTCCCTGAGAATGCTCTTCTTCCGGCGCTTAAGACTCTCATTATTGACTTAATTCGATTCTATGAACTTTATGGTTATGTGTTCCAAAAGTATCATTCTGCTTGCCCTGTGCTTGTAGAATTAGTGATGCGTATCAAAGGAGACTTGGAGCCGTTGAAACGTTTTGTGGATATAATGTCACTCCTGAAGCTTTTTGAAATTCATGCTGATGTAATAGAAGACGAGGAGCATATTCAAGTTAGAATCAATCTTCCTAGATCGGCCAAGTAAGAAGATCCAGTTCGAGTTAAGACCTTGTGGTAGGTCCCGTTTGAGCATGACTGTTTTTTTCATTTTTCTTTTGTCATATGGATTGCCTTGGCCTTTGAGTTATTTTTGATTTGACATTCTATTCAAAGTGACAAAGGTTAACACAAGAGTTAATGAGCCACAAAAGAACCCTAATTAAGCTCAATATAAGGAAAACTGAATAACTTCAATCTGAAAAAGAATTTTATAACTTTTACAGAAGTATCAAATTAAAAGTTGATAACATTGATTCCATACCCTATAATCAGTAAATGTGCTAAAATTGAAGCTCTGTCCTAATTCCTAAACGTCCACTGGTTGTTTAAGAAGTCTAATGTAGGATGAACATTAGTGTAATCCCATCCATCATTACCAAATACCAATTTACCAGATACAAAAAAAAAACTGATGAGTATTTTCTGCATTTCTTTGGATAAGCTTGCTTTTCTTCTCTTGTATCTGCTTCTCTGTAAAAAATTTAGACTCATGGTTCACTCGAACACAACGGAACTTTATCCTCTCCCTAAGATATGTTCTATTACAACTGGGCCTCTTAACTTGGGCCCTATAGTTGTTTCTTTTACTTTCAGGCAGCCCAAAGTCTTAACAATCCTGGTTTAATGATTTAGGTCCAATCCAATCGTGCAACCGTAATTTCTTCTGGTTTGAGTCAGTGTGCTGCCACGTGGAAGGAAGCACTTTACGCTTCGTCTTTGGATGCTTGGGCTTCTCTCAAAAGCAATTGGATGTCTTCTCCAGCTGAAAGTTTGAGACTTTTCTTCTGCATTCAAAGGTATGAACCGAGTTTACTATCATCTCTTTCTCTAGTTGATTTTTGTTTCTCCTCATTTTTTTGCTCAATTTCTTCTGTTGAGTTTGAATTTGAAACAACTTCTTTTGCCACTCGTTGATAGGTGATAATGTTGATGTTCTAGTCTAGTCGCTGAAAACCACATTCGAATTGTACTTAAAAAACATAAAAGAGGGTTCTTTAGGGTTTTGACAAAAAGATGGACAGGATCAGCAGTTTACCAGATGGTGTTCTTAGCCACATCTTGTCTTTCCTTCCGTTAAAGAAGGCTGCTCGAACTTCGGTTCTCTCGAAGAGATGGCGTATTCTTTTTGCTTTCACACCAAATCTTGATTTAGACGGCAATGAGGTTAGCGGACAAAGTTTCATGGATTTCGTGGATAGAGTGTTGACTGTGTCAGGAAATTCCCCTATCAAGAAATTCTCTATAAGGTGTATAGAGGTTTTTGACCCAGCTCGTATCAATCGTTGGATATGTGATGTGCTGAATCGTGGTGTCTTGAATTGTGCTCTTCATTTGGGCTTAGATGCTGAAGATGCTAAAGATGGGTATTCTCTGCCTTTTGAGATTTTTACTTGCAAGACGCTTCTGAAGCTGAAACTAGCTGGTTTTTCGATTGATGTGCTTCCTGAGGATGCTTTTCTTCCAGCTCTTGAGTCTCTTGTTCTGAAATCAGTTCAGTTCTGTAGTCTTCATGTTTGTGTGTTTCAAAAGCTTCTTTCTGCTTGCCCTGTGCTGGAGGATTTGGTCATGAATGATTTGAACTGGGAACAATGGAAATGGTCTCGCGTGGTATCCAGTCCGAGCCTTGAGAGACTTACTATTAAGCGTACACTATTCTATGGTTTTGATGGGTCTGATTTTGGGAGCATTACTTTTCATACTCCGAATGTTACCTACTTATACTACTCTGATTTTGTCCCGGGTTCCTATCCAACTGTCAATCTCGATTCCCTTGTTGAAGCAAGTCTGGATCTTACTGTGACAGTAGATCACACCTGGGACTCGTGTTTCGCAGATGAAGGGGATCCTATTACTAGCAATCCAACAAATCTGATCAAGGGGTTGAGAAATGTTGAGATCATGAATTTGTTATCTCATGAGAGTTTGGAGGTAACTGTGCTCTACCGTTTGCGTCTTTCATTCTCTGTAATATGTTATGGACAAATTGAGAAAACTGAAAGAACATGACAAGGATACTTAGTTTTGATCTAAATATTGAAATTTGTTGACTTCATTTTGTTTCAGATGTTCTATTTCTTCCGTGAAGCAATCCCAATGTTCGAAAACCTGTTTCATTTATCTTTTACGCCGGGGGCTGGATGTTCCTGGCGAGGAGTGCCATTTATGCTAAACAATTCTCCTAATCTAGAGACTCTTATCATCAAGGTATGACGGAAACCCCATGAGCTTATTGGATAACCACAGTTTTTGATTACACAATAGGTTCACCAAAATCTTCAATTTCTAATCCTCCCTATTGGTTCAGGGTCCTTTGCATCATGATGCAAGTGGATATGGATGTTCTGGGTATTCTTGCTTATTGTCATGTCCTGTGAAAGTCCTTAAGATAACCGAGTACCTCGGAACTACGGGAGATGTGGAACAATTAAGGCATTTCTTAGGGAAATTGTCATGTCTTGAGCTGTTGGAAGTTGACATTTTTGAAACAAGAAACAGGGACGAGTTGCAAATAACTAAGGAACTTCTAATGCTTCCCAGAGCTTCGTCCAAGTGCAAGATCAAGGTCAATTAACTCATGCATTGCATGAAGAGCAAACTTTGATTCTTTTCTAATGGATTAACTCTTGTTTAGACCTGAATCTGTTTAACTAAGTTGTTGTCTTTTGTTAGACTTTTCTCTTTGTCTTCATCTTATCACTTTTTGTCGTGGGATTGTTCTGAAATGATCTTTTCACTAGTAATTTGCCTCGATCAAATGATCTATATGCTTTACTTGAACCTGAAGGTTAGATACGGTGTTGATCCTGATCGTGTGGATAGTTGGATATGTAATGTACTGCAACACGGTATTTCTCATCTTCATCTATCCTGCTGGCTGCTGCCTTATGAGATATCTGTCAGTAAGACATTAGTTGAGCTGAAAACAGGATATGGAGTTGATCTTTATTCATGGGACGATGACATGTTCTCACCGATGCTTAAGACTCTTGTTCTCGACTCGATTGTGTCACTTGAAGGTCAGATTCAAATGCTTCTTCTTGCTTGCCTATGCGCTTGAGGAATTATACATTATTAACACGAGGTGGAAGGACTCCAATGTGACTGTATCAAGCCCGATCCTGGAGAAGCTAAACTATAAAGCTCAAGGGCTGATCTGGATTAGTAATTCGGAAGAGAGCCTTTCACTTGAAGATCCAAGTGTTGGTTACTTTGATTACACTCAGGACTTTCCAGTAGTTAAATTGAAAAGTTTATACAAAGCTATAATCAACCTTGTTGTACCCGAAGATCAAATCAAGCAAGCAAGAGCACCAGATGATGATTTGTTGGAGACGATAATTTTTTCTGGTCTTGGTAATGTGTGGAAGCTCATTGTAAAGGAAGTGGACTGCCCAATGAAGTCTTCGTGAAAGCAAACATAGCTCATATATTTGATCAATGTTTTCTTGGATTCTCTATGACGTTCTCATTGTATATTTTCGGTTAGCAATAAAGACAGATGAAAATTAAAGTAGATAATTCAGTTGATACGATGCACCACTACACATTTGTCCGCTGGATTATACGATGCGGTTGTTTTCTTGTAGCTAAATTCTGTTCTTTGCTAAAACTTCTAAGCAACATTTTGTCATCTGGAATAAGATCATCATATGAACCCAATAATGCAAGACAATGATGAAACCAAAATTTAAACAACCGACGATAAGAGAAGACTTAGATAAGTGGGAACACCTGCAAGAGTTTGTTAGAAAATCTGATCTGGATCTTGCAGTTAACCGAAGCTCTAGGTAACATTAGCAAATCGGTGGTGAGTCGCAACTTTTCGTCGTCGTCTCTTGTCCAAAAACTAATTGTCACCAACACAAGACATGACAATTTCCCTAGGAAATGTTTCATTTGCTCCAATTCTCCTTTAGTTCCCTTGTACCTGGTTATCACTAAGATCTTCACAGGACATGACAATAAGCAAGAATACCCTGACATGCACTCGCAAACAGATTCAGGTTTGCATTGATTATCGTGCAATGAACCCTGAAACAAGATGGAGAATTAGAGATTGGTAAATTATGATTAACTACATAGTTTATAAGCTTGTGGGGTTTTGGTCATACCTTGATGACGAGAGTCTCCAGATTTGGGGACTTCTTTAGCAAAACCCGTAAAATTTGCCAACAGAATCCATATAGTATAGATAAATGATGTAGGTTTTCAAACACCGGGATTGCTTCACGGAAGAAATAAAATGTCTGCAACAAAATAAAGTCAACTCCTCATCAACCAACTGCAATCTTTAGGTCATCAACAAGCATTTTTGGATTTTGGAACATCCTATGGAACTTAAGATGCACACCTGAATACTTACCAATATTCTAATTCTTACACAGATGGAGGAGATTAAAACAAGAATGTGATTCTTGATTATCCTATTCATGTTCTTTCTATATTTTTCCATGGTGTAATTGCATGATACAGAAGAAACAATAACAGACTTACCTCGACACTGCTACAAGTTAAGGCCAGGATCTGAACATTCTTTAACCCCTTCAACAGATTCGTTGGATTGCTAGAAATATTATCAGAATCAATTATAAGTTCTCCATTCCAGGTGTGATGTACCGTCAAAACAAGATCGAGCTTAGCTTCGACAAGCGAGTCAAAGTTAACAAATGGATACTCATCCGGAACAAAGTCAACGTACTCTAAGAAGACAAGACTCGGAGTATCAAACGTGATGCTCCCAAAATCAGAACCTTCAAAACCATAAAAAATCTCCACGCTTGATGGTAAGTCTCTTAAGGGTCGGACTTGACACAGTGCGAGACCATTCCCAATATTCCCATTTGATTTCATGCAACAGTAATTCCACGAGCACTGGACAAGCAGAGAGAAGCCTTTTGAACGAACAACCATGATGCTCATTGAACCGAACTCCAGAAAGACTGAGGGTCTCAACCGTTGGAAAGAAAGCTTTCTCAGGAGGGAGAAGATCAAAATAAAAACCAAACTCTAGTTTCAGGGTAACAATTGTTGGTCGTGATCAAGTCTTCATGGTAGTTTTATTTAGAGTCTTATATTATAGAGTTAAGTAACTGAGTTTTGTTATGCATAAACTATTCGTATTACACACCGAAGAGATACGAATAGAATCGTTAACTGCAAAACAGTTACACGTGTATGTATGTGTCTCCACATTGGGTTGTCTTGTAGAGACGTGTCCCTTAGTCAAAGTGTGTCATGTAAAACTATAAATACAGTTTATATATCTAATAAAAGTGTGTGGTTTTACGTTATACAAAACAGAGAGGTAAGACAAAACAGAGTAAAATCTGTGTTGTCCGATCCTTAAACACTTTGAGAGTTCAAAGTTCTACATGGTATCAGAGCTATGGAGACAACAATGCAGCAAGTTATTCCAATTTTCAATGGTGAATCATACGGGTTCTGGAAAATCAAAATGATTACCATCTTGAAGACACGAAAGTTATGGGAGATTGTCGAAAACGGAGTCACGGCGAATCCATCTTCTGAAAGCACATCGGAATCGATTAGAGAGAGAGAAGATCAATTGATGAAAGACATGTTGGCTCTCCAAATCCTTCAAAGTGCAGTCTCAGAATCTATATTTCCGAGAATTGCTCCCGCGTCGACCGCAAAAGATGCTTGGAATGCTTTGGAAATGGAGTTCCAAGGAAGTTCACAAGTAAAGATGATCAATCTTCAGACTTTGAGAAGAGAGTATGAGAATTTGAAGATGGAGGAAGGTGAAACCATAAATGATTTCACAACCAAGTTGATTAATCTGAGTAATCAACTAAGAGTTCATGGAGAAGAGAAGTCCGATTACCAAGTGGTTCAAAAGATTCTAATCTCCGTACCACAACAATTCGACAGCATCGTTGCGGTACTTGAACAAACAAAAGATCTATCAACTCTTTCTGTCACAGAGTTGATAGGAACATTGAAGGCGCATGAGAGGCGTTTAAATCTCCGAGAAGATCGTATCAATGAGGGTGCGTTTTATGGAGAAAAGCTTGGTTCAAGAGGAGGAAACAAGCAAAACAAAGATCGCCATGGGAAGACCAACATGTGGTGTGGCGTGTGTAAGAAGAACAATCACAATGAGGTAGATTGTTTCAGAAAGAAGAGTGAAAGCGTTTCACAAAGAGGTGCAAACTATGAAAGAAGATGCTACGTGTGCGACAAGCCAGGACACATAGCCAAAGATTGTAAACTTAGAAAATGTGAAAGAGCACATCTAAGTATTGAAGAATCAGAAGATGAAGATGAAGATGGGTGTCATATGCTATTTAGTGCTGTTGAAGAAAAAGAGATCTCAACAATCAAAGAAGAAACGTGGTTGGTAGATAGTGGGTGCACCAATCACATGTCTAAAGACATTAGATACTTCATAACCTTGGATCGCAGCAAGAAAATTACCATAAAGATTGGTAATGGTGGGAAAGTCGTTTCCGAAGGCAAAGGAGACATAAGAGTAACCACAACCAAAGGAGATCATGTCATCAAAGATGTACTTTATGTACCCGAACTAGCAAGAAATTTGCTTAGTGTCTCCCAAATAATATCAAATGGATATCGGGTCATCTTTGAAGGCAACAAGTGTGTGATTCAAGACGTAAAAGGAAGAAAAATCTTGGAGATCAAGATGAAGAACAGAAGCTTTCCAATTCGTTGGAAAAATTCAAGAGAAGAAGCATATGTGGCTTTCGAAGAAAAAGAAGAACAAACAAATCTCTGGCACAAGCGTTTTGGTCATGTGAACTATGACAAGATGGAGAAAATGCAAACGCTAAAGAGTGTAGAAGATCTTCCAAAATTCGAAGTAATAAAAGGCGTATGTTCGGCTTGTGAGATGGGAAAACAACCAAGGAGGAGCTTTCCAAAGAAATCTCAAAGCAACACAAACAAAACCTTGGAGCTTATTCATTCGGACGTGTGTGGTCCAATGCAAACGGAGTCAATAAACGGGAGCAAGTACTTCCTCACGTTTATTGATGATTTCTCAAGAATGACGTGGGTATATTTCTTGAAAAACAAGAGTGAAGTGATCACAAAGTTCAAGATATTCAAGCCTTATGTGGAGAACCAATCGGAGAATCGGATCAAAAGGCTTAGAACAGATGGAGGTGGTGAATTTCTATCGAGAGAATTCATCAAACTATGTCAAGAGAGTGGCATACATCATGAGATAACGACTCCCTACTCTCCACAACAAAATGGTATAGCGGAAAGAAGAAACAGAACGCTTGTAGAGATGGCAAGATCAATGATCGAAGAGAAGAAGTTATCTAACAAGTTTTGGGCTGAAGCTATTGCAACATCAACATACTTGCAAAACAGATTGCCATCTAATTCATTGGAAAAAGGAGTTACACCAATTGAGATATGGAGCGGAAAGAAACCAAGTGTTGATCACTTGAAAGTTTTTGGGTGTGTATGTTACATACACATACCGGATGAGAAGAGAAGAAAGCTTGACACTAAAGCCAAACAAGGGCTGTTCGTAGGCTACAACAACGAATCAAAAGGGTATAGAGTGTTATTGCTAAATGAAGAAAAAATCGAAGTGTCAAGAGATGTGACATTCGATGAGAAGAAAACATGGAGTCATGATGAAAAAGGAGAAAGAAAATCGATTCTATCGCAAGTCAAGATCAACTCACAAGAACAAGGAGGAGGAAATGATCTAAACGCTGAAATAGATCAAGTGAGCAACGCTTTGAATCAACTTCATATTTCAAACAGAGCAATTCAAAACTCAGAAGAAGAAGGAGAAAATTATGTTGGTCCAAGAGGTTTCCGATCAATCAATGATCTCATGAACCAAACCGATGAAGTTGAAGGAGAGGCACTTATACATGAGATGTGTCTCATGATGGCTGAAGAACCACAAGCCTTGGAAGAAGCAATGAAAGATGGAAAATGGATAGAAGCCATGAGAGAAGAGTTGCGGATGATCGAGAAGAACAAAACATGGCAAGTTGTGGCAAGACCAAAAGACAAAAATGTGATCAGTGTCAAATGGATCTTTCGTTTGAAGACTGATGCAAGTGGAGAAGCAATCAAACACAAAGCAAGATTGGTGGCCAGAGGATTCACACAAGAGTATGGTGTGGATTATCTTGAAACTTTTGCACCGGTTTCAAGATATGATACAATAAGGATCGTAATGGCGATTGCGGCTCAACAAGGATGGAAACTCTTTCAAATGGATGTAAAGTCAGCATTCTTAAATGGATATTTGGAAGAAGAAGTTTACATAGAACAGCCACCAGGGTTCATAGAAGAAGGAGAAGAAGGAAAAGTTCTTAAACTTCACAAAGCGCTATACGGTTTAAAGCAAGCTCCTAGAGCATGGTATGGACGTATTGATGGATATTTTATCAAGAATGGCTTTGTGAGAAGCATCAATGATGCAGCGCTTTATGTGAAGAAGACCTCAAAGGAGATAATGGTGGTTAGTTTATATGTTGATGACATCATAGTCACGGGAAGCAAAATAAAGGAGATTGAACAATTCAAGGAGGAGATGAAGAATGAGTTTGAAATGACCGACTTAGGAGAGCTAAGTTACTTTCTCGGCATGGAAGTAACCCAAAACGAAGAAGGTATTTTCTTGTCACAAGAAAATTATGCAAAGAAGCTCTTGAAGAAATTTGGAATGCAAGACTGCAAAAGTCTGTCAACACCATTAACTCCTCATGGAAAGAAGAAGGAAGTCTTAAAAGAGAACCTTGAAGATGTTACAAAGTATAGAAGCATAATCGGAGGTTTGCTATATCTTTGTGCTTCACGGCCAGACATCATGTATGCAAGTTCATACCTGTCTCGTTACATGGTTGCTCCAACGATGCAACATTACCAAGAAGCCAAGCGAGTTCTAAGGTATGTTAAAGGTACTTTGAACTATGGCATTCAGTTCAAGCGAGTAGAAGAACCAGAGTTGGTGGGATTCTCCGATAGTGATTGGGGTGGTTCAGTGGAAGACATGAAGAGTACAAGCGGCTATGTCTTTACGATTGGATCTGGTGCATGCTGTTGGAACTCAAGCAAGCAGAAGATGGTTGCTCAATCAACGGCTGAGGCCGAGTACATTGCAATTTGTTCTGCAGCAAATCAAGCCATATGGCTATAAAGGCTAGTGAATGAAATCGGATTCAAGACTGAAAAAGGTACAAGGATTCTATGTGATAACAAATCTGCAATTGCTATAGGAAAGAATCCAGTTCAACATCGTCGAACAAAGCACATCGACATCAAGTATCATTTCGTAAGAGGAGCTGAGCAAGAAGGAAAAATCAAGCTTGAACATTGTCTAGGAGAGTTTCAAGTCGTTGATATCTTAACCAAACTGTTAAACACGTTAAGGTTTGAGTCTCTACGAGAAGAGCTAGGCGTGAAGATGAAGCCATGATCAAGGAGGAGTGTTGGTCGTGATCAAGTCTTCATGGTAGTTTTATTTAGAGTCTTATATTATAGAGTTAAGTAACTGAGTTTTTTTATGTATAAACTATTCGTATTACACACCGAAGAGATACGAATAGAATCGTTAACTGCAAAACAGTTACACGTGTATGTATGTGTCTCCACATTGGGTTGTCTTGTAGAGACGTGTCCCTTAGTCAAAGTGTGTCATGTAAAACTATAAATACAGTTTATATATCTAATAAAAGTGTGTGGTTTTACGTTATACAAAACAGAGAGGTAAGACAAAACAGAGTAAAATCTGTGTTGTCCGATCCTTAAACACTTTGAGAGTTCAAAGTTCTACAACAATTGTTTTGCAAGTGAAGATCTCTGAAGGCAGTGAAAATTCGTTTCCAACACTTAAGCGGATATCAACATCCACGACACCATGCTTCAGCACATTGGATATACAACGGTTGATATGATCATAGTGAGCTGGTTCGCCAATCCCTGGAATACTTTTTTTTAGAGAGAATCTCCCTATGCGGGTACTGAGCGGTAAAGCCAATACAAAATCCACAGAATCCATGAATTCGCTTCGGAAATGATAGATATTAGCGAAATGACGACCGGGAATGATGGTAAAGAGATTCCTCCACCTCTTTGAGAGAACTGATGCGAAAACAGCCTCCTTTGCAGAAAGGAAGGACAAAACAATGTGGCAAATAATCTCATCAGGCAGACTGCTGAGTCTGTCCATCTTCAATCACAATATCACCGAATAATTAACGAACATGCTACTATCACCACACTGCATAATTTATATAAATGTAACATCATGATTCTCTAGCGAAGAAAAAAGTTTTAAAGTGGATATAATTATAACAAAATATAAAAATTACGAGCCAAATAGATGAGAGAACTTGGTACCTACGTTGATACAGATCCTAGCGATCCATCTTCTTGCCAAGCCCTAGGGAAACTTTTTTTTCTACAATGAGTTAGAAGAAGAAAACAAAAAATTGGATTAAAAAAAAAAAACTAAGGATGAGAGCTTGCTACAGCCAGAAGAAAAGTCCCATACCTTTGAGTTCAAGAAGATATGCAATTGCTTTTGAGAAAAGCTACACTTCTTCCACATCACACTTTTGAGTTCAGTGCTTTCACGTTTAGTTTGCTTTTTCAACTGCTTGGGGTGGAATTTGTTAAAGAAGGTTTCACGCTTAGTTTGCCTTTGAATGCAAATTTCCAATTCTCTGGTCATGAATAAAGTGTGAACAGTTGGTATTGTATAGGACGGTTTCACGATTAGTTTGCTTTTAAACTTCTTGGCCTGAAATTGGTTAGACAGTTTTCAAACCGAACCTAACCAAAATCAAACCAAACCGAATGATCACCTTATCATTTATTAAGACTTAAGACAAACCGAATTAGTCTCGTTCCCTTTTTTCTTGTCATCATAATTAATCATAAATGGTGTCCCGTATTTTCCTTAACATTTTATTAGTTGTCACTTGTCTGATTGTCTCATATATGCAAGAGGAGTAAAAAGAACAATTTACACAAAATAATGTAAGAATTCTGACAGAGAGAATCGAATGGAAATTGACAATACCAACTGTTCACACTTTATTCATGACCAGAGAATTTACAACTATAATAGGACTATAGGAGTATACAACCAAACACAAAACGCGTAATACACAACTATAATTAATCACATTTACCTTCTTTTTTATGATTAGTTAATAATCAAATTTAAAGCAGTATATATGAAAATGATCAGAGTAAAATCATTTAAATTATAAAAGGCCAGAGTCGAAAACGACACCTGTTGACGGCAACCACGAGTTCCCGTCAATGAAACCCGAAACGGTAAACCCTTGAGCTTCAGTCAACGTCAACGCCGGGTGATACCCGGCCCAACCAACTCGACCCGAAACCGATGATCCAGGACCCGAATTTCCAAATTCTCCGTAATAAAGAGTCTTCAAAGCAAAGCTACTCGACCAAGGAGACCAACCCGAAGGGTGAATCGAGCCGTCTATAAAAGATTGCATCACAACAGTCCTTGAATACTGCTTCCATGGCCGACCTAAATAAGTCTTGGTCGAACCGGTGATTCTACAATTATGGATAGAAATACCGGTGTTCTGGTTCGGGTCGGACCGTCCTTGGGCCGTGACGTAGTTCTCGTCCGAGGAGCCTTTTCGAGATACGAGGTTGCAGCTTTGGAAAACGACGGCGGAGTTTCCAAAGATGAAATCTACGGTGCCGGTAATGTCAGTTTCTCTATAGAATTGTCGTTTGGAGAGAGTGTAGAGCGAGTCTTGGTAACCATCGATTGAGCATCTGTATACCACGGACCTGTCTGATCCGACCCGTAATGCTACAGCTTGCTCCGAGTTTGGTCCGGCACTGTTTACGAATGTTATGTCCCGAGCTATGAATCCATCTCCCATGGCGGCTTCCATAATTTTAAAAAAAAAATTTGGAAAGGGTTAAAGTGCTTTAATGAGAAAAAAAAAACCTCGAAATAGAACTGTGAAGTTGTATAAATTTAATTGTAATGAAATTGGTTTTCTTCTTTGGCAATGAAATTGTATAATTTCTTAATTAAATTTTTAGTGTGAAAATGATCTCACCGACAGTAGCGGATTGGTAAGTATTCCAGCCGCCTCTGTTACTTCTGCTACCGATAATGACTGTTTTGCCCTTCCCATCACCAACCAACATAACGTTCTTCTGTTTGCTCGGAATATTGAGATTCTCTTTATAGGTTCCGGCTGCTAGATGGATTACGCTTCTGCCACTTCCCTTCTCCAAAGACGCCAACGCTTCGGCTATGCTCATGTGTGTCCCGCTTCCGTCGGCTGCCACCACCGCGTGAGGTCTCAGTTCTTCTACTGAAGCTTCTAAAAGCTTCCGGTCTGACATAGAAAACCACGACGGAAAATCATGTTCAGACAACAGTTTCCGGCCACCAGTTAGACGAGACGAAGAAGAACTCTTCCGCTTATCGGACACGAACATGTCTAGTGAATTGGTCAGTAAACCGGTGAGGTTTCTTGCGAAGGAATCTATCGCGATTCCGTCTTTGTTGAAGCTAGATTTCTCACTGAGGCTTTGCTTACAAGTCTCTTGATTAGTCAACGCCGCGCTTAGCCACGTATGTACATCGTCGTTGACGTGATCTTTACGCTTGATGACAACGATGCGAGACAACATGTCGAGCGTGTCGTCAAGTAGCTCAAGGCAGTCGTTGACAGGATCGAGCATGAGGGATTGAGAGGTACGGTGCGAAAGAGTGAGATTAAAGGCGAAAGAACGAGCAAAGAGAGCGTCTTCCAAGCTGAGTTGGACTGAGTTGAGAAACCCTTTGTTGGAAGAAGTTGAGGGTTTGGTTCTTGAAGATGAATCGGAGTTTGGGTTTCTTGAGAATTTTGTGAATTTAGAGTTTGATGAATGGGCAAATACTGACAAGAGGTTCAAGACTAGGAACAACATTAGTTTGATCCGGAGCTTATGATTTGGTAATGAGAATGATGTAGTTGCCATTGTGATATATGTACAACTTTGATGATTCGTGTTTTGTAGAGAAGAAGTGTTATGTGTTTGCTAATCTATATATAGTTTCGTAATTAACTACTACTACTAGGTTATAAATAAAAAAATTAAAACTAGAACTAGATGTACGAAGTGGTTGGTGGGCCAGGGGTGTTAGGGTAAAAGTCCCTCCCCTCCAGTTTCGATTCTTCTTCTTGTTGTTATCAACATTACATTACGTGGGAAGTCTGTCAGTTGGGTTTTGGCCTAATTGGTTTACCTGATAGTCAGAATTACAGGCGGCCTGACTACCCCTAGCACTTAGTCGGAAGGCATTCTAAACTCGGGATAGGCAAAGTGGTAGCCCGAATGGCCTAGCCGTTAACACGGTGGACAAGTCCACTATTTAACACCTCGGTGCGTTCCTAACGGGGTCGATAAGATTTATAAAAAAAAAAAAAAAACCTTTTGAACAGCAGGTGGACCAAATTCATAAATTCGAGTTCCAAAGGACAAGGTTGGGAAGAGACTTTTTGATATATCCGGTTCGAAAAATAAAAAATTACGAGTGGAAATACTCTTCTGTAAGAAAAAAGGGTAAATATATATGTCTTTAGATCAAAATAATTACATTCCTAACAAAATTCAAAAGATGTTGTTTATTTGAATTGATTAACATATATTTTACCTTTTTCTATAAATTCTTACTTTTGATCGAAAATTACTTATAATTAGAGTGGAGCAATAAAAATTTGACTGTGTAATGTTGGCATATCAACATAGCATTTAATTTAATTTACTTTGGTTTTAAGTTTTGATGAATCAGTCAATATATACTAGATATTTCTTCTTATATAAAGAATATTACATTTGATCGAATTTTGTAAACAAATGGTTGTATTAGTGACAATAATGTGTGAGTAAATTATAGACGTACTTCAGCGGTAAAAAAAAAACTGTCTAAATGTTTTTCAATGATCATATCAACATCCGTACGTGTTTCCATTTTCAAATAGATTGACAGTTCCAAAATAAATAAAGTTTCATATTTGTACATCCGTGGTTGTAATTCTTTCACGATTTTACATCTACGCAAAATAGAATCTTGTAGGTATATATATGATTTGACTATTTTCTTCTCCATTTTCTTTCTCGTTATTACTGACTCTTTAAGCTTTAACCAATCTACTATACATTTTTGCAACACTTTTTGAGGTTCCTAATCGGGTCAAATTTTATTTAATTTTGATCCGGAAATCTTCAATCGGATCTTTCCTTATTTTTGACAAAATTAAAAAACAAAAATTAATCAATAAAATCTAAAAAATATATATTTTCTCAACTAATTACTATACCTAAACTCTTTATTTATGGCATATTCTCTACAATTTTTATAGATATAGAAATCAAATATAATTATTTAATGCTAATATAACAAATTTGAACTAATTTCCTAAAACCTCTCTACCTAATTAAAACATAAATATATGATTCTCATTTCACTTTTATATGATCTTATATTTATATTATTTTGAACTATTCTAAAATATATATACTTAATAAAAAAATTCGATTTTTTTCTGCATATGCTATGATTCAAATTTTTTAAAACGGACATATTACTCAATCGATGAAGAAAAAAATATGTGTACAATCTATATTAACATTTTTGAAAAACAAATTTGCGCGTTTAATCAGGTCGTATTTTTTTTTTACTCTGACCCGGAATTGAGTCATTCAGATATTTTCTTAATTTCTACAATTATCTAAAACGGGACAATATACCACGGTGAAATCTTAAAATTAACAAATCGAAATACAATTATTTAGTATTTTAATATACATTTTAAAAATATTTTTACGGGTTGGTCTAAAAACACACACTAATTTAAAAAAAATATATATATATATATATATATATTATAGAAACTATTTGAAAGCAAACTTTTAAATTGACTCGAATTATATGTCTTTTAAATAAAAGTGTTATTAAAAGAAATAACAAAATGATGTTTAATTTTACGGGACATGATTATATGGTGGGACGGGTCGGATTTGGATTGATATTAATACAGGATAATATATCACGGGTGAAATCCTGGGATTAACAAATCAAAATACAATTATACAATTTTAAACACAAAACAAAACAAATACAACTTAAAATTTTCATTTTTAGTTACAACGCATGTGACTCGCAATGTACAACAAAAAATATTATATACAACAAATTCATCAGTTTATAAAAAGACAAAAAAAAATCAAATAATTAACCCGCGGTGTACCGCGGGTAACAATCTAGTTATATAGTAAAACGAATAAGGAAATCAAAATATGTAAACCTATTGAAGAATAATCCAATTTTGAACCTTTTTGGATATAAGACAGCCACCATCCCTTCCTGTCCGATAATAATTGATGGCTTTTTGAAAGGTTGATTTGTTTTTGTTTCTCAACATTTAATTGGTTTACAATGATTCATTATCTCTTTTCCGATTACAATTTACAAATTTTTGTTGTTTATAAAATTT